TCTTCTTCTTCTTCTTCTTCTTCTTCTTCTTCTTCTTCTTCTTCTTCTTCTTCTTCTTCTTCTTCTTCTTCTTCTTCTTCTTCTTCTTCTTCTTCGTCCGCATCGGATATCTCCTCGACGACAGTGGAAATAGGCGGCCTATTAAGCTCTGGGGCTTGGAAACCGGGTGTCACTGTCATTTCCAAACGGTTGTACATGTTCTCTGGGTCGTCCTTGTAGGTGATATGGGCTGATCCGAAATCGCTAATCCTCAGCCGAGGATATACGGGATACCGTCCACTCTGCCCAGCCATGTCGAGAAGGACGTTCGTTGGCTTGATGTCCAATAGCACGATAGTTTCGTCCTTCTGTTCGCGTGCGTAAGGCCGTGCTCTTGCACAGGTTTCCATTTGTACCAGGGCAGAGGCAAGGCATTCCATCGCATACCATATGAACGACTCTGGGATAGGCGTGCCATCCATTGCATGGAAATCTATCAGTTTCCACAGATCGCCAGCATAGCAATGGTCCATGTAGATGCGCCAGTGAATGCTTCCAGGGACACGCCTTGGGTCGTTTGCATTGCCTCTCCTGTAGCCACGCATACGTACTGTCCCGGTCTCGGTCGCTCGAGATTCGGGAGTAAGCAATCCTTGGACATAGGCTTCCTTGTAAAACGGTATTCTCGAGGAGCCTCCAAAGATCGCATCGCTCATGCTCATACCTTTGCGTACTAGCTCCTCGTATATACCTCTGTATCTCTCGGGCTCCTCGGTGTCTTCGGTGCTCCAGGAATCTGTGATTGCTATGCGGTCAATAATCTTTTGATTGGAGTCGACATTGACCCAAGAGTTGACAGACCCTTGACCTCCTTCTCCTTCATGAGCATTTGCTCGCCAGTCGCCATCGGACAACCCACTCTTGTCCTCGCCTGGTGGCTTTGAGTCGTCGTCGCCGCCCTCTGAACCGCCTGAAGCCATTGTTTTTCTAGGTGCGTAGTCAGTAAGATATCTAATGGAAGAAATTGGGTTACAGATAGAAGACGGAATATGTGCTACGAATTTTTCTTTGTTCAAAGTTCGAGTTGACCGCATTCGGTGATTGTTTCTTCGAAGAGTCAACATTGCAACATTCTTTGTCTCTACCTGGAATTTGGTTCTGAATGCACAAAGGAATCAGTCAACTGCGACTCGTGACCCCTGATCAACAACAACTCGTCCATTCTCCTCCTCTTCCTAGGCCTGGTCCTTGAGCTTCTTGGTATGCTGCTCCTCTTCAACAAAGGTTTGTGAACCTGTACGCTTCCAGGTTGTGTGCGAAGCCAGAGAGAAGGTGGCGGCACGGGGTGCATCGGTGAGAGGCAGCAAGGCTGCCACAGAGCCTGTCATCGGGCCGGGTAAGAAGTCAGGAGGTGACAGCTTGAGGGACCCGTCGAGAGTGGTGACGCAGGTGATAGGAGCAGACCAGGTATTCCACTCTCGCGGGTGGCTTTGAACCTTTGCTGCAATGCGCAATGGCATAGCTTGATCGTCGGCCTGGAGGAGGACGTTAGCATGAGAGTCTCCAGGGGTACACCGCAAGCGACGAGGGGTGGTCATCGCTTTCTTCCTCTTCACATCTTGTACACAGCTGTATGGAAGTAGCTATAGAAATGCACAAATGTATAAGGAAACCGAGCAGTATCCAAAGAGAGTGTACAAGATGACAGCTCTCAATGGACAATCCCTGTTACTCGAACAAGTTGTGCATCTCTATAGCGTATAAGATCGCTCTCTGCGGCGATGAGATAAGGGTTATCAAAACTTACGTGAATTAAGAAGACCACCTGGTCAGTGTGACGTCTCAAAGCGTCGTAAGATTCTTCGCTTAGCTTTGTCCAACAACCAATTTCAAGCGCTTCCAGACTTGCCGCATGCTGGAAAAGCCATGGACCATCCGTAGGAGCCTTGGTCGAGAAACCCAGACGGCCGACTTGTTTGCATCTAGTGATGCTGAGGAAGTCGGGGAGCAGAGTGAGATATTGCTGGTAAGACGTACGCTTAGGTCTCTTCAACATCTGATGATGCGATGGAGTGCCACCGACGAGGTGTAGATGAGTGATAACAAGGACGCGAAACTCATGGGAACGGCACGAGTCGAGGTTCTTACTGCAAGAATAGTGGCTGTCGGAATTGATGGCGTACCATACGGCGCACAAATCATCAAGATTGATATTCTTGTAGACCTCTGGTACTTGAACCCTGGAGTCGCGTATAAACTGCTTGAGCTTGAGCGCAGAGTTTTTCGCAGCCTGCCGTATTTCTGCGCCAGAGCACGACAAGCCTTTTGAGCCTTGTGGGCTAGTCCATCTCTCATATAGATGGTGTACTTGGTAGTGTCAACCTCCAAAGTCTGAAGAGCCAGTATCAGATCCGCTTCTTTTTGATCGGCTTCTTTGATAGCATGAATAGCTGCAAGTCTGATGTAGTTGAGTTTCAGGTAGGCGGCGACGCGCGTATCGAGCACATGAGAATTGATATGGCGAAAGATGGTCTCGAGAACAGGATCCTTTGGGACATCGTGGATCAACTCGCGTTCTAGGATCTGTACCGGATTCTGAGTCAGACAAGCGTCGAGGTCCTCGTCATCACCTTTGACGATTGGAACGATCGATGGCGCAACAGCATCATTCGAGGCGCTGCGGATAGCCTTCTGGCAGAGGCGCTCGGGACCGTCCATGGCGCTGCTAGAGGTACCGTCAGTATATGCGCTCTTCATGCAGGTGGCAAAAACCGACAGTGTTGCAGGGCTTGTGTCAATCAATCAGCGAGGAAATCTTGCAGAGGTATCTTCGAATGCATGCAGTAATCCGAGGCAATGATGGAGTGCGATTGGTTTGTTTGGAGAATTGTGGCGGCCGCTGCAAACACGCCGAGCAAAACTTGGATGACCAACTTGTGCGGAGCGCGAGTTGATGGAGAGTGAGGCGCAAGTAAAACGAAAGTGAAGAGAAGTGAAGCGCGGATGAAGCGAAAGTGATGTGTAGGTGAAGGGACAGCAAAAGCACAGGTGAAGATGTGGAGATGTGAAGACGAATAGATACAATTTGATGGACGCGCGCCTAACAATCCTGTTGGTTAGTCTGCGACTTTCGAGTCGACTTTGTAGTGCAACAGTCAGCGGGAGTGGATTGGCGCCAAACATGGATTCAATTGACCAAGATGACTATTTCAACCGCTACTCAAATCCATGACTGCAGTCATTAGATTATGCATTCTCCAACAGGGCCCTTTTCCTCGTGGAAGAGGCGAAGGACTGTGATCGAGCAACCATGAGTTGAGGAAACTCTTGGGCAAAAGTAACAAAAAAAAGGGCCAGGATTGGGATCGAACCAATGACCGGCTGGTACAGCCGGAAACAGTAAACATACGCCAACGGTAACGGACACTGCTTCCAACTACACCATCTGCCCGCTGGACAAGAATTAGGCCATCTAACGGGATAATATGCCTTGATGTGAGCAGTCTCACCATAGGTAAATGCCCACTAGGATCGCAGCTATTCCCAACCTTGACCACCCACTCTACAGACACCTTGTTCTTACCGAAGGGTTCATGCGTTGAGACGTGTACAATGTGGCTGTGATTAGCTGCATCATGGAGACGTTCGTATAGGGCCCTGAGCATTTGCTCGCCTCGTTCCGGTGCGGGCCTCTTGGGCAAAGGTCCGTCCCTCATTTGTTCCCAGATGGTAGGTTTAGTCCGTCAAAGGATGACTCTTGGATCTGTCAGAAGTGTGCTGAATCAAACAAGGGATGTGCGCAGTTCTTTGTTCCTTGCTCCTCTGTTCTTTCTTGACAAAATTGAATATAGCTTCTCACCTCGAACATGCCAGAAGACTGCACGATAAGCCAGAGGGTATAATGAAGCGCCTTTACACACATCAAGGAATGTCGTGTAGTGTATTTGCTGCATCTATTCATCTATCGGTGAATTAGCAGATTCGTTAACAAGTCTTGTATGACTGTGTATTTGTTAACGTGATCAGTGTGATATCGTCACAAGAGAGAACCTACGATACAGAAGACCGCATGCTGACTTCTCCTAGATCAAAAAATATCGCACATGGCATGTTAGAAGTCCGGGGCATGCCACAAAATGCTGTCTCTGAGCTAGGCTGTTTGTCGGGGCCGCATAGATTGATGAGGTAGTTGGAAGCACCTGTATGATCTTGCTACAGGCCCTAGTATTTATACACCGCATTCTCGCGATATCTTCGATGTTCTGGGCCATGTTATAAAGCTGCAGACAGGAACAAGGCAAGAGATGATGTTGGAAACGTCTACCCCATATCCTTCGCTATAGATACTTTCCCGATATTTCGCCGTGTGAACCTCAACTCCTAGCCATACAACAACGGCATAACCAGACGACACATTAACAACTGGATGTTTACACTAAAGACTGGGATGCTCTGCAAGGATTGTCAGTCTAGCCAAATCACAGGTATACGGATCTCTGGTTCCGGGAAATCACAGGTCATCGTGGCTACATTACCATTCAAAGTCGGAGAGGTTAATGATTGCGACAAAGCACCTGAGTTCAAAATATTTGTGACAGTCATACGAAAACTGTAGCCAGATTCTCGCAATATTATCCGGAGATGATGGGTTTGGGAGCGGAACCAGGATATCCTTAAAACTGGCTGGCATAGTCGTTAAGGAAACTATACCTCTTAATTGCAAATCCGTGGATCCTGTTGAGTCCTGCGATACGCGATAGAGCTCGTTATCGTAGGGGAAATCCTTTTGGGGCTCAGAGACGAGAAGAGTAACAAGGTTTTGCGGCTGGTTCAAAACGTGGTAAGCACTCGCCTGCTGGTGTCTACGATCGCTTACTACGGAAAGAGCATCGCGTGGACATCCTTACCCATCGCTACAGACTCCTCCACGTTAGGCTATCGATCTCGCAAGCTAGTAGCTAGCGTTGTGCTCACTCATGATCAGCAAAGACAGAGACGCTGAATCGTGCGTTGACAGGACCGTGGACGCCGTACGTAACTTGTGGCTCATACACAAATCTTGCGCTTTCGCTGTACGAGTAGGATTGCGAGAGCAATATGACAGTTCGATCAAACGGTAAGATCATCCTGCATGGCGGAGCTGGAAAGAAACCAAGCGTCTCAGAAAGTGCGACCTACCCACGGTGTGGGTATATATTGAGCTGGGATTGGGAGAGAAAATGTGCTCAGTAGTGTAGGGGTTTGATTCCAATAGGTAGTTTGGGTCAGCCCTGAAATAAGAGTGCAAAGCAGGCAAGGGCCTGAGGTTGACTACGCGAGCGGCCCTTTCTTTTTGCACTTTTTGGCTCTTGTGCGTCCATTTCTTCTTCACTTCTGCTTCGCTTCTGCTTCACTTCTGCTTCACTTCTAGTTATAGCAGCAACAGGTTATGATCTAGATTCTTTTGCCCACGCAGATAATCAACTGATTTCCGCCTGCATTCAGAGTGCGGTATCGCGTCAAAGTTGTTTACCGTAGAGCTTGATAGACCACCTGAGTGGCCTTCGCCATAGCAACTGTAGGCGCTTCCCCCAAAAGTCCGACCAAACAGAAACACAAAAATTGCACAAAAGCCACAGACCTTGCCCGCCAGCCATACCATCAACTTTTCTTCTTCCAGCATCATCCTTTCTGCCATCATCACCCGACTATCAACTAGGCGAGAAGCCGCCAGCACCGACAACTACAGTAGTCCTTGCAACACTCCATCGTCCAACCTCTGAAGAAGTCAACGCCTGTGCTCTTCCACCAACGATCACTTCGCCTCAACATCCCCATCCTTCACTAGGACCGACGCTGATCATCGCATCACACCTTTTCTCGAGCGTTCCACCACCATTGTGTAAACAGTGGCCAGCGCACGCGCAATTTTCCGCACGTCTAACTCAAACTCTGTCCAACTATCTTCAATTCAGTCTCCGCCATCGAAATGCATCTTTCAAGTCAACACAACATGGGCCACTGAGTCGATGATGATCACGACGATTGCAACGACAACAACGATTCCGATTCCGACATGTTTCCTGATTACCTTTCCGACAACTCTGACATCCAAGACTTTGAGGATTACGAGGCTCCCAACACCAACTTCCGCGGCGAGGCGACCTGGGGACCCAAGGAGACGAACCCCTTGCCAGTTCAGACCATTGTCGCTGAGATGGGACCTGAGCCCAACCTTATATCGTACGGAACCAACTTCGACATACTCCTGGCCGAGGATCTAGTACACGCACGTATCCTAGAGCTCGTTGTCGAGAACGCCATTGAGCCAAACGTTATTCTCTATACTAAGATCAATCTCGTCAAGCTGGGTGCAATCAACAAGGCTAAGGCTAGCAATCTCGAAGATGCTGAACTCGCATCTATGATGACCGCTGTGAGTCTTGCGCAGAGTGATGAGAATGCAAGATGTCAGACACAAAACAACGAAGAGAAGATCATCCGCGATTGCATTGATCAGAAGCACTGGCTTGACAGGACATCCAATCTCGAAGTCAAGGTCACGGCCACCGTGAGAAAGATCATTATGACATCCCACTACACACTACCAGATGTAATCAGCAAGACAACGCTCGATGATCTTTGTGGTGTTCTATACGCCATAATCTCCGACAACCATCACAAGACTGCATCCAATGCCACAGCAATTCACAATCCACCCGAAACCGATCATGTCAGCTACACGAACTCGAATTCGGGACCCCAAATCAAGCCTGTTAAGCATGTGCCCATCGCTGGAAACCGTTTTGGCACGAATATCATCACCCATCTGACCCTGGTGGGGGGCCTTCCCTTGCGTCCCAGAAAACTGTACAGCACCGACAGAGCCACTTTCAAAAACTTCATGGGCAAAGTTTCAGATGTCTTGAAGAATATCCAAAGTTCTCATCACCATCGCTTGGGAGTCCTGACCCAACAGCAGATGGAGCATGGCAACTGGCTTTATCAAGTTGCAGCAGACATGGAAAAGCTCGATTTGGATCACACGTCATGGCAAGTGGTGGACGAGACCAGCTTCAAGACGTTCCCATTCGTCAAGGACACGCAAGTTTTTTTGATTCACGTAAGTTTGACAATCATATTCTGCTCATCTCTATTCCACTCTCTTGCCCATAGACACCTATAAGAATGCAGAACGGAATCACACTCAGGGGTCGTATCCATTGAGAGCCCCAGAAATCGATCATACATCTGGGGCCTTCAATGGATACCCATCCTTCCCGGCAAAACATTGTGCATTTTTATAGCTACTACAGATACTGACTGATCACTAGGAGTACCGCCAGAGTATGCCTGCTCGCATCAACGACAAGGTCAGGAGCCGACCCCGGGTATGGAACACCTGGAACCTGCTGGTCGGTCCCACCTTGGCCTCGCCCTCAGCCCCCGAGTTTGTGCCTTGCTCTGGAGGCATCCTCGTTGCGCCCGTCAGTGTAGGGATGGCTGCTCTGTCAAAGGCTCTCCCCAGCTCCCACGCTGACGGTCGCAAGGCGGGAAAGCAGCAGGGAGGGAAGAAGAGGGGAGAGAAGAAGGAGGAGGAGAAGGAGGGAGAGAAGAAGGAGAGAAGGACCAAGAGGTACCAGCAAAAGGTATCGCTTGCTTTCAGAAAGAAGGTGGAGTAGCAGACGTTGGAGTAGAGCAAAGAGGAGGTAATACCTGTAACAACAGCAGAGAAAGGACATGAATTGTATTACGCATTATGAAAAGCATCAAAACTACTACCTTCAATCTAAGGGGTTGAAGAGAACATCCTCGCCAGCCACTGCGGGTGATCCAACGCCTTTCGTGTCCTGCCCGACATCTCTGAGCCTTTCCTTACTTAACTCGATCCGGCCATGACGAGAAAGTATCTGGCTCGATTCATCTCTAAGCTGGCATTGGGGGCAGGTTGAACGCTAGCCTTTGTGGATTCGTCATCGTGGGTAGGGCTCTGCATAGCTTCTTCAAAAGCAGCATCTTGTTCAGGGGTTGATGGTCTGCGAGGAGCAATGAGGCGAAGTCTGGTCGGTTTGGTAGGAGCTCTTGTCGGAGCCGGAGTCGATGACTTGCGAGAACGACCGGTTTTGGGAGCTTCGACTTGGCGAGCTTTGGTGAGTCTCTGGATGAGCTCGAGGCGCGGGTTAGGGATGACATCGACCTGTTCTGGCGATGATTCAACGTCAGACTCTTCTTCGGCACCGGCGACAACGTCAGGGCTGAAGAATCTGATCTTTCGGCGATCGGGCTCTCTGGCCTGGCCTTCACGATAGAAATCAAGCTCGTGGGAGGGAGCAGCAGCTGCGGTGGTGACGTACTCGAGATTGCGTTCATGTTGGATTTTGTAGATTCTGCGGCGAGCATGAAGTTGCAACAGCGGCACAGTGACAGGCGTCCACAGAGTCCATCCCTCGGGTACATCGCTGAGCGCGCTGGGCAGAAGAGAAGCGATGCCACGGAAAGGCTCGGTCTGGATGATTGTATCAAGACCTGTGGAGACTGGAGGCAACGACGACTCTGGTAGAGCAGGCGTAGGAAAAGCATTTGCCCATACGTCGCAGGGGATTTCGGCAGGCTCGGTGGCAACCACGACGTTCCGCCATGACTCCTCGCTGACTTCGAAGGTAGCCTTCTCGGTGAAGATTGATATGATCTGGTTGCAGGCACGACCAAGGGGATAACCACGTTGACAATAGAGTCTGAGGATGTAGATGCAAGCTCTGACGCTGGGCGAGAAGGAAACACTAGTCGAGCCGTCGGCATGGCGGTGAAGTTTCGCGAGCGAAGGAGGCGCACCGCCGCTGAACAGCCATTCCGTGTAGAGGCGTAGATATGTGGCGAGCTTTTGGTTGCCCGGGCAGCTAAGTTGGAACGCACGCTGGCCTTGAGGGATCTGCTTCTTGAACTCGCGCCTGTGCTCTTTCCAGGGAGGTGCACAGAAGTACAAGAGAAACAGAGATGCCGGGATCGACAAGCAGGAGGGTCGATACTCGCACGATAGCAAGAAGAGGAGTCGGTTCACATCAGGAGGAGTGCTGGGGACGCCTGTGAATGGATCATTGAAGAGTACATGGGCGTTGTCAGAATGCTTTTGATGCGACGATCTGCTGTCCTGGCTCGAGTTGGAGTTTGGCGTAGTTGTGAGTGAGGGCGCAGAGGCTGAGGTGGTGGAGTTGGCAGCAACCCACAAGGCATGGGGGAATGGCAGCTTGTCCATGGTGCTCAAGATGATGGTCGGTATGGCAAACGGATTGATGCGCCTTTCGACGACCGGAGACGATGTTTCAGAAGCGCCAGTGGACGAGTGGCAGGAAATGATGCAGATCAAGAAGAAGAAGAGCCCACGGCCAGAAAGTCGACAAGGGTGTGGATCAAGCAGTCGATGAGCCTTTCACGCTTTGCGCTCGTAAGTGAGCGGAATTTCTTATGCTGTGGTCGAAACTTCTAGGGGCATATCTTGAAAGCAGACTCATGCAAGCCTCGCGGAGGCCAGACACTGAGGGAGATCCGTGGAACAACATGCACAGAGGAAGCAAGAACGGGGTACGAGAAGAGGTAGAAGGAGATGGAAATTTACATAACTGCTCTAGCAACTTGTATAGGCTGCGAAGAGATAAAAGATCTTACAAAATCAACCAGGATAGAAAAAAAACAACATTGGCACGCACCATAGCATAGTTGAGGGGAGAGTCGAGCGTGAGACGATGTATGGGAGAAAAGGCGCTGTAAAGCAGTAAAGAAGATTGATCCGTAACGCCTTGCAATGCCCAACCCGCGATTCTTTTTGCTTCTACTGTACACGTGTAAGAGGGAGGTCGGACGGGGCGACGATGGGAGGAACGAGGTGATGATCATGAAAAAGGTCATGACTGCCGGTCCAGGGACAAAGCCCTGATGGCGAGGGTATCCAGCTGGGGGACGTGGCAAGATTAAGGTGCGAAAGAATGCAGAATTTTAGATGATCTGGCGGACGAACTAGAGGATCCGAGTCAGCATCTAAGCAGAATGACGGGAGATTTTGCAAACTTACAGTCCAGGCACCAGCGGTACCGGCGACCAGACCACCAGAGATCATCATGGGTCTGACACCCTTTGTGCTTTTGAAGAGCATGCCGCTCAAAGCACCAGCAACAATGCTGTTGGCAGCATCGTGCTGGCCGCGGTAGTGGCCGATGAAAGAGTTGAAGCCGTTGTAAACCATGGCAATGACGGCAGCCGAGTTGCCCAGGAAGGGGCCGCGACGGGTGATGGCGTTCAAGGCCGAGTTGAGGCGGAGCTTTGGCGGCGACGAGGCTGGTAGTCTGTTCAAGCCCTCTGCGAGACCCCAGGCTCCACCAACAGTCAGACCAGCGAGGTACGTCACACCAGTGCCGTAACAGAGGTCGTCGGACCAGCCACGCGACGGCAGGGCGCTACGGTTGCCGGGGAGCTCCGACAGAGCCTGGTCATCGAGCGACAGGTAGTCCAGAGTGTCCTGGTTGAGGCCAGCGAGAGGATGTAGCGAAGCCGGGTCGAAGGCGCCGGGTGTGTTGAAGAAAGAGTTGACATCTTGGGCCTCGAATTGTGGTTGCGACGCCGTCGTCGCGGCCATGTCTTGCATGGGCGCATCTTGTGCGGGTTGTTCTGCTGTCTTGCGACCGGTAAAGGAGTCCCAGATGCCCATGTTGATGGTTGCAGTGTGTCAGATCGGAGAGAAATGGTGGTGGTTGGTTGCTGCTGGTCGCGCTCGCAGCGGCGAAGGCCCTCGCTGTCTGACGAAACGATTTTTTGGCCGCGACCCTCGGAACTTTCCACTTCCATCCAGATCCATGCCAAGCTGCCCTTTTTGCGGGTATACCATACCACTCCCGCTCCAAGATCTTCGCAACATGGAAGATATCACAACGCCAGATCACAGTGTGAGTCATCAGACCTGGCCTGGTCTATCAAACAGCGGTTGCACCTTGCAGTGCTGTTAGTCGTCCTAGGTGACCTTGTCTGGGCACATGCCCACCCGACTCTGCACACCATTTCTAATCCTTTGTTCTCTTGCCGCCATAAACCCTCGACCACTCGCAACCGCCAACATTACTCCGTACATTGCCAATCGCGCGAACAGGGCTTCGGGACATGGCTTTTCGGAGATTAACGTACAATATCGCAGAGCTCTGACGGGTCGTATGAAGGCCCTGACATGTGATAAGCCCAACACTCGCATTTGATGATTTGCCAGCTATCTTTTGACATTTTCCTGACGAATCTGGAATAGGCACCTCCTTGTGGTCGACCGAGTTTGCACAAGTCGGATCAGTGCGAGGTGATCTCAGAAGCGTCAAACATGTCAAGTACGTCTTCCGGATGCGATAGAGACGACCGCTTTGCTCGTTATTTTATTGCCTGGGGCTCGCCAGACATGAGCACACTGTGTTTAGCTGAGGTGTGGGGTAAAGCGAAGATTACGTGCCGCGTTGGCCGCGCCAGCTTGCAATTCTCTGAATTTCGCGGTTGAGCGGGGGTGACCGCATGGTAGAGCATTGGATGGGGTGGATGGAAAGGAGCAGACGACCATCCCCGCCACAGGCGCTTCGCCAATTACCTACCTACCTACCTACCTACCTACCCGAGTGACTGATGCAATCGACAGGATCCTGACCGTCTCGTATTGCAAATCGTGTAGTTCACGCGGTGGACTGGCAAACTCATAGCAGCCTCAAGATTTGGAGCATCAAACGGTCAATATATTCAAGTAAGATTCATGGTCGCGGACAGACATATTTCGGAGTTGATTAGCGAGAGCCTCCACTAGCACTGTGGAGCAAGAGACGGACAAAGCGTTCTCGAATCGCGAAACTTAATGCGAACTGCTCACCACATTGCTGAGTATCGCTGTGGAGGGCGAGACCTGAGAAGTGACCTTGGAGTATTGTGGTTGTGGTGAAGCATCATCATCATGCATCACGGCGGCCACTAGACGCAAGCGAAGAACGAAAGTCGCGCGCTGGGTGGGTGCAGAAGGTGTGCATGATGCATCGTCAAGTGGCTCGGTTCAATTGTTTTCTGGTCTGACAGCCTCGGCGCCCCAGTCTTGTGAAGGAGGCCACTGGACGTGAACAGTGAATACAGCAGCCAGGGACACAGCACCAGCAATCGCAACAGCTGCGACAAACGAGGCTTGCGGGCCAAGAAGCGAAGCGAAGCAAATCCAGCAGGCAGACGACTACTCCGTATCGATATCAACACGATCGCGTCTTGTTGAGGAGGACATGGCCAAGGTGGAGAGATGGGAGAAAGGAGCCGGCCAACCGCACCGCCGCAAATTGATGGAGCTGGCATCCTCGAACTTCTCATTTCGGTCATCGGCTCCAGCCGTGCCTTCTCCCTCGAGCGCACCGCCGAACCAGCCCACGCCCGTCAAAGGCTCTGATGCTCCTCATTTGATTGATACCCACTCTTCCTGGCCTTGACCACGTCGCTCTTCTCCTCGTCCTCTTTCCTCGCGATTCCCACTCCTCGAGGACGAGACCCGACGGCCAGTTCAAACATTCCTTTTGCCGCTTTGTCCGGTGAGTGCTTCACGGTTTCCTGCTGCTGCTTTGCCCTTTCTTGTTGTTTCCGCGTGTCTCCCTGGGTCAAACAAGGGAAAAATTCGGTTAGGGTTTCGATGAAAGAGGGCGACGCTCGGGCTAGACGCGGTGCACGCGGGCTTTGACTTTTCTAGCATGTCGACACCAAGTTTGACCGTTGTGCACACCAGCGGCTTTGCTTTCAATCTCCCGCCGTACTTGTCCCTACTGTTTGCTGCTGCTGCTGCTGCTGTTGCGACTTCGTCCGGTCTGTCGGTGTCCATCTCACTGTCCCTTTTGCTGCCCTCGTCGTCGACCGTCTCCAATTGCCCTCTGCCGCTCCTTTCTCATCCCTTGGGCCATCGACCAAACTAACGGGAGCCGTTCAACAGTCCGCAGTTTCTGCCCCTTCGATTTTCTCACCACTCGAGTCTTGACGATCCCACCCACGACCTGGAATCTTGTACATAGTCATCCTCGACCGACGCTTAGATTTTTATAGTCGCCATGTCCGCCTTCTACGAGCAAAACCAGGCCGCTGCTGCCACCGGAGCATGGCCCGCACCCGGTCGCCAGCCTTCATGGGAACAGCCTGCCCCTCCCTCGAGATCTGGTTAGTAGACAGGGCCACTTGTCTGTCCGAGCCAAACATCTAAGACAATGATTCGCAGGAACCGCTTCCGCATCGAGAGACGAGCCAACCGCATTCAGTTCCCAATTCGAAGGTGCGTAGGAGAAAGAGACGGCGACCCGACATGAAGCCAATTTTCCCGGGTGAAGAGGTGGACAAGGACGAGGAACATTGAGAATTGGCTCCTGTTGGGTTGGCCGGGAGAATGGAGTTTGGAAACAGCAGCTGACACGGTGTTGCAGAGATTGAGCGTGCCACCGACAACCTCGTCAAGAGCGGCAAGTGGATGGCTGGTGGAGCACCTCAGTACAACAGCCGCCGCGAGTCGATGCCTCCCATGATGATGGGCCGTGGATTCAACGCTGACTATGGTGAGTATTTCTACTCTCTCCAACATGAGCTGGTACTTACAATTGGCTGCAGCTGGTTCCAAGTCCAACTCGCCTGCCGACGGCGGTCGCTTGAGTGGGCCCGGACAGGCACGTCACCACTCGGTCAGCGAATACGACGGTATGCGATCCAACTCGGCAGCAGGCCTCCAGGGCTACTATGCGTCGCAGCGCTTCGCACCGCGTCAAAATGAGGCGGAGCAGATGATGCAGGCCAAGCGAAGGATGGCTGCGCAAAGAGAGAGGGAGCTCCGCAACTATCACCAGGAGCAGCAATACAACAGGAGTAAGAGCATCGCAGAACAAGCTTAGTTAGAATGGCAAGTTGATTTCCGCCTACAGACACTTCCGCCCAAGGCCCCAACAAGCCCGACCGCGCTCTGAGCCCGGCAGCTGCCACAACCATGAGTGAAGACGAACGCCGCGACCTCATTGCCCGCCAGCACCGTGCCCTTTACGGCAACGAATCCGCCCTGTACCCTACCTCGGAGGCCGCTGCTGTTGCTGCCCGCCGTGCCTCGCAGGACGTCAGAGGCTCCATCTCTGGCGATGCGAGAGCTTCCATCTCTGGAGCTTCCAGGGGTGGTGCCTCGCCCCTGGCTTTTGATCCTTTCCACGGCGAGCCTGCTGTTCAGATGCCTCCCCGTGATGGTGTCATGCTCCCCAAGTCGCCCAACAGCGCCTCTTCTCCGCAGTCGAACCCTACCACCTTTGGCAGTTTGCTGGGCGAGACTCAGCAGTCCAGCCGTACTTCGGTATCTTCGCCCAGCGGCTCTCCCCCTCTCGGCCATGGATCGAAGGGTGCCGCAGCAGCCCCCATCGGCACACGCCCTGTCCCCAACGCTGCGCAGAACACTGGCCTGAACAAGCGCTCGACCACGCCTCTGCCATCGCCTCTCAGCTTTGGCTTTAGTGCCAACGAGCAAGCCAGGAACGAGCGTTCCACTTCTGCTGGTCCCAATGGCTCTACGGCTGATAAGGGCGTCAGTCTCGGTTCTTGGGGCAGCGGAGTCTGGGGCTCTGCTAAGAATAGTCTTGGTGTCCAGGCCCCTGTCTGGGGCTAGGTCTTGACTATATTCCTACGCATTACTAAATCTCTCAGTTGTAAGAGGTATGCTGGAGTTTGTTTCCTATTTTCTTTTTTTCTTCATCTCTCACACTACATGGGTCATCGTTTTCAAGCACGGCAACACACCATCTAAACTGCACAAGAAGGTGTCTTTGTGGGAATACGGAAAACAACTTATACCCCCGTTCATGCATCGAGTTGCGGGCCTGGGTCATTGCATCAACCCATGATAGCGGATGGAAAGCCTGGATCTCTGCAGTGGACATCAGCAACTGTAGCAGAGGGTTTTGCATCCGGCTATCTTGGAGTTCGAGCTTTTTCTTTTATTATATCAAAATGTCGTCGGACGGTGGGCGCTGGTTATCGCTATTCTAGGGATACCACATGGTTTGGCGGCTGAGATATGCCGCCTGGACATGTCTATTCTTTGCTTTTTCTCTGGGCTTTTGGGTGGTCAGGTTATGGGAATTGGGTCGGAGTCTTTATACAGTACGAGGGGATGGGACTGGTGGTTGCGCGTGTCATGGGTAATTTGTACGGACGGCATCAAACGGGACGGGCAGGCAAGTCGTCTTTTCGGAAATGTATCAAAAAGCATGTTTGGCTGGGTCATATGACTGATTGTAATCGCATGTCGCTGTGAATTGCTTCAAACTGCGATGGCCCTGCTGCTGTTTCCCAGAGAGCGTGACAGCGTCGGGAGTCCAGATGGCGGTGGCCGACAGTGAAAGTAGGAGCTGCTGCCAAGATGCGCCCGTGCGCTTTCGCTGGCCCCTAGGAACAGCTGGTGTCAACTGGAGCATCGAAGGAGAGAGAGCCCAAGAAGCTTTCGACAGCACAACCACACCCTCCACGCCCATCAATTGCTGTTCTGACTCGATCGTCGCTATCTTTTGTATTCGACTCCTTTAGCGATCCAGCTGCGACTCACATCCAACCCCCCGGCTTCCCATTCCAACTCGCCCATCATGGTATGCCCACCTGTCCCCACTCGCTCCTTCACACCGTGGTCTGCGTCTGTCCTTATAGCCATACCACGCCTGTGCCTGTCGCTTGACCGAACCGCCTGAGAGTTGTTCTTGAAAAGACACATTGGAACTGCCGTCTATTGGCAACAAGCGACACAATCATGGCAGCAATCTACGATGGCCTTCCTAGACCGTCACACGACTCAACTACACGTACCCTTATCTGACACAGCTGCACTCAACAGTCTTCTCCTCGTCCCGCTTCTCCTGTCAACGCCGCTGCCTCGACCGGCTCTACCACTGCTCGCGCCGCATCCCCCAGAGCCCCCGGCGGTCCCGCAACCGCCATTCGCAGAAAGGCTGCTGCTGACCGTGCCGACCGCGCTGCCAATGTCAGACCCAGCAGCACTCGCGCCGCAGGTGCCGGTGGTAGCAGCAGTACCATGCTGAGACTCTACACCGACGAGTCACCAGGCCTCAAGGTCGACCCCTTTGTCGTCCTCGTCCTCTCCGTCGGCTTCATCATCTCAGTCGTCGCGCTACACAGTACCACTCCCCATGTATCCAAGCAAGAGTGTAATGTTTCACTGACATCCGACGCGCAGTTCTGGCCAAGATCACCAAAAAGTTCTCCTCGTAGACACATACCCTTCTATCAGTCTCGTGCTTGCGATACTGGTCTCGTCCTTTACTGTACTCTTGCACCTTTTCTTGTATCTTCCATACGGTCGGCGTCGAGTTGTTTCTTATTTGTGCTGGGATGGAAAAAGACAAAAAGTCGCTTTTATACCAGATTCCGTCGCCCCGGGTTGCCTTGTCTTTTTTCGATGTCAAAGAATACCAGATTTTCGTCGTGGATCTTGCCGTGTTCTCTGTCCCTCTTCCAAGATATCATCGCCGTCCTGCACGTCTCGAGAGTGTGTGTCGCGCAGAGGACAGCAATCGGAAGCTCTGGCAGTATAGGCGCGCGTATAGCAAGCTTGTGACTTGCGGAGCGATTCTCGGCCCTTTGGCGGGTGCCCCTGATTTATCCACAGTTTATCCTGAGCCGAGCGGGTAGCTTATCGTTGCATGGCCGTGGCGGCAAGCGCGTGGGGGATGTTTGAGGTGCGGGCCGAGTGTTGGCTGGCGGCTAAATCCAAGAGGCTCCCCACTTTGTTTTCGGTTGCGTAGTGCCCCTCCATGCATCCACTCTCTGTATGTTTCCGCCAGGCTGGCCGGGTAGAGTGTGGTGTTTGACGCGGAAGAATGCGCCGTCTTGTTTCTCGAAGATCGAACGGGCAGAAGAGGAGACGGGATTGGAGCATGGCAGTTGACTGTGGCTCAAAAGTGTAGGCAGGTGCCACCAGGGTGCATGCATTCTTTCTCAAAATTTCAATTCTGTTTCTCTATCTTGTCCAGAAAGTGCTGTGACAGCTACTCCATCTTCGCCTCTCCCGCCTAAAGTCGAACGACCGCTTTGTCCACCCCACTAAAGGCTCCTCGCAACCTGTACGCAGCCGCCGTTGGCTGCCACCCAAAGAACCATGATGAACGTGCTCAAGCCTTTTGCACGGTAAGTATTTAAGACTCGAAGCCTCCTCCTCAGACAGCTGACTCTACTCCTCTCTCTCTTCCTACAGATCTGCTCCTTTACTCGCCTCTAGAGCTACTCTACGTTACTCGGCCATTGCAAGACCTACTTTTACTTGCTACAAAAGAATTGAACCTGCTGCATTCCGCCACTACTCAGCAAAGATGCCTTCCGCCCCTACTGTCAAGCTCAACAGCGGCCACGAGGTGGGTTCCTACTGATCAACGAGCAAGAAACCACAGACCACTAATCCCCAGCACAGATGCCTCTCGTTGGTTTCGGTCTCTGGAAGGTCGACAACGACACTTGCGCCGACACTGTCTACAACGCCATCAAGGTTGGTTACAGACTCTTTGACGGTGCCTGCGACTACGGCAACGAGAAGGAGGTTGGTGAGGGTGTTGCCCGTGCCATCAAGGACGGTCTCGTCAAGCGTGAGGACCTCTTCCTGGTTTCCAAGCTCTGGAACTCGTTCCACGACGCCGACCAGGTCAAGCCCATTGCCAAGAAGCAACTCGCAGACTTGGGCATTGACTACTTTGACCTGTACATTATCCACTTCCCCGTCGCCCTGAAGTATGTCGACCCCAGCGTCCGCTACCCTCCCAGCTGGACCGACGAGAACGACAAGATCACCTTCTCCAAGACTCCCCTCTCCGAGACTTACAAGGCCATGGAGGAGCTGGTCAACGAGGGTCTCGCCAAGAGCATCGGTGTCTCCAACTACAACGGTGCCCTCATGCTCGACCTCCTCCGTTACGCCAAGATCACTCCTGCCACTCTTCAGATCGAGCACCACCCTTACCTCACCCAGAAGGGTCTCGTCAACCTCTGCAAGGAGAACAACATCCACGTTACTGCCTACTCATCCTTCGGCCCTGCTTCCTTTGTCGAGCTGAAGATGCAGAGAGCACACGACACTCCTCTCCTCTTCGACAACGAGACTGTCAAGAAGATTGCCGACAAGCACAACAAGTCCGCTGGCCAGGTCCTGCTCAGATGGGCCACCCAGCGCGGTGTCGCCGTTATTCCCAAGTCCAACAACAAGGACCGCCTTGCCCAGAACCTCGATGTCTGCAGCTTCGATCTTGCTGAGGACGAGATTGAGGCCATCAGTGGCCTTGACAGAGGTCTCCGCTTCAACGACCCCGTCAACTACGGCCTCAACATCCCCATCTTCGCCTAAACATATGACCGACTCGAGAGCGATAAAATTGGGTGTTACTCGCTTGGAAAGGAAGGAAGATGAACTGTTTACCTTTTTATATCCCTAGTGCATTCACTACGAACTGAACGAATTTTAATTATTTTGTCCTCATTTTGCTGTTATCCTCTGGATCCAGAACGTGACGTTGGCATCATCACATGAACAGAAGACGTGAGAAGATGGATACCGTACTCGAAAGCCACCATCTCATCTTTGCTCACATCGTGCCGCTCGTGCATAATGGCATGCCATGATCGTCCAGACATCCTTGTCTTCGAACCGTGTCTGCACAAACAGACCCCGCGACAGCTTCCCCACGGAAAACACGTCATTGCTCACAGCGTGTACCCACCTTTATGTGCTCACAGCGTGTACCCACCTTTATGTGCTCACATCCTCGACTTGTCAGGTTACAAAAGAGCTGGACTTTCTGCTTCTGAATGCGATCTCTATTCTTCATCTGAAACTTCTGCAAACACTGGACCAAGACACGCTCAAAGTTCAATCCATCAATCATCAACAAGACCATACCAAACACAACGCTCCAACCTTAAAACAAAATGTCTGAGAACAACAACTCTGCCCAACAGCCCAAGCAGGGCGGTGGTCTTTTCGGTGGCATCGGCAATGCTGCCGGTGGTCTCGCTTCTGGTGTTGGAGGCATCGCATCAGGTTTGTTCATACTCTTATCCTCTACAGTGACAAGAAACTAACAAATTCTAATAGGCACTGTCAACACCGTCGGAGGTGTTGTTGGCAACGTCGGACGCGGTGTGGGAAAGACACTTTCCGATGCCTCTTCCGGACTCGAGAACACGGCCAAGGGTGCTGGTGGTTCTATCAACGACGTGACCGGAAATGCAAAGCAACAGCCTAACAAGAAGTAAGATCTTCTAAGGAGGACTCACAAGGAGGCTGCCGAAGAGTAGAGACTGTAGCTCTGCTGCTGTTCGAGAGGAATTGAATGTTCGAGGACGACTATAATGACAATTTTATCTTTATTTCTCCCTTCTACTATCAAGAAGACTACTTAAGTCTCATTACACCGTCTTCTCAGTCGATCCCGTCTCCAAGGCCAAAATGCATGATTTTTCAGCACCACGGTGCGACTGGCTCCTAGGCTATGTTAAGCCAAGTGGAAGACAAAACGTGGTGGTCAGTGTGACCCTGGTTGCCAAATCCAGGCAGCCACAATCCAACGTGAGTGTTTGTCCTTAGAAGTGCTTCGGTCACTGATACATATACATCTGATAGATCGCATGCCACCATGACTAACGCCGTTGTTTTCGGCAGCACAGGTGCAGTGGGCTCTCAAATTCTGGCCACGCTTCTGTCATCCTCTAGTTGTACGACCCTCACGACAGTCTCCCGTCGCGCTCCCCAGACTCAGAGCCCAAAACTCCAAGCTATCATTGAAACCGACACTGCGAGATGGGACTCTTTGATAGCCAAGCTCTCACCAACTCCTTCAGTAGTCTTCAATGCGGTCGGTACCACTTTTGCCAGCGCTGGCTCTGTCGCTGCACAATGGGCAATTGACCACGATCTGTGCGTCGAAAATGCAAAAGCCGCAAAAGCAGCAGGTGTCGGGACATATGTGTATTGCTCGAGTGCAGGTACCAGCAGCTCCCTCAGTCCATTTGCATTGACACCCTACGCAAAGATGAAAAGAGGTGTGGAAAACGCCATCAAAGATCTGGACTTTGATAATGCGATTATTCTGCGACCTGGTATGATCTTAGGAAGGGAGAGTCCGAAAAACAAATGGCTCGAGGATATCTTTGATGGTTTAAAAAGAATCTCGCAAGGTTTCCAGGACAAGTGGGGTATGCTTGACTTGACTCTGTTGATTTGGTTGAGCAAGACTAACAAGGGACGTGTAGCACAAGATCAGACAGTCATCGGAAGAGCTGCGGTAGCCGCTGTAGCGATGGTAGAAAGAGGCAAAGCGCCAAGTAGATTCTGGATTTTGGAACAATCGGATATCGTAAAGCTGGGAAGAGATGAATGGAAGGACTGAGGCTAGGTCTCGGGGGCATACATGCAAGACCTTCGAGGAATGATGCTGCATGTTTGCGTCCGGGGTCTGTTTGCTCACCGGTATTGCTTATATGCATGAGTCGGATCGACTTCTGATTGGTCACCACTCTTTATATGAAATCAAGCCTTATGACCTCGTTGAAGCGGTTCTCATTGCACCTGCCAAAAATAGCGCAGGTAGTATGCAGTGCGGGGCAGTTCTTAGACCAAGGATTCGGCTGCACACATTTCAGGCATGCATCATGAATCCTACGATGGCTTGTCGATTTTGAATAAAGGACAGCGCTTACCACCTGTTTCTCCAGTAAGCTCAATCCCCGATTGGATTATCGCTGAGGATGTTCTCGATTGTCACCGCCGCTGGCATTTTTCTGGCCTTTGCACTTGGAGCATGGTATTCCTTCGGTCTGGGTTCCAGACCCAAGGACTATCCACCGGGACCTCCTACTCTACCGATAATTGGCAATCTACATCAAGTATGTGGTGAAGATCTTACTCAAAGGATAACACTGACCTCGAACAAGATCCCAAGCAAGAACGAGTACCTTCAGTTCGACAAATGGGCTAAGGAGTATGGACCCATCTACAGCATCATGGTTGGTAGCCGACCAGTTATCGTAATAAGCAGTGTGGACATCGTCAGAGATCTGTTCGACAAGCGCGGTGCTATCTACTCTGATCGTCCGGAGGCTTACGCGGCGAAACATGTGCCAGTGTCGAAACTTCGAATGGCCTTCATGGTGAGTGGACCCTATGGCACAAAGACAAACATCCACTGATCTCTGATGTGCTTCAGCGCTACACTCCTCTGTGGCGTACATTGCGCAAAGTGACTCACTCTCTGCTGTCTATCAACGCCGTCAAGAACTATGATCCCTATCAGGAGCTCGAACGCAAGCAGATGTTAGATGAAATGCTTACAAATCCCGACGACTTCTTCTCCAGTCTACAGAGATTCACGACGTCCCTGACCGCTACTCTTCTGTTCGGTTGGAGAGCTCCATCAGCCGCCGACCCAAAGCTGCTCAAGCTTGATCGTGAGTTTGCTGCTCTACAAGCTGCTCTTGGTACAGCAGCAGCAGCTCTACTTGATGCTTTCCCCGTCCTGAGATTTTTGCCTGATGCTCTTCTTCCTGTCAAAGGCAGAGTTCGTCTCGCACTACAGATGGGCCACGAAGTCCACATGGAAAACTGGTACGCCGTCAAGGAGAACCTTAAGAACGGAACTCTGAGTCCCTGCATGAGTGTCGGACTTGCTAAGGCACAAGAGAAGGAAGGTATCACAGATGTCGAAGCTGCTTACACCGTAGGAAATATCCTCGAAGGCGGCATGGAGACTACATCAACCACTTTGTATGCCTTCATCCAAGCCATGTTATTGTTCCCCGAAGTCCAAGCAAGAGCACAGGAAGAGATCGATCGAGTCGTGGGACCAGATCGTCTGCCAGTCATGGCTGATGCAGCCAACTTGCCTTACATCCGGCGGTGTGTAAAAGAGATCGTGCGATGGTTTGTGGTTGGACCTCTGGGCGCGGTTCCTCATGCTTGCACCCGAGACGACGAGTATATGGGCTACAAAATTCCAAAGGGAGCACCCATCATGTTGAATGCGTGGGCGATTATGACAGATCCAAACCGATACACAGAACCTCGCCGCTTCAACCCCGATCGCTTTGCCGATGATAGTGATGGCCTATCCATGGCGGAGATGGCAGCTCATCCAGACCCAAGCAAGAGAGATACTGTAGGCTTCGGAGCTGGTCGACGCATCTGCCCGGGCATGCATGTTGCTGACAGAAGCTTATTTCTTGGTATCACAGGCATCTTGTGGTCGTTTTCGATCACACCCAAGAAAGATGCTCAGGGTGAAGATATGTTGCCTGATGCCGACAACTTGGTTGTTGCCATCTCAGCTAGACCTGAAGCTTTCGAAGCAAACATCCTGCCTCGTGATGAGAAAAGGGCGCGTATCATCAGAGAACAATGGGAGGATGCTCAGAGACTGCTTGATCCTGACACTAAGCAGTGGAAGGAAGCGCCGGCAGGTGACTGGGATTCTTCTCTCAAAGTGTGAATCAGGGCAACAATCATGATGTCATTTTTGCTGGAAGAGATACCTATCCAACTTCTGGAGCGGCAGCCAACTCGAGTCGAGATTTGACGTGGATAATGGTGACGGCTTTCACCATTGCATTTTGGTGGGCTTGATTCGGGAGTCAAAAACAATGGTAATGCTTGATAGCGATGCAACTGTTCTCAATACATGTTCCGTAGTCTCTCGTCAATCTCAGTATGGGTATTTGATAGCACCCGTGAATACATCTTTGTAGTTCACGCCCTCGCCTTTTGACTTCTTTTCGGCGTTTCCCAATACAGGCTCAATCCTAGCGTTCCAGTTTGGATCGAAGAAGAATGGGATTGATATGCGCATATCTTGAGATGTGTGCAATACCTTATGTTGTGTTGATTTATATATACCATCGGTCCAGACAGAAAGCATGTCGCCAATGTTACAGATCAGAGCACCCTAAGTATGATTAGCACCAATCATGTCGAAGCAAGAGGCTAATGTAAACTCACTGGAACGGGATCGGCGGATAACCAATCTTCTCCATTGGGAGCGAGAACTTTCAGCGAGCCTTTGTGGTCATCAGTCAAGAGAAACGTTAGAATACCAAAGTCACTGTGCTGGTACAATCCGCTCTTGGTTTGATCCAGCCCTTCCGGCACACCAGGATACGCAGCCAAACGCAATTGCCAGAATGACTGATCAACTCTGCTGGCGAATGTTTCTTCCGGTACGTCTAAGGCCAGAGCAAAAGCTTTCATGATCGCAACACCAAGGGTCTCTAGATGTGTAGTGTATTCTTCAGCGGTCGAGCGAAGCGATTCTGGTGTTTGGGGCCATTGGTTGCGACCAAGGCCTCGGGTGTACGGTGGCCCATCTGTTTCGATCTCGCGAAGGAAATCGACAGCCTGCAAAGAAGAACATCAATATCTTTATTTTATGGATATTTATTTCTCAAGCTTACTTCGTAGCCTGCATCAGCTCTCTCGACTACCCTGTAGCCTCTGCTATCATCGCCGGTCCCCTCGCCGCTAGGCCTGACTTTGATCCGATCCTTCTCCTCAGTGGAAGCGGTGGTGAAGAACTGCTTGGCGTTTGATAGCATGTCCGAGAACAAAGATGGATCGATTCCATGACCCGAGAGATAGAAGAAGCCGACCTCGCGACATGCTTGGTCAAGGTTCTTGGCTACCTCGAGCTTTACATGGTCGCTGCTGGTTGAGTCCAGGAAAGCCGAAAAATCAATGATTGGAATGTGCATAGTGAGCTGGTTCAGAAACTTGTTGAATTGCAGTGTGAAGTGGTGAGGTATCGACCGAATACATCTGTCTCGCTGAATCACCTTCCCCACAGTGTAGATACTGAAGTCTGCGGTGTCTACAATAGGCAACTGCCGTGACAAGAGGACCTGCTTGAGTACATCGTCAAACAAGGCCTTGCGATTCTCGGCGTGTCCGGCCAGTGGACAGCTAGACCGAAATGTTGATGTCTTGATTTCTAGGAAGCAGCGAACTTGATACTGGTTGCGACGGGCAAGAGGTAGATAGAGAGCCAAGAGAAGCGCATGGGCCACGAGAGTCCCGCGTGCCGGCCATCCGCCGAAAAGCACTCTATTTCCGTCGCTGCCCGAAAGTGTACCGATGAACAGACATGGCAATGACAGCACTCCATCGCTTCGATCTTGCAATACAGAACTCCTTCGCCCTTATGAAAACATATCGAGATCGTCTATGAGGGCTGGAAAGAGTCGCGAGAGTCGAGAGAGGCGAAAAATAACGACGACGGCTTCCACCTCCCACCGCTTCTTGACTTTCTTCGTGGATTCTTTCCGTCTTTCATGTTGCTTGCAAGGGGATTGAAAGCTGTTTACATGACTAGCACTGCCTCTGTCAATACCCGTGATGTGGGTCTGCGGTGATAGCCATCAATCATGGACTGCTTGCGGCAAGATCGTCTGAAGGATTCACGGCCGTATACTCTTGCCAGTCTCGCCGAGCTAAGTGTAGCAATATAAGGATGCCTGAAGCCAGCATGCTTCGTGATGACTTGCTAAAGAAACCTGCCAGTCTTGTTGTTGTTACTTGTCTTCCAACAACAACACCAACATACCTTTCAGCTGCCAACCAGAGTCATTTCGTCCGCCTACCCGCCCAGAACCTACGACATGGATACTCTTTTATCAGCCATGCGCACAAGTGCAATTATCGCATCGACAATCATAGCTATCGTCGCTCTCGTCGCCACAACCTGGATCATTGGCGTCAAACTCGCCGAGCCCTTCGGTGTCATCCTGTTCAATGCGTGCGCCAGCCTCGGCACCGCGCTCGATGACCAAGAAGCCTCGAGCGCTCATAAAAACGAATCCGTCAAGACATCTCAGCGCGAAAATCGCAAGAAACTCGAAAGACTGCTCTCTGGTGCCGTTGCAATGTTTCTTGTGTTTTGCACAGTCGTTTTTGAGCAGGCACTAGCAAGTGTGGGAGTCAATTATATCAGCTTGTGGGACTACTGTATCTTGGTGCTCAAGGGAATATTTGAGGCCTTTGTTGCTTTGGGCATGCTCAGACTGGCGCTCGCTGCAGCTCGGAGACTGTTGTCAAACTGAGACCCTCTCGGAACCTCTATCTACTCTGGAATGATATATTCAGGTGTGCTCGAGTACATCCCGCTATCTGGTCAATCCTCATATCCCGGCTGGCTGGATGCTCACGGAAGATCCTACTCTCCCTGAACTTCTGAAACCAAACATCCCGACAAAACAGATGACGGCAGAGCCGAGATTATCGGATGTTTCTTGAGTCGAAACTGAGTCCATGGTGTGCAGATACAAAAAGTCGATGGCAAAGTCGTTTCAGTCTAGGAGTGGCTCATATTGTTGTCGGGGGGAAGCAAAAATCAAAGGTTAGGTGTTATGCTACCAATGGCGGCAATGCTGTACTGCAGATGTTCTTAGAAACTCTGCCGAGGACACCAGGTGACTATTTCTCGCTCAAACCGCTCAATTACACATGGTCGTCTGGTACAGTCATACACTGATAGTTGTGATTGATTGTAAGGTGGCGCAGCTTTGATCTGGAAATCGAAATGGACTTATACTGCCGCAACCACTTTCTTCCTTGGAATAGTAGTTAAGGTTAGAGTTATCAAATGGATATACAAACGAAAAGGACCACTTCACATTCCCCAATCAGATTTCCAATTTCAACCAAACAGCTTCAGAAGGTATATCCTTCTCAATCACCCATAGCATGTATACGCCAGGTGGCATGATCGTAGGGTTGAACGGGGAGGTAACGTCAATGAAGTAATCGCCATCAGGGCTCAACACAGCCTCCAGCTGCACCATCCTCGCTCCCATATCAACACCATGAGTGTGGAAGCCCGAGTAAGAAAGTCTGACGACTACATCCTCGCGAGCACCTTCGGCTGCAATCTGAAATTTCTCATTGTACTTCACAGAAACGGGGTATGCGGTGATGAAAGGACGGCGAGCAGCGTCCATATAAGGCGGCGCGAAGATTTCAACACGATATTCTGTAGGATATGCCGTGTCGGGCTCCTGCTGTTGGTGAAGGTAGGATGTGTGGCCGTTGTTTCCAAACAGTGGATAATTCTTGTTCGCTAGCGAAACGTTACCAATTGGGTTGTAGAATACGTCTGGATTTGAGCCGGCGACCAGAACCTCTCCGGTGGGCAGGAGGATGGCAACCGAGTGGTACATCCTAGGAATCCCGGTTGTAGCTGACTTGGTGAAACGTTGCCCGGCGGGCTTGTTGCCGTCGTAAATCAGTGCTTGTAACGCAGGGTCTTCGGCTTGGTAGCCTCCAGCACTTCCTCTGTGGGCACCGTTCATCATAACGATGGTTCCATCAGGGAGGTGGACAGGTTCTATCATCGTCTGGCCACCGTTCGGCAATGCATCATCCTCTTCCCAAAGAGGGTTCTCATCATTTGGCCTGATCCTATAGCAGTCAGGCAGAGCTTTGGGATTCGGAATGTCTCCGGAGCTTCCACCACAGACTAGAATAGTGGGCTCGTAACCACCAACACCAAGGGGCAGTAGCACAGCAGCAGCTGATCCTGGGAAGGTGCGCGGACCCCCAGGAATGTCTGGCAGGTTCTTGTGTACTGTGTCAGTCGCATAGTTGTAGACATTTGCCCGGGTTCCAGCGAGCGTGAAGATGTGGTCGGCGCCCTCGTCGTTCGGAATCAACTGGACTAATTGGGAGTTAGCAGAAGCTCGATCCGTAGAAGGTAGCTGCACATACGGATCGGGTAGAGATTGAAAGACATATCAGCGTTCTGATTGTCCTGAGCTTCAAATTCCAAGATGGTCAAATTTTTCTGAGGTGGTGCTTTACTGCCGTCGGCTTTGATCAGCTCATAGGTGGGATTGTTGATAGAAGCCTCGTTGGTGACCAGCAGACCAACATCCGAACCACCAACAACAAGGATATCACCGTTCGTCATGGTGATGGAGGTTGGATACCATCTGCGAGATTGCAGCTCGTCCACGTTGACCTCGAAATCCATATTACATCCGTCCATCTCGCAAGGGCCTGGCTTATACCTCCGCACAGTCTGACGGCCATCCTGGAGTCTTTTCGTGTTGGCTTCGCCGGAGTAGAGCTCCGCACCTGCTACATTAACCATCGTTCCGTCGGGAAAGAAAGCGCCGGCAGCACAGAACGTATTTGACTTTGGAGACAGCTTGCGGAGGTTGTTGGTATGCCACTCGTACTCGGCACCGAAAACGAACAATCCCGACCCGTCATCCTGCATGAATGCATCAGGAGAGTGAGCACCAGTCTTGAGATCCACTCCTGGGCCACCAAAGTTGCGATGATAACTGTATCCCGTCAGCACATATCGTTTGATGGATGTGATCTTTGACATACTTGTCGAGGAAGACTACAGTGTCAGTGTAAGGAGGCACAAAGACCATCTGAGCAGCACATCCCGATGAGCCCACAGTACGATAGCTTGCCGCGTGAGCCAAGGCCGTGAAGGTAAGAAATAGAGCGCAAAGCTGTATCTGAAGAGTCATGATTGAAGTGCTTGCAGGATGTTGATCTAGACATCTCAGGGACGCAACTATATCATATACTCAACGGAGATTTCGAAAGCTGCACTGCCTAACACAAGCATTCGCTTGATAGCCATAACACCAAACTGTAAAGAGGACTGTGCAGAAAGTGTTCTCGAGCCACTTGCATGGGCCGTCGAGGACAGAGCTCGTTCGCAGTAAACTAGAACGGTAAACAGATTGACGAAGATAGTCTTTAAAGTGGGGAGAGGCGGTCGAGCCAAGAGAATGCGGCTACTCAGTGTCGCGATTAGATGAATCAAGCGGTGCTTTGGCCCAGTGGACCAGAAAAGACGGCGTGGCATGCTCTAAAGTGGAAGCTGTACTCCGTGGTTGTTCGGCTTCGACCAAGATTATCAGGGCAGGACCATCCAACTGTGCAAGCGATATTGATGTCTGGGATTGATTGTTTTTTTGGGAAGTGCCGATGACGCAAATCCTTCCAGAATTAGAAGCTGCCTCATGCGACCAAGACTTTACTATGTCTGCATATAACTCAAGTAATAGAGAACTCGGGCATGTCCGCTGCAAACTGCTGCCAGTATTCCCAAAATTCCGGATCGTCTGGGATGGCGATTTTGCTCCAGTCTGGGTCAATATTAAAGTCGCTTCCATCGAAACTGTTCGTTCCGCTATTATCTTCTGTAATCGTGGATTCGGATGCTGTATGAGGCACTGCTTCGCCAGCTACGACTGCTGATGACTTCAGTCTCAGTGTTTGTATAAACTGAGGTACAGCATGCTCTAGATGTCGACCCTTTGTCGACTTCTGCCATGCTTTCAGGGTAAGATTTCGGACTGCGTTGTATATGGAATTACTTTCGTCATATAAAAGTCGTGGCTGAGAATCATAGGCCTTTTCTATCTCTGACCAGACGGTCTCAATAGACACTGGCAGAGGCTGTTCAGCAGTTCTATACGCAATCTCCGCCAATAGAAACATGAATGCGTCGAGTGGAAAGAACGCATTGGCCTGCCAAAGGAATTTCTGTACAGTCCTATCTTTCGCAAAGGTATTTGGTGCTTCGGCCAGCTGCAGACAAAGCAGAAATGTTCGGTCTCGCTCCTCCAAAGACAAGCCAGACTTGGCATACATTGAGCGTCGTCGGACGGTCAGCTTGATGCGGGCGATAGCGCCTCTGCCAAAGAGCTGCAACATTTTGTGCATTGGTATAGAAGGATCGCAGTACTTTAAGAGTCTGTTCTCGAGACGTTGTTGTAGTTCGTCAATGACAGCATCTACTTGGCTGAGATCATGCGACGATTTGTCGGGATTGGTGTAAGCCATTGTGAGCTCGCCGACTTCGAAGCGGGCGCTACAAAAGCTCATTTCGGTTATACCAAGGGTTTCTTTTTGCAGGGATGTCTGTTCTGGATGAAGATCTGAGTCATTGATGTTCAAGGGTCGATTGGTGTCCCAGAAGCCTTGAGAAAATACAATGGATGTCACACCGCATTGTTTGGCAGCAAAGCTTTCGAGGTGTGCCAACTCCCACCACAAGCGTCGGCACAACTCGGCTTGGAACACAGTTACAGAAGGGCTTTGGAGCGCTCTTTCCCGATGGTAGCCCAGCTGCTGGGCAGTACGAATAGCCACTCCAGTCAACTGCCACAAGGTTTGAGGATCGCTCTTTGCTCGCTGTGCAACCAGGAACAGGGTCAAGGCCTGGAGTGTGATGAAATTGGGCTTTTGTAGAAAGCGTGCGTTGACCAGAGCCTGTTGGGCCAATCCAGTGTATACGTCGATCAGCTTGTTGACTGGCTGACCCATGATTCTTTCGGCTTCGACTTGGTCACAGTGAGGTACGGAGGAGAGAGCAATCAAGTATATCGAGAAGAGCAGTGCTTCTTTGTTCGGACGTAACTGCTTCGTGGTATCGGAAGCAGCATCAAAGATTAGAGGCTGCACTGTAGGAATGTGCAGCATTTTGACAAGAGGATTGACATTCTCTAAGTAGGTTTTCCAGAGCCAGATGACGCAGCTTAGACTAGGATGTTGATGAGACAGGTTGACATTGGATTGTCCAAGGACGAGTCCCTCGGCAGACATAGAATGTGGACTTGTAAAGGGGGTCGGGTCGATCTCCACTTCTGAATCTTCTTCTCCAGCCATGGTCGAAAGCTACAAGGACTGTAAGCAATGGTCTAGAGAAGTGATGAAAACGATACTTCTCTGCCCACACCAACCCACATAACGCTATAGGCTATCAGTACGAGACTACTCAGGGACGATTGCGGGCAAGCACTTCTCAACATAGTGTGAGTGACCTCGCTCGTTCACGTGCTCAGCGACGCTTGGTTCGATGATATTGGATCTGCTAGGCGTGCTGTTGAGCACAACATTGGAGCCTCGAGCTTCTTTAGCACGTCTACTTCGAGCAGGCTGGACAGGCTTCGAGATGCATTGCGCATCCGACTTCCGACATGTTGAACACGGTCTCTGGCCGTCACATCGTACCTTGCGAAGAGCACAAGCGACACAGCTGTGTCCCCGGGTGATGGTCTTTTTCGGACGCGAGGATGCCATCTCCTGAGCAACACCTTCGGACGCGACGGCAGAGTGTGATGACATGTTTAAAGGATGAAGTTCGGTCTCGAATGACGAAATCGTTGATACTCTGTACTACGAAAAGTTCATCGTTGGAGAGAAGAAAGTCATGTGTGTACGAATGGAAAAAGGTCTCGGTCGCGAGCTGCGAAGCTTTGGGGAGGACTCGGGCCCGAAGACACTCGGTCGGTCCCAGCCTCCCGTTCGCTTGCTCAGTCACGACTTCTGGCCACTCGCTCTTACTCGCTATCTTCTTTGCTTCTTTCGATTCTGCGCAACATTCTAAAGTGATAGACTGCTATGGACATGATCTAAACACTCACAGGGAAAGCGCCCTCAGAGTTTATTCCCGTCCGATATGCTGTCATCGGTTGCCTTGAATCTGGCTGCCTGCCAAGCTCTCAGATTCAGGAATCCTTTGGAGAGATCCTTCTACTTCTAGTATTGCCGATCTATACCGGCGTGAAGATGCATAAGCAAGCATTCTAATTTGAGCCTCGCAGAGCGATCGCATATTATCATTCTATCGTACATCAACTGTCTAAACGTCTGGAACAACTTGTCAAGTGGACTTGTACTACGATGTGATTGTCGCTGAACAAACCACACAGCACAAAAATAGTTCAGACATGCTTTCCATCCTACTGCCGCCAAGCGGACTAGGAAATCCTTCCACTGCGAACGTGTATAAGATCGACTACAAAGCTGTTGGAAGATCAATCTGACATGGCAGGTGATGCATGATGCTGCGGTCACGGTAGAATATGGTTCCAGCAACCTATAAGTCGACGAGTCTGCCAGACGTTTCTCCTCCATACTGAACTCTGAATTGCGATATTGCCGTACTCTTTACTCTGAACTAGATATTTACAATGACTCCGAAATCACTGGTCTTCCTTTCGACACTTTCCCTCGCGTCGGCCCAAGCATTTGATCGTGGCGTGTACGGTCTAGGCTACTGGAATGAGACCTATGCTGTCGCGGCTAATCAGAATCCCAATAATACTAAATCAGTGCCATTCCAGATTGGCACCCAGAACTACACCTTCCAGGTCAACGTTGCCGAATTCATACCAACTGGATCTCAGGCGAATCGCACCCAAGATCCGCGCCAGGCAGCTTCTTTCTACAACCTTCTCTGGTCTGGAGAAGAGACTCTGAACGAAACTCTGAGAAATGCAGTCACTCCTGACGCGGGAGTGATCACACCACAGCTTTGTGTAACCATCCCCATGGGTACTGCGCCGAGGTCCGCAACGAACAACTACAGAGAAGAAGACAATGGAGACTGCTTGCACGCGTTAGGAAAGCAATGCATGGCTGCTCTCAAGAACATCGGTCCCACTATAATCAGTCAATGTAATGGGTTGTGGATGCCAGAAAGCTGTAGCTCCAAACTCGGATCTGGTTTGGGAAGTACCAGTAAGCTTGCTTTTCGCACATACACAGGATACAGATCTTTGACATACTAACATCGACACAGAAATTCTTAGTGCGGCAAGCAACAGAACCGACGAAGTGTTCACAATGTCTCCTGTCGAGTTTGCATCTTATCGCTCGCAGATTTTCTCGGCTGGAAATGAGAGTTATTACGAACGAGAGGACCAGAGGCTTCATGTTGCCTTTTTGTCTGGAAGCTGGGGCATCACGCCGATCTGCACTCGTGTCAACAACACAAAGTTGGGTAAGAATGACATCGCAGTCGAACAGGGAGGTGCCGGAAGCGTAAGAGGAAGTATCGGTCTTTCGGTGGTGGTTGCTTTGGCTGCTGCCATGTTCATGCTCTGATAGATGCACTAGGACACATCAAACCCGCCCTTGGACTGGTCCCCTGTAGATAGTAGGTAGACTCTTGAAATCGGTTTGCATATTGAGCTGTTGTACGGGACAGATGTAATGTCTTTCCAAGGTGGATTTGCTTGGAAGAATATCCTTGATCTGCTGATTCCGATGCCTTCCGAAACGTGCACAGACTATGTGTTGTTACAGACAGAATGCTTGAAACGACAGGCTCCATCTTTCTTGCTTCTCCTTCACGAGACTTGATGGAATTCCGAGGCTTCACGGTGTTTTGAACATGAACAAAATCGATGGAACAGAGTGATTATAATGTCAAATCGAATGCTCAGTAGATTTCAAGCCTGCCAGACGTCGCTGTAGGCAAGCAGAGTAAGTGCATAGTACTAGGGCTTATACTGCTTGCATGCTTTGTATGCTTGAAGAGATGATTGGGATCGTCGTTGCTCTTACCATCGTCGTCAGCGGATTTAGTGTCAGACAACACAGCAACTCTGATGTTTAGCAGGCATCACTGTCTAGCCCTGCAAATTGAAAGATTCAACATCTGCGAAGCGCTCTCAATGTGGGTAGGGCGAGCGATTCTGGTGAGTATATGTAGGTCTACCGTGAGCTCTCGCGGAATTCTCTCTCGGTATTCTCTCATAACCAACTGTTCACACCCTTTTCGAACCTTTCTTTTGCAATGAGATACTTTGGTATTGCCGCTTCGGCCACTGCCTTGATGGCTGGTGTTGCTTCCGCCGCCGTAACTGGTGTCACTGGTAAACCCGAAGGCTTTGCCTCCTCAACGACCGGTGGTGGTGATACTGCTGCTGTCTACCCTTCCACTACCGACGAGCTGGTCTCGTACCTTGGCGACGACTCTGCTCGTGTCATTGTCTTGACCAAGACTTTTGACTTCCGCGGCACCGAGGGCACTACAACCAGCTCTGGATGCGCTCCTTGTAAGTTGATCTGGCAGCAGTCTCGTCATACCTCAATGGCATACAGAATGCTGATCTGACACTAATGTAGGGGGTACTGGCACTGGATGCCAGACTGCTATTGACAAGGACAAGTGGTGCGAAAACTATGAACCGGATGCACCCTCGGTCTCCAGCATCACCTATGATGCAGCTGGAACCCTTGGAATTACTGTTGGCTCAGACAAATCAATCGTCGGCGATGGCTCCAAGGGTGTTATCAAAGGCAAGGGCTTGAGAATCGTGAATGGAGCCCAGAACGTCATTCTTCAGAACATCCAGATTTCCGATATCAACCCTGAATATGTTTGGGGTGGAGATGCCATCACCTTGGATGGAACAGACAATGTCTGGATCGACCACGTTACGGTACGTCTTCATACGTCCTACTACCCATATTGTGACTAATCGTTGTGCTAGACTTCCAACATCGCAAGACAGCACATCGTCTTGGGCACCGAAGCTTCTGGAAACGTAACAATCTCCAACTCCTACATCGACGGTTCCGGCGATTACAGCGCAACCTGCGACGGACACCAATACTGGGCTCTCTACTTCGACGGCTCAGACGACAAAGTAACCTTCAAAAACAACTACATCTACCAAACCTCTGGACGCGCTCCCAAAGTCCAGACCGGAACTCTTCTTCACGCCGTCAACAACTACTGGAACGACAACTCAGGCCACGCCTTCGAGATTGGCGAGGGCGGCTACGTTCTCGCCGAGGGAAATGTGTTTGAGAATGTCGAGGCACCTCTGGAGGCTTCTTCGTTTGCTGGAAAGCTGTTTACTGCTGATTCGGGCTCGTCTTGCAGCTCTGCCCTCGGCCGCGCTTGTGAAGCAAATTCTCTCACTGGTTCTGGCGCTTTTAGCGAGAGCGACACTGATTTGCTTACCAAGTTCTCTGGTGCTGCTGTCGCGGCTGCGGATCCTGCTTCCGAAGTCAAGTCGTATGTCACTGCCAACGCTGGCGTTGGTAAGCTTTCTCAGTAGGTGACAAGACTTGCTGCTGGTTGGCTGTATGGGTGCTCGCAGTGGATGGTGTGTGGTAGCTGGTATGCCTGTGTATATTCTCTCTTCTATGTTCGTACTGGCGATACATCGAGCCGTTCCTCCTCTCAGCAATACGGTAGATCTGTCATTCTAGCTCTCGATGCACTTACAGAATGAATCCATGTGAATCGGACTGCTGAGAAATTGTCACAAGATGCACACAAGGGGAAAGACGTTTATGAACAAGAAAAGTGACTTTTCCGCATAGAGAGAAGTATGTACTCGAAAAATCGAAAGGAGACGCAGAGGTCAAAATAAAACACAAATGTCGCTGCTAGCAGAAGACAGATGTATCGAGCAGAGGACCAACAAGACATTAGCCACAGCTGAGGAGAATTGGTTTGAGAAATCGAAAAAGCACGCCGTGTGGACCACATCCAAAAGAAGCCCGAGAAAACAGATCTCACCCCCTGCGCCTTGCCCTAGGAAATGTAAAGAAGGTAGTGACCAAGAAGAAAACAGGCGTATACATGCCCAACGCCGGGCTGGAGAAATAAACAACATTGTAGTTGGCTGGCGTGATGCACAAGGCAAACAAAGATTGTAAATGTGTACAAAAAGGAGATCTCTCTTTAGCGGCTCATGTCCCAAGAGGGCTTAAGGGCTGCGTTGAGGTCGCTTTGTGTGCCTACCATGTCGCCTGGCAAACGGCTGACGCGGTAGGCACCAGCACGGATGGCGTTTTGTTGGACGTTGGAGATGCCACTGCGGTTGCTGCGAATACTGCCGGCATCACTTGCGGTGCCTTCGTTGCGGAAGCGTGGTGGGGGTGCAAAGTCCAGAGCGGTGAAAGTCGACGACTTGCGAAGAGCGTGGCTGGAAGGAGATTGGTCAGCAAAAGAAAGATCGGCTAGGTAAATTGGAAGTGACTTACGCGCTGGGAATCACAGCAAGGTCATCGAAACTCGTTGCAAGAGGTGTGAAGGCACGGACGGCAGGGCTGTAGGGTCTTGAGGGACTGTCTGGCGTGCGGCCGGCTTGACGATCACGGTATGAGACGGGAGGGGCAAAGAGGGTAGGCGTGAAAGTCATATCGTCGGTCATGGCAGAAGGAGTGGGCAGGTTGTGCAGAGCGATCGGTGGGGGCAGCTTCTTCTTGGGCTGCTGAGGAGGGCGACGGAAAGCAGGGTTGGCAATGTGACCGGTCGAGCCGAAAGAAGTGTTGCTGCGGACACGGCCACCACCCACACGAGGAGGAGGAGTCATGGCACGACGAGCCATGGGCTGAGCGAAGGGAGCCTGGGGAGCTTCGTACATGTAGGCGCTGTAGTCGGCGTAGATGTCGGCCTCGTACTCGTTCTGATATTGTCCTTGAGGGTTGGGCTTGCTGTCATCAAAGTATTCCTTGTAGAAAGAGCGGATACGGTTGGCGCGCTGTTCAGGGTTGTCATCAGGGTGGTCCGGAGGAAGGGGACGAAGGCCCATGACCGACACACGGCGGGCGTCGGGAGCAGCAGCGTACAGGTTGTCCTGTGCATAGTCGTTGACAGGGTAGTGAGCGGCAGCGGCATCTTGTTGGTGAGCAGGAGGCGAGGGAGCAGTGACGTGAGCAGGGGGTGCAGGAGCGCGCTGGTGTTCGGGTGGCGAAGGGGGAGTGATGTGGAAAACATCAGGGTTGGGCATGGTGAGCTTTGGAGGAGCGGGCTTGTTACGAGGGGCGGCAGATGCAGAGAATGAAGCGTTCATGTGGGCTGGCGGCGGGGGAGCAGGAGCAGCAGCCGAGTACTCGGGCGAGTAGACGCGCTCAGGGGACTGGTCGTCGAAGGGGTTGGAGCGCGACATGCGCTGGGCGTTGTGCAGGAGGCCAGCATTGAGGTTCTCGGATCGTTCGCTGTATTCGGTGTAGACAGAAGCATTGCCGGGCTTGGGTCGCGAAGAAGTGCGGTCGGGAATGGAGCTGGAGTTGGTGCTGGTCATGGTCACGGGACGGTAGGGGTCTTCGCCATCGGTGATTGAGCGAGATATTGAGCGGAGCGAAGAGGAAGAGCTGCTGACGGCACCAGGAAGCAGATAGGGAGTGTTCATCATGTCAAGCGAGAGGCCCTTGGTGTGCATGATGTTTTTGGTCGACTTCTCCATGTCGGTGATGGTCATCTCAGGCACACCCTTGGGCCCTCTGCCCTTGGCTGACACATCGTCCAAGCCAAAGTCGAGCGACTTGTACTTGTCGTCACGGTCCTCTTGAGCGTGCTTTCGCTTGACGCGTCTGTGCAGAAAGAAGAGGACGAGAGCGGCAATGACTACGGGAACACTGTGTTGGACATGTCAGAAGGGCGCATACAGCAGCAAAGAATAGCCGGACTCACGCTACGGCGACACCGATGATGATACTGGTCGAGTTACCGGCAGTGGTCGGCTTCTGGCATGTTCCTGTGTTGTCTCCGGCCTTGCAAGTCGATGTGGCAGAGGTAGCAGCTGAGCGCTGCACCAGCGTTGGTGCGTCGTTGACTGTGGCATCTGCAAAGGTCGCGATGCTAGGCATGTGCTGGTGCGGCACATGCCATCTGTGATGCGAGCTGAGGGTGACGGGCATCGTGTGTTTGTCTTGTTTTGTTTGTCGTCGTGAGTAGGCGATTGCGTTGTTTGTGTCCAGGAGGTCGGGCGGTTATTGGCAGCAGTACATCCAGGCAGTATTATGGGCGATTAAGGATAGACGGGAATTAAGGATGCGGCGGTTTCGAAAGAGTGACTTGGCGAGAGGATATTTACAAAGAGCGACTGGGGTGAATGAGCGTGAGTGGTATGCGAGGTCAAAGGAGCGTCAGAGCAGGTGCAGCAGGGAAGCAAGAGCGAGCAGAGCGAACAAACATCAACGAGTCGGCCGGGGTCGAGAAACGTGCGAAGGAATGGACCTGCCTGCCTTGGCGACACCACAACGCTCGACGTCTCCTCGATCCGCCGCCCTAAGGGGTCCGTAGGTAATTACCGACCCACATCCGTCCTGCACTCTTGACTGCTTCCCCTTCCAATGATCTCCCACAGGCCGTCTCATCTTGCTGCCATTGCTAATCAAGCTATTTTCTGCTTTATCGCTCCTGCAGCGCCTGCCTCGAGGTCACAACGACCACGCAGCTTTGCCAAAAGTGCCGACATCTCGTCCTGGTTGTGGCTTCTCTCTGTCTGACGGGTCCACTACAAAACTTTGTAACCCCTTCTGCTGTCTCACGACCAAACCCTGTCCCACGTCGTGAATGCAGGTACGCGCCCGATCAGGCATGGTGAGTTGCCTGTTCCTGAAGAACTGGTCAGAGCTCCCGCTTCCAAGCTTTCGCTTATCCACATCTCTCCCACCGACCCATTGTTTTGTTGTTGTCCAAGAAGACGGTTAGATGTCACTCCGCTGCCGGATACCGGCTGCACTGTTCTCTCTTCTACCCATCTCGTCCTCATCACCAAGGAGATTGGGGCCTTAACGAAACCGCTTAATCGAACGTGCCGCCCGTCGTCTCGCACACATCTCATATATGCGACTGTTGTGCGTGCCGCATCGCCCACGGCACGCCATCATTTGGAAACAAAGCCTGAGCTTCCTTCGCCCTCGAAGCATTACTCGCTTGTCTGCCTCCATATGCAGCCAAGGCATTGATCTTAATTTCACTACTCGTTCGTTCGCCTCCACTTTACTTGTCCTATGTATGTGACGCCTGCCGTCCATGCCATGAAACACCCGCTGTGCTCTGTGCGACTCGCTCGCCGACTGGCCAGACCACAGATCTGTTGAGCTCCAACGACGTCGATTCGACTTCCTCTCTTTGGTCCCACATGGTGTGTGAGAAGATCACGCCTCTTGCTTGTAAACACTCTTCCCGACACAGCCTCCTTCCTATATGCAATCTCGCTTTTCATGTAGTTCACAGGTTGGAGATCTCTCGCTTGCATTGGTTGGAGACGATGTAAGGCTTGCTGTTTCTAGAGTCGATCAAGAACAATTCCAACAACTTCCATGTCGCATCATGGTCGACGACACCTGAGGCCTGGAGTTTCACCTTCTGTGGATACGTCAACGAAAAGGCATTGTTCACATCAATGACAGCAGTAGTGAGCTGGCACTTGTTGTTGTGAAGATCGATTTGAAAAGCGGCCCTTCGCTTGCGCACCTATCCGGTCTTGCTATACAAACTCTACAGCTCCAGACCTCCCGCGTGTCGAAGAACTTATAAGCGTGTCCATGTCCGCGGCTGCCGAATGCTTCATGTGGGTCCATTATGGCTAGGTGATGCTTAACACCACATAACCGTTATATTGCTATTCCAGTTACGTTCACACAATGCAGGCACCACTCAACAGTCTACTGCAGGCTAATATTGCCGGATTGAAACGAGGAGAGTAAGAATGTTAACCACATCAATAGATGTCAAAACTGCTTCAGGATAGGAGCTCAATGCTTGTCGTGACTGCGTGAATTACACGTTAATTCGATATCGTTATTCTAGGTACATTATGTGTTTAATCCCAATCGCTCTGCCTATGCACATCCCAAACGCCGTGGTCACAACCAGGAATCCCTCAATATACACACCTTTTATCGCTCTACGTCACATGCTCAACCTTCTTCGGCGTTTTGCAGAACTACTTGCGGCCAAAGACGCCGCGTCTCGACTCCTTCTCGCTGACGCCGGGTGTCTCGGTTTGCCAGGCCTTCTTGCTTCCAGTCTTCTTTCCCTTCTTGACGTCTCTTCTGCTGGCACAGCAGCAGCACAGACTAGTCTGGATCAACCAGGCCAGAATCGAAGTGCCTGCTGCAATCCACATGAAGACGAACATCTTGATGCCGAGTTCTGCGCCAATGTTGAGCTCGTCGACCGAGGTGAATGCGTTTTGCATGATGATGAACATGACAGTTGCGATGACGGTAGCGACGGTGGTGAACAGCGCGGCCAAGAAGGTGAAGATACCAGTGAACAGGGTGAGCCAGCGAGAGAAGACGGCCAGTGGGTTCAAGATGATCATGACAAAGGACAAGCAGGCACCTGCGAGGAAGAGACCGAACATCCAGTGCGAGACAACTCTGATAAGGCCGAGGATATCGGTAAGATCCGTAGGTAGTGCGACTGGAGACTCATGTTAGCTGTGGCTATGGAGCACTTGAGCGATAGGTGCAGACGTACGAGTTGCGCCAGATAGCAACTGGCTGACGATGATTTGCACAGGGTTGAACCAGTAGAGAGTCTCAGGTTTGGAGCAACTGGTGACGCCTTGACCATTGTAACCCTGGCAGAAACCCCAAAGACCCACGCGGTAGAAGTCGTGCAGACCGATAGTCTGGGCAATGGAGTTGATGATGGCAGCATCGGGAACAGACTCGGGGAAGATGTTGGTTAGGTTGATGTTGATGAAGTAGATGCTGGTCCTAACGCTTCCAGTGCTAGTGCAGCCGATCTCGACGAGGATCAAGAAGATGACGGTCAAGAGGAGGAGGAAAGACGAGATCAAAGCCCAGGTCATACGAGTGCGAGTTGCTCTCTTGAGCTGAGCCTTTGAGGGACCGTCAATGCCCGGAGTCAAGGTGCGGTCCGTCTCCTCGGAAGGGACCCTGGCATCGGGCGAAATGTCGTCGCGGTTCTTGCGACCAAACATGGTGGAGAGCGACGTGTGGGGAGGCGAGAAGTGTTTGCGGAAACGGGGGAGGTCGACAGCAGCCTGATATGATATGGTACGAATACAGAGAAATTTCCTGACGACAAGACAGAAGGGCCGTGAGGAAAACAATGTCTCATCAAAGGTGCGATGACGAAAGGGCCAAAACGGCCCAGATTTGGTTGATGCGCTTGGAGAAGATATGTCCTTCCCTGGGTTTGGGGCCGACAAGGAGATGCTAGCGCGAGCCCGAGCTTACGACGTGTGCGGTGGCTGCATCAGAAATCTCTTGTCCTGATCCCATGCGTATCCGTACGCTCGTCTTGTTGCGTAAGGTTAGGGGCAGAGGCACGGCCAAGCCCTGGAAATTACATCATGGTAGCCTTCGGACCCCTGCGGCAATCCGTCTAGCGTGCAGCCACATCTTGTCCTTGGTCATGCTAAAGTCAACATCGATTCTGGTTGAATAGCGAATCTGTGCTGCCAAAGCTGTTTGCACGCCCGTAGACTGATGTAAAGACTCGATTTGGTGATTGTGATGGGTCCATATATGCATGGTTCGCACGAGGCAGCTGCAGAGACCAGCACGCCGATCTGTTGATTTCTTTCTCCTTTTCTTCTTCGCACGGTCTGGCGTCCGTTGACCGCGGATCAAGATGCGGCCTGAAAGCCAGTAAACTTACGCGGCACTCCCGGATAGCCTCATCATCGTATTATTATACAAGGATACACCAACAGCATAGCCCATTTTTTTTCTCCAGCTACTCCGACCGCTCTCCACAGACGTCACTCTTGTACTCGAGCACACGCCAACGTCAACCGTCCTTTTTCACCTGCAGCAGCTAGCGCTCGTTGATCTGTTGTGCTTCATCTTCTGTCTTCTCCCTCGACGTTCGCTGTCGTCTGGCAGCCTTGCTCCTCTATCGCTAACCACTCACCACCGCCAATATGTTGCCTCGCAGTCTTTGGCTCGCGGCCCTACTGGCCCTGGGCTCCAGCGCCCAATCTTCAGACAGCACTGCCGCCACCTCGGACGTATCCTCAGCATCTTCGGCCTCGAGATCTGGCAGCGCAAGCGGCAGTAGCTCCGGCAGCCCCGCTGTCGTTACCCTGACCGGTAGTCAGACTTCGTCTGCAGTCTTTACTGGTGGCATGTTCTCATACAAGTCTCTTGGCTCTCAAATCACGGCCTCGACCTTGTATGCAGACGAGTCATCGACCTCCACTTCAAAGTCAGGAACTCGTTCCTCATCTGGTACTGGAACTGCCACAACCACTTCAGCTTCCAAAGGCTCGACAAGCATTGCTACTTTGCTTGTCGGTGGAGGAGGCATTGTGACTCAGAGCGTCATCAACGGAACTGTCACCCTGAGTTCGCACCTAAACTCGACTCGCACCTCGACCGCCGCGGGTACTGGCACCAGCAGCAGTGCTCAACCTACAAACACCACACCCTGCAACAACTACCCTGAGTTCTGCAACCGCAAGTACGGCAACATCACAGAGGTCGTCGCTCACAACGCCGCTTTCAACATCAAGGGCAACCTTGCATCCAACCAGGATCGCAGTATCACTGTCCAGCTCAACGACGGTATCCGCATGATTCAGGGCGAGACGCACTACGTCAACGGATCCATTTTTAGTTGTCACACCTCTTGCGACCTTCTGGACGCTGGCACTTACCTCAAGGAGCTTAACGAAGTCGGCGATTGGGTCCGCGACCACCCCTACGATGTCGTGACCCTCCTCATTGTCAACAGCGACTTCATCGAGCCTGGAAACTACAGTCAGGTCCTCCAGCAGTCTAACTTGGCCGACTACCTGTATGAGCCTCCTTACATCCCTATGCGCCTCGACCAGTGGCCTACTCTCTCCGAGATGATTTTGTCTCAGAAGCGTGTAGTTGTCTTCATGGACTACAACGCTGACCAGGTGAAATATCCCTACATCCTCGACGAATTCACCCATATGTGGGAGACTCCTTTCTCGCCTACCGACCGTGCCTTCCCCTGCACCACTCAGCGTCCTCCCAACCTTGACCAAAAGGCCGCCAGAAACGACTTGATGTATCTCGCCAACCACAACTTGAACACCAACGTCGCTCTCTTCGGCACATCGATCCTGATCCCCAACTCAGCAGAGTTGAACGTCACCAACGCTGCTGCCATTGAATACGGCTCCCTTGGAGCTGCCGAACAGAACTGCACCGGTATGTGATATTTGATTTAATCTTCCGTGTTCCGACTTTACTAACTCGAATTTAGCCATGTGGGACCGTCCCCCTACTTGGTTGTTGGTCGATTACTACGATGTCGGCGACGGATCTGTATTCGAGGTCGCTGCTAAGGCTAACGGCGTGACCTACAACCGTGCCTGCTGTGGTGCTACTTCCACTTCGGCCGCCACTAATACCAAGGGCTCTGCTGTGGCAGTGCTCGTGGCTCTTGCTGCGGCTGTTGTTGTCAGCTTGTAAAATTAATACTCATAGACTTTGGTTATTGCATAGTAGACAGTGGGAAAGGGAACAAAATGGCGTTTGGCATTGTCAGCGATTCAGGATTAGATCATGAGCGATGAATATTAATGAAGTTTCAACATCATCAGAGCCCAGTCGTGCCATTCCTGTTCTGGATGAGTCGGTATTGAATGAGGTGCAGACACAGCCACGCGGCACTCACACGAATGCAAGTCTATGAATAAGACACATTTGAGGCTGGGAGATGAATCTGGTAGTACGAACAGGCTGCAAAATTGAGTTATTGCCGGATAACAAAACAGTCCAATGAGGAGGCTCGCAACGATAGGAAAGAGCATAATGGAGCCCCAAAAGCGAATCGCAGAAAAGGTTTCTTATATACGAAAGCAAGTATCGTTTTGCTGTTCGCCCAATTCAACTCCGACAAAAGTTGCCATCTCGGTTGAAACTGCGCCGCTGGAGCTTCCAATCACGTGACTGTCGAGCTGGCTGCTAGACACGCCACCCTGGCCGTGCAGACAAGCTCTTGTTCCACCTGCTTAACTCGTCACATCGTCAAAACACTGACATGGAAGAATCGACATCGTCCGTCCCCGTGCCTCTGGAGTTATCTGCAGTCGAAAATACTGCTCCTGAGCCACGGAGGAGCGGTCGTGTAAGGAGTTCGACGCAACGCTTCGAATCTAGTGCGCAGCCCGCTGCCTGTGCAACAAAAGCCTCGATGAAGAGGAAGAGATCAGACCCGACAGATGACGACAAGAGCAGCCAGCATCAGGATACACAAACGATACATGCGCAATCTGGAGCTGCAAAATACAATTCGAAAGCAACAACCAAACGAGTGGCAAACAATAGATCCATCCAGTCCGACGACGCCAATGCCAAGCCAACCACCAAAGCGCCTTGGTCGCAACACGCAAAGAACGTGATCGATTTGACCCAAGATGATGAAGCGACATCATCTAAGAAGCCGAAGAAAGCAAAGCCAGCCAAAGGCGAGGAAAAGCGGCTCAAACCGTAAGTACCAGGTGCACACAACACCCAGCTAGCTTGCAGACAGCTTATGTCTTGTAGCCACCGCAAACAAGCACCACAGAAGTATGCTACTATTGCCCATCGTGCCACGACGCAGCGTATGGTCGTCATCGACAGACGCCGCACGAGTAATCATGACTGCCCACATCAACCTCCACACTGTCCCATGGAAGAGATCGACCTTGCTGGCAGCACAGGCAACATCTACACAGTCAAGATAACCCACGTGCCCGAGTGCACCTGCCCAGACTTTCGTGTCAGAGGAAATCCACAGTGCAAACATATTCTGTATGTTCTGCTGAAAGTTCTGAAGGCGTCTGAGCCTTTGAACTTTCAAGTAGCATTCTTGACCTCGGAACTGGAAGAGATCTTCGACCACGCCGGACCTCTGCCCACCGAGACGATCCACGCCGAAGATAAAGACGGAAAGCGTAAACCCATCGAGGGAGATTGTCCAATCTGCTGCGAAGAGCTCTCCAAAGAAAAGGAGGCCATCGTCTGGTGTCAAGCCGCGTGCGGTAACAATCTCCACAAAACCTGCTTTGACCAATGGGCTGCAACAAAGGGTCACGGCCAAGTGACATGTCCTTACTGCAGAACACAGTGGCAGAATGCAATCGATAGCAGTTCTTTGAAGGGATTGGTCAAGACTGGCCATAAGAACCAGGATGGCTATATCAACGTGGCAGACCAGATCGGACTTCCCAGAGTGAGAGACTACTCCACGTACCATGTGAGTCAGCACACAGTCTGGTCGTGGAAGTGGATGCTAACAAACACATTCAGCAATACTGGGTCCGTGGCCAGCGACGAAACGGGCTGCTCGATGACTACGACTACGATTATGATTACGAGGAATAATGAGAACAACAAAAGCTTGTCAGGTCTTGATAACCGCAATGACTATCCAGAAACTGGAGGTAACGAACGTTTGCTGCCCTCTTTTTTTGCTGTCTATGGAAACCAACTAGGCGTTATTCCTACATTAGCAACGGCACCCACATTCGCTGGTATGTAGCTATGAACTAATTAATGCAAGTGATCTTCATTCGGCCCCGAAGCAAGTGACCAGCCTTGAGCTTTTAGCTGAATACACCGGTTCAAGCACGTAGTTCGGAGCCGGTTTTTCCTTGAATAGTGCGTGTGACAGCGAGAATCCAGAAATACTACCTGTGAGGCCTACCGTTGTCGTTTCCGCACACCCAGCAGGCTCCACAAAGACACTGCCGAAGTCCTCGTGGCCATCCCGACACCTGGCCCCAAGACCCCGCTTGCTTGTAACACCATAACCTCTTCACGGCATTGGTATATTGCCAAAATCCTTGAGTTATGCTCTAGACATTGAGAGGAGCGCTGTTAGAATGTCTTCTGGTGCCGATTGGAAGATGCATTGACTCCATGGTATCATTGAGTAGGCTTCACGAGGACTTGCCGAGGCTCGCTTGGGACCGAGCTCTCTCAGCAAAAGGTGCGGGGCTGGTATACCACCGGTTGATCATCTTTCGAGAGATCTACGTGGTTTTGACTTTGGTGTTCCCCGCCTCGCAAACCGTTGCCTCACTGACCACCTTGGCACCGGACGACCATCATCTGTAGTCTGGAGCACCGAGTAAGGTTAACCATAATCTATCACGACTTTGACAGAGCGGGTCGCTGCCATAAGGTCATCGGTGGACCCTCAACATCGACCGTCTGTCTGCCGTTGTGAGCTTGTTCGCGTGATGCTCTACTCTTGTCTTTTACCTCGGCGTGGATGGCCACATCAACGTGGATATACCGTTTTTACGGCCGTTCAACTATTCCCGATTTCAAATAAGTTCGTAGATCAAAGAGACGCATCTGACCAAGGAGTATAAGTAAGTCTGGTGTCGCACTCTGTTGCTGTATTGATATCTCATACAACCCACTCCTTTCCCAATCACGTACATCGTCATGCGGTCATTACTTGTTGCCTTCACGGCTTTCACCGCTGCCCTCGCAGCCCCGGTAGAGGAGAAGCGCGCAACTGGACCCTCTGCTGTCGTCAAGAACGGAACAGTCATCGGAAGCTCTCTCGGCAATGTCGAGTCTTTCAAGGGTATCCCATTCGCCTTGCCCCCAACAGGCAGCCTGAGGTTGAAGCCTCCTCAATCGATCACAGCATCCTACCCTTCAGGAACGTTCGCAGCTACTGGCGTACCCAAAGCATGCCCGCAATTCTTCAGCCAAGTCGACAGTACTGACATACCTGCCGATGTTCTTGGAGAAGTTTTAATGTCGCCACTATTGCAAGTGGCAACTGACACTGGAGAGGACTGTTTGACTCTCAACGTCCAACGTCCTGCTGGTACCACGGCATCTTCGAAGCTACCCGTTGTTTTCTGGATATTTGGTGGCGGTTTCGAGGTAGGCAGCACTCAGATGTATGATGGTACCCCTTTGGTTGCTGAGTCCGCTGCTCTGGGACATGGTGTTATCTACGTGGCAGTCAACTACAGGGTTGGAGGCTTCGGCTGGCTCGCTGGAAAAGAGCTGCAGGCTGACGGCTCCACCAATCTCGGACTCAAGGATCAGAGAAAGGGTTTGGAGTGGGTGGCTGAGAATATCGCTGCCTTTGGAGGTGATCCGGATCGTGTCACCATCTGGGGCGAGAGCGCGTAAGTCCATCTTCTTGAACAGGTTGCAAATCGTACTGACGACCAAACAGAGGAGCGATTTCGGTCTACGACCAAATGATTGTGAACAGCGGTGATAACACTTACAACGGAAAGCCATTGTTCAGAGGTGCAATCATGAACTCTGGTTCTGTTGTTCCTGCTGTAGATGTCGCAAATCCCAAAGCACAAGCTGTTTACGATACCGTAGTCAACGCAGCTGGTTGTTCTAGCAGCAGTGACACGCTAGCCTGCTTGAGAGGATTGAGCTATGAGGACTTCATGAGAGCTGCAAACGTAAGTAAGGAAGCCCTTCAGATTACAACAGGTGCTAACATGTACTCAAGTCTGTGCCTGGACTTTTCAGCTACCAGTCGGTTTCGCTAGCATACCTTCCCCGACCCGATCCAGCAGACGGCTTCTTCCCCGTCAGTCCTGAGATTGCTCTTCAGAACGGGAACTATGCCAAAGTGCCACTGATCTCTGGAGATCAAGAAGACGAAGGCCCGCTGTTCAGTTTGGTGCAGAGCAATATCACGACTAGTCAGCAACTCCTAGACTACGTCGCCAGCGCCTACCCCGACACGCCTAGATCTCAGGTCGCTGCAGTAGTTGCCACATATCCCGACGACATTACAGCAGGATCTCCATTCAGGACTGGCATCTTCAACAACATTTACCCGCAATACAAGCGTTTGGCTGCCATCCTTGGAGATGGCGTGTTCAACCTCCGTCGCCGACAACTTCTTTACGCTGTCTCTTCCACAGTGCCTTCGTGGAGTTACCTCGACAGTCATCTCTACGGTACAGCAGTTCTAGGTACTTTCCACGGCAGCGACTTACTCAGCATTTTCTTTGGCGTCGGCGGTGTCACTACACAAAAGACATACCTCGACTACTACACTTCATTCATCAACTACCTCGATCCCAATGCCCTTGGCTCTGCAACACCACTTATCAATTGGCCTCAGTACAACACTACCAAGCCTACACTGTTGAATCTGCAAGCTGTGGGAAACAACTTGCTTCCTGACACTTACCGCAGTGCGAGTTTCCAGGTTTTTCAGCAGAACTATGGCGCTTACCGTACCTAAAGATGTTGGCTTGATGTAAATAGTCGATGGGTTCACTGTATATACATGACTGCTTATGAACACAATCTCATGACGAAGCATCTTCTCCTTTAATCCTTGACGATGATGATTCTCCCCTGGCGTGCCAAAGTCCGCGACTCCCGCTCACATTGATTAATACCCACAGATGTGATCAGAGTCATCAAGATGCACAATTCGGTCCATCGGTCCAGATGGCAGACAAATTCACAGAGAGCCAGTGGTTTCTGTAAATCTCAGTGGATGCCTCCCATTCACTGAAAGGACTGTGCATCTATATAGCTGCTCGCAGAATCCACCTTTGGGTATGGAGAGGTCTAGCATGCCCAGCATGTGTGACAGGCTGCTGGAGCAAAAGAGATCACATGTCCAGAACACAAGACAAAACAGATGTCGCAGCCGTGAATCGAACACGGGGCTCGTGCATGGCAAGCACGAATTTTACCACTAAACCACTGCGACTGTTGATGAAGCAATTCCTGATGGACAGAAATATAACACTGAGTGAAGAAGATGTAGTGGTGCGAGAATCGAAAAACGCATCGAAAAGCACCTTACCTCGCCTCAAAGTTTCCTTGTGTATCGTTTCGGACTCTTCTCGTTTCTTCTCAAAGGTCCTGTCGCCTCGGCATGTTGGTCAAAAGGCGCTGGACACCGTTGTGTTGCCGTTTATAGAAACATTTTTCCTGGTCGAAGCTTTTGATGGATGTCGTTGTGCACGGACTGCAGACAGACAGAGCGCTGCTTGCAGCTTGAGTCTACGGGGCGCGCCAGATGTCCTGACTGGAAATATAGCTACGCGTCTCTAAGGTGATGAGAGTTGTGCTGTTCAAATCGAGTGGTTGGGCGCGGGCGCGAGGCTGCCTAATATGAGAAGGTATAGATAAAAAGCTGAAACGTATAAGTGTTTGTGCCAGGGAAACAGCAAGGTTCGTTGCAGCATCCCTTTTCGAAAGGTGGCCTCATCCAGAACCGGAAAACCGAGCGAGTAGTCGAGAGCTACTCCGTGCGGAGACGAGCTCTAGAAGTATCTAGCTGCTGCGGTATATCAAGAAAGAGCGGTCATGCCACCTTGTGCAAGTAGAAATAGGCATGGTATGGCCCCCAGAGCCGCAAGCCAAGCTCGGTCCCTTAGCAACGGTATCTGGAAGAGATGCCGGTGCGTCCAATCAGACGTTGGAAACTGGCCGGATGGCGTGGATCTGGATACCAAACCGGCCCCCCCCAGATACAGGATGGCTTCATGTTACACGCACCTCCCCGCCGCCGGTGGCCACGGGTTAGGAGAGAGCAAGCAGGTTTGCGCGTCAAAGTGAGCATGATTGCGGCACCGAGAGAAGGTAGGTCGTGCTATGTATATGAGGAGCCCCACCGCCGCCGTGTGCGAGCTATTCTGTTGTTTGCTCAGTCCATCGTTGAAATCACTTGCTTGAAAGTGCTCGTACACTTCACTTGCTTTATCAAAACAATTTCCTTCTCCCAGGTCATTCCTAGACGCAAGACACCCCATCACAAACCACAACACAACCACAAAAGAAACCATGCAGTTCACCACTCTCGCCTTTATGACCGCTATCTTCGGTCTCGCTACCGCTCAGAGCAGCACTACTTCTAGTGTTGCTCCAGGCACCTCAGCTTGCGCTGCTCAGAAGTAGGAGAAAGTTCTCGAATTGCTCGTCTCAAATAGGCATTAACACGCATGTACCACAGCGTCCTGGACCTCTGCGTTTCCCAGCAGTCGGCAAAGAACTCGCAGTGTGGCCCCAATGACTACGACTGTCTCTGCAGTGGCTACACTGACCTCGTCGTCTGCTACAAACAATGCCCTAACGATCCCAACGCCTTCTCCGCCTCTCAGTATAAGGTGCAGTACTGCCAGGCTGCCAGCCAGTAAGTTGGCTTTGACATTTCTCAACTCCTGAATATCAGAATCGTTTCGCTGACCATAGTTCTAGGTACGGATCTTCCGCCATGGCCAAGACGTCCTCGTCGGCCACCGCCTCCATCTCAGGCTCGCTCTCGTCGGCTCTCTCCCGCGCTTCTTCGTCAGCTTCTGCAGCTTCCTCGTCTGCCGCCTCCGCTCAGTCGTCCGCAGCCTCCAGCCAGTCATCAGTCCAGTCATCAGTCCAGTCATCAGCCTCTCGCAGTGCAGCCTCTGCAGCCTCGTCGGCCTCCGCTGCCGCTACCAAGACTGGTGCTGCTGCCCACATGGTCGTCCCTGCTGCTGGCGTCTTTGGCGTGGTTCTCGGAGCTGCTGCTCTCTTGTAAGAGCTGGGATGCGGATACGATTGATGATACTTCGGGGTAATGGTTACCGGTCGATGGTTCACGGCTTGATAACTTTTGATTTTGTCTCCTATCATGCTTTGCTATGCTCAACAGCGAGCCTTCCTTTTTGCGGTTACGTAGCGTGGAGTAGAGTATATTCAGGTCTCTTTCTGTCTCGTACATGTGTGTCCAGTATCCTTCATGGCATCAAGTGGGAACATTGAACGTCGATTGGGTCAACCTACCCGATCGAATTCCAGCCGTCCAGAAACCACAGAGCAAGTCCTGTCAATCCCCAAGGTATGTCTGAGTTGATTTGTCCAAACTCAGGACAAGACCTGGGACATGTATAACCCATGGAGCATCGGGCGGTTGTCGTCTTCACGTCAAGATTGCATGTCATATGCTTCGTATAGCGAGCATTACTAGGAGCTTTTTGCTAAATTGCTGCCAGCCACGACCATATTCTCCGATTCTCCGATTCCTCCACGGCCGCCTCTTGGAGAAGGGGGCTTGTATTAGTACGCCTATTTGATTCTTTTGAGTTTCCGACAACCGATCGGGTCTTCTGGCTTTCCCCAACATGCACGTCGTCAAATCCTGGCCGAACCCCAGCACCACGTTTTGCGGCAAGTAGTGGCAAGTGAAGGCGTGTACGCGACGTTTCTCGCGTGGAATAGGGAGTAGTCAAAAGCAACATCTCGCAGAACGTTTGTCGTACATGAGCCGCACGCACCGGGAACAAGGAGAAGATTTATGACGATGTGCCTCTGATTCTTCTGATCCTGGCACACTCGGGATACCCAAAAGTGGAAAAGAGATTCGACTGTGAGTTATTTTCTGTCTGCGCGACAGGGATGTCTTGTTGGGTTGCTGTCCGTCCGAGACGAAAGCGATCGGTACAAGAACAATTGTGCCCTTTTACCGACGAGTCGTCGAATCCTTCATCCAGATCATCATTTGACTTGTCTCCTGCGCGGAGCTGAGAAAAACTTAATTAGACCATGTCGATGCATGCCGAATTTGAGATTGATAGGCGAGCCGGACGGAACACCAATTCAACTCGCACCTTGGTGGAGAATGCACATTCTACTAGCAAAAACGGTCAATGGAGAATTTGTTGCTTGCTGGGCCAAAAGGTGTAACATTGTTGCATCGAAAGATGCCAAGGGGCTTTCGGGTTGTTCATTGAGGCGTTGCTTTTGACTTTACAGAGGCAGGGCAGGGCACACGCGTGGTCAGCCACCATTTGATGGTCAGGGACTCGGAGGATGGCCGTTGTTGTCCCACAGCGGGCAAAGCCGCCCGCCCTTTTGTCTTGAATTCCACGTTATGCCGTTGTGAGATCACACAATGTAGCGGATAGGCTGTACCCGCCGAGCGGTATAGGCAGAAAGACGACGACTGTGAAAGGAATCTCAGTTCTTCAGAATCTGCAAGGCGCCAGGCTTTGAGCCGGAGTTAGCGGGAGCAACTCAGGCGCGCGCGGGGCTGGACGGTCAAAGCTCGCTTAGGGCGCCGTGTAATTGGGCGGAGACGATCACAAAAACAGGCGATCAACACGTCAATGGCGGTTGAAGCCTTGGCTGGCCTTGCGAAAGCGCGACGCGGTCAAGACTCGGGCGAAGGTCTTTCTGGGGACAATGATACAGGAGCGCGTGACTGTCAGGCCAAGGACATGGCACGTCCGAGGACTGATGTGTAGGTGACAGTGAAGACTGGCAGCACGGTGGGTTTCACCGCAAGTTTGGAGGGGCAGCAGGATACGGATGAGTAGAGTGTGGCTGCGGTCAGTCATGCACGTCAAAAGACCAGGCAGGCGAGCTAACAGGCCGATGGCCGCTCGCCGGCTCGAGTCTCCACATCCCAAAATCTTATCATCTGGGGAAAAGTGGCAGCACTCGTCGGAACAAGCGGGCGACGGGGAGAAGGAGAGTCAGAGACGTCCTTGTTCTCTCCTTTGCCTTTTACCTAAACCCACCTGCACCAACCTCGATCAAAACCACGTGTCGCCCCGCTCGTGCGCCTGCCCTCGCGCCCTGACATCCTGCAAACCACTGCCTCTCCTGGATCCGACTGCTGCATTGCCTCATCAAACACTCGCGGGGAGCGAAAGGGTCGTCGCAAGAGAAGGCTTCGTCATAGACACACATACAGGACAGGCCCGCGTCTACTATCACGGACTCGACTCTCATTGCAACCGTCGCCCGCCACTCTGGAGAATGGGTTGATCTATCTCTCGACCGCTCGCTTTCCGCACACTCGTCTCTCCAAATGTCGACCCAACTTCAAGATGAGGCCAAGACCATAAGTGGCGGTGGCTACGAGTCGCGCAGCAGTGCCGTCTTCGCCGTCACCGTCGCCATGATCACCTGCTCCACTGTTTTTGTCTTTGCCCGTTTGGCCTCTCGTGCTGGAGTTGTCAAGAAAGTCCTCCTGGATGATTATTTCATTCTTGCCGCTTGGGTGAGTTTTGTATATCTTGGCTTGTTCCGGGCGCCATCGCTGACCACGGCACGCAAAGCTGCTCGCCTTTGGCCTGTCTTTCTCCATCTGCTACGGCTCCTTTGTCGGCCTCGGTCGACACGAGGACAACGTGCTCGATTCGTGGCAGGGCTCTCTCAGGCGATCACAATACGCCTTCTCCGTTCTATACAACCCTGCACTGATGGCCGAGAAGACGTCTATCCTTGTCTTTTATCTCAGCTTATCCAGAACCAACAGGACTTTCCGATGGGCCACCATAGCAACCTTGTTTGTCGTCAACGCTGCCGGAATTGCTCTGACCCTCGTTACAATTTTTCAATGCACTCCTGTCGGAGCTGCCTTCAGATATCCGGTACCAGCTGTTCACCACTGCACTGACATCATTACCATCTACCTTTCTTCGGCGCCCGTCAACATCATAACAGATCTTGCCATTTTATTCCTGCCCATGCCCATCCTGACTTCAATGCGGCTGCCTCGGAAACAGAAGACTATTCTTGTCATCACTTTTGGTTTTGGACTGTTTGTCGCTATCGTCGACATTGTCCGCATCGCATACCTGCAATCCGCCTCGACATATCGTCTCACCCAAATTCTCAACTACCAGAAGGACGACAGTCCCGGACGCGATGCCGACGTTACCGACTTCTCGTGGTATGCATCTTATTCCTTCATGTGGTCTGCCATCGAGGTCAATGTCGGCATCATGTGTGCCTGTGTTCCAGCTTTGAAGCCTCTGGTGTCCAGGTTCATGCCACATCTTCTTCGTGACGAAGGAGATGTCACGGAAAAGCACTCCTCGGTCGATCGTTCGCCTACCTTTGACATGACCATGGCTCAACGCGTTCCATCAATGCCGGATCCGGCCTATCTCACCACACAGCCATCTCGAGAACCTGTTGAAGAGGGCAACATGGACATGATAGACTTTCTTACTACCCCGGATATGCAAACCAACAAGCTCGAGCGCTCGCAGACCATGCTGACCAATTCCACGAGAAACACCAGTGCAGACACACCTACATTCTTTGACTTTGTCAATCTCAAGAATCGAAAGAGCTTCGTTCACATGACTTCGAGAGAGTCCTTGTTCCCAGTCATCATGGTCACGTTGCTTTTCTTCATATGGGGCTTCGAATATGGTCTTCTGGATGTTCTCAACAGGCAGTTTCAGGAAGTCTCTCACATGTCAACATCACAGTCTGTGGGAATACACAGCGCTTATTTCGCAGGTTATCTCTTGGGCCCATTGTCTTTTGGTCGTCTGGCCTTGAAGCATTACGGATTCAAAGCATGCTATATCATTGGTCTTAGTATATATGCGTGTGGAATTCTGATCTTCTGGCCCGCTGCTGTTCTGGTGTCTTTCCCGACATTCGTCATCGTCAACTTCATTGTCGGCCTTGGGTTGTCTACACTTGAGATATCGGCAAATCCTTTTATCGCACTCTGCGGTCCTATGGAGTATGTCGAAGTAAGACTCAACCTCAGTCAAGGATTCCAAGCTATCGGAACTGTGGTCGCACCACTCATCGCCCAGAAGGCTCTCTTTGGGCAGTCTAATGACGCTCCCTCGTTGATCAATACCCAGTGGGCCTACCTCGGGATCGCGCTTTTCACGGTTGCACTAGCGGTCGCATTCTTCTACGTTCCACTGCCAGAGGCTTCCGACAAAGAGCTTGAAGAAGCCTGCGAGCGTATGGACAACGCCAATTATGCCACTATCGGCAAATTCAGAGTCATCTGGTACACGCTTGCCGCCGGTGCCTTTGCAATGTTTTGCTACGTAGGGGCGCAGGAGGTTATAGCTACCACCTTCGACAACTACCTCAGAATCGTGGCTCCCACCTTCAACGAAACGAATTACAACGCGATAGGGCATGCCTTATTCGCCGTATCTCGTTTTGTAGCTGCAGGCGCCGGATTTATAATCAAGCCACGACTTCTGCTTGTCTTCTTCCTCACAGGCACTATCGTATTCTCAGCCCTGGCTATGAACTTCACAGGCTCTACCGCTACAGCGATGGTGCTTATGGTTTTCTTCTTTGAAGGGCCTCTTTTCCCCCTCATCTTCGCGCAAAGCATCCGCGGCATGGGCAAATACACAAAAGATGGCAGCGTCGTCTTGATCGCTGCAGTCTCTGGTGGCAGTGTTTTCCCTGGACTGTCTTATGTGGCTTCACAAGCACAGAATGCACAATATGCCATGTGCGTCGCGGTTGCGGGCTTCGCAGGTGCCACTCTACTACCTTTCTTCCTCAATTGGAGTCCACTCGCTCGCGCTCTCTGCGACCCTCTCAAGGACCCCAGCGAAATCAGTGACGAGTCCCTTCCTGAGAGCTCAAACAGCAGTGTTGCCAGCCGAGCGCTCAGCTTCTTCAGCATACGCAGAAAGAGTGCTGGCGAGATGAAGACGGAATGGCGCGAACGTCAAGCATCTGACGATAGCGCTGTCTCGCCTGGTGCATGCCCATTATGAACGTCATCTGCATCATGACAAATGTTTCAACGACCTTTTCTTCTTTTTGTTTTGTTTTAGCATCTTCCTCCAGGATTACGATCGAGATACCCAGGTTGGAGCAAGAGGCTGGACCTTTGTTATTTGTTGCCATTCAGCATTGGTGTTTCTGGAGTTTAGATGAGCTGCTACTGCTCTTAGCAGAGGCTTTGTTGATATGGAGTCCTTGCGTCTTTACAATTGACAGTGTATATAGCCTGTGTAGAACATGTAAATATATGGCAATCAGTTGCTCGAAACATTTCTCGCTGGGTCAACGGATATAGGGAATTATCAAGCTAAAACTCCGTAAGTATGAATCCGATGAATCGATGACAAATGCGATGTGGAGCTGTTGTTGCGGCAGGGGTAAGCGGAAACGCAGCTTCCTTAAATCCGCTACGTGCGTCATCGGTACTCGTTCTTCTGAGGGGTCAGGAACATATATCACCATCACCACGACGACATTTGACTGATCACCGTCTGGATCGAACACACACCAGCTAACGTAGAATCTACATAAACCAAAATGCAGCAAGTTGTTGATTCTGTCAAGTCAGCCGTTGGCGCGACCAAGCTGCCTACAGGCCAGCTTGGAAAGAACGGACCTTATGTCACTAGAATGGGTTACGGAGCCATGGGTTTGTCGGCCTTCTATGGCAAGCCCAAGCCTGATGAGGAGCGCTTTGCCGTGCTGGACAAACTGTACGAGCAGGGTGAACTCTTCTGGGACACAGCAGGTAATCAACCCTTTGTCGTATCGAGATGGGATCTTGGCTAACCGCGAATAGACATGTACATGGACAATGAAGACCTCATTGGAAACTGGTTCAAGGCCAACCCTGGCAAGCGCGAGCACATCTTCCTCGCCACCAAGTTTGCCAATTTGAGAGACGAACAAGGGAACCCAATTGTCGATTCCTCGCCAGAATACTGCAAGAAGGCGTGCGATAAATCGCTCTCCCGTCTGGGAGTTGAAACTATCGACCTATACTACGCACATCGTCTGGATGGCAAGACACCCGTCGAGAAGACAGTCCAGGCTATGAAGGAGCTCAAGGAGGCTGGCAAGATCAAGTACATCGGTCTATCAGAGGTCAGCAGCGAGAGCTTGCGACGTGCCCATGCCGTGGCTCCCATCACAGCAGTCCAGATCGAGTACTCGCCCTTCTCTCTCGACATTGAGAGCGAGCAGATCGGTCTGCTCAAGACTTGCCGCGAGTTGGGCGTTGCCGTCGTTGCATACTCTCCCATCGGACGCGGAATGCTCGGTGGCTCAATCAGATCTCCCGACGACTTTGAGGAAGGCGACTTCCGTCGTTTCGCCCCTCGTTTCAGTGCCGAGAACTTCCCCAAGAATCTCAAGCTGGTCGATCAGATCACCGAGATCGCAAAGAAGAAGGGTCTTACTGCTTCTCAAATCACATTGGCTTGGTTGATGGCTCAGGGCAACGATATCTTCCCCATTCCCGGCACTACAAACCTCAGCCGTGTCGACGAGAACCTCGGAGCCTTGAACGTCAAGCTTACTTCCGAGGAGAAGAACGAGATCCGCAAGGCTTGTGAAGAGGCAGAGGTCGCTGGTGGAAGATACCCTGAAGCCTTCTCCAAGGCTTTGTTCGCAGACACCCCTGCTCTATAAGGCTTGACTCCGATTTCGAGATATGGACGTTGCTCAACGCTTTTACGTGGCTGCTGATTAAAAGAGTACCTTAATGACATGACAAAATACCTCAACATCCGATCGGTGACCTGCAAGAAGAATGTGTAGCAAGGTGTCTCACGTAAGGCCGGCACTTGAACATACACACTGATGATCTCGCACAACCTCGGCGTGCAAGTGAGACTCTCTATCGTGTATACTGAGCCACAAAGTATGTATACTTGCACGAAGCTATCGGAGTCCGGATCCTCATGTTCACAGCTTCGGGCAATCGAGGCAGGGGATGAGGTAAGAAGGCAAGGATGCCAATCTTCAGCGCCTGGTTCTCCGCGTCTAGAACAGAGAGCCACCAAGCGCTTACAATGTAGGACGAAGGGCCTTGGTGGCTAGGTCTATAGAAGCGAGGCAGTATGTCGACTACGCCCTGGAATATTCGAAGACAATGAGCCTCAAAGTCCATCTATCGTATTTAATGCCGATACCGAACGGCTTACTCAATGCCGATACTGAACGACTCACTCGTACGCCTTGCAGCTCAAAACAGTCTGGTGCATGCGGTGGCTTGTACAGTAGATGTGGGCGTGGCAGGGAGGAGTGCGTGGCAACGAGACACAACATGTCTGGATCCCTGCGAACACAACCACTCTTCCAGGGCTAGAAGTGAGATGTGGAGAAGTAAAGAAGGAAGTTTGGCTCCCTGCGTGTTTTGATTCGCCAATGCTTATACTGCAATATGGAATAGATGCATCTTCACAACCAAAAGATGCATGGAGCCTCGACATGCGTCTGGCACGTGGCGATGCAAGCCACTTGCATGCAGCGTGCCTGTTTCGAACCACCTGCCCGATTTGCGATCTGCATGAGATACATACGCCCTTGCCTTGAAGTATTCAGGTTGTCCTCTGTGGTGCCCCGATTTTCTGCACTCGACAAACAAAAAGATCGCTTCTGGCTTTGCATTGATCATGAAGAAGTGGTACATGCATTTCTACGAGTGTTGGAGGACTTGCATTCTCGTCTTGGTTGTGACACCAGAAAAGGCTGGGCGCGTTCTCCTCGTGCATTGCGTGCCGCTCTGCCATCGGAATAGGTTGGGTCAAATAATAAACATGTCATTATGTATGCGTAAATACGAGGCTCCAATATGTCCGTCCGTTGTTGCGTGAAAGATGATCAACAGCCTTCAACCTTGAGTAACTGCCACTGTGACTTCTCGTCGGACGATCAACTCCTGCGATCCACCAGATGCACGATGAGCTTCATTGTTGACCTGTTTTTCTGCTCCACGACAGACTGTCCTCGTTCGACCCAAGAACTGTGGTGTGAACGACTCGTTTCGCGATCTGCTTCTCGATGTGTCGCCAGAGCTGTTGGAACGACTGTTGCGAGATCCATATATGATACTGCCAAAGGCCGTGCCGCCTGTCGTGAACCCGCGCATGAAAGCTTGGACGAACGGCAGAGTTGCTGACAAGAGGCTGTAACAGATCATGGCTTGCTGCCAGATGACGACTTTCGAAAAATGCTGTACTCGATCTTCGGATCGCACTGCTTCGCTGTAGGCCTTCAAGTACAGCAGAGATAAGGCGATCATGCTTGAAAATGCGTCAGCGATTGATATGTGTGGTAAGAGAAACAAACACATACGGCATTCGATATGCAAAAGCAGATACCACAAGCAACTTCTTGCTGACTTTGATTCGAAGCTGATTGACAAGATAGATAGGTAGGCCCATTACAGCGGCCTCGATGCAAATCGTGATTGCAAGGATAGCTCTCCATCGATATATCTGCCCTGGTCAGCAGCGTTGGAGTGGCCACAGTGTACAAACTTACATCATTGGGACATGTGTGTTCCTGCCCTTGGAGTATGTGCGTTGAGGGACAATCCGACTTGACAGCAGCAACTGCAAGAACGAGCCACGCCGAGATGACTCCCAACAGGATATACGACCCAAGTTTGTGTTTTGTATTCGTCGAGAATATCCTCCTCATGAGCAGCGTTAGGGAGAGACTCGTTACTCCCATCGTAAGAAGAAAGAGTATCTGGCTGGCAACGACCGCCTAGCTTTGTGTGAAAAGAGCCCTCGCTTGACGGGATACATGGAAGAGACTTACTCGAGACATACTCGTCAGGTGCTCAGCTTGAACCACATCCTCTGGTTTCCCCAGACCATTGTTCAGTGCTACAATCAAGCAGCCCCATTGCGCGAGCGCCGTGACCTATGTTCGTGTCAGAAGACATATGCCATCACATCCTGCAGAGCTGTGGATGCTTTCTCGTCTCGAAAGACGATTGTCCCAGATGAGGTCCATTTGGGTCGGTACAATAATGCGTGTCCCAGCACGACGCCCAAGAATGAGGACTTACATGAGCAACAGCAACAGCGATGTCGTCTATTCCATAATAGCCGACTCTTGCATAGATCCGAAGAAATCCAGTGAAGCATGAGTAACTCAGTGATATCAGGACTGCGATCCAGAGATGAGCGGGAAGGCCGTCAGCGAACCGCGCCATAGTTGAAAGACTTCTGTGTTGGGGGGTGCGCCCGATTGAGGAGTTGGCCACCGGTAACCAAGCCTTCCGACTGCTCTTAGCGAATTCAAAAAGCAAAGTCCAAGAGAGGGGTACGCCCTAACGACAATGTCTGGACCATATATCACACGGTCCATTGAGAGGGTCAGGCGAGGGCTGAGGATGGATGAACAAGCGGCTGTTTGTGCAACTCGGAAACATGCGCTCGTCCTGCAAGGTGAGAAACGAAACGTCGGGTATCACGGGCGTTTACCCAAAGAAAAAGGACAGCCAACGACACAGTCCTGGGAACAGTCCGCCATGTGAGGTGAGATTGCGAAGAATGAGCCACAACATCTTCTCAGCAGAACTGACGGTCGGACAGAATGTCAGCGAGAGACTGAAATCATGCAAGTCATGCTCTATGCTGAGGTCGTGTTCCTCTCAGCCAGATGTACCGGTAGCCTTTGGATCTTTGAGCTAGCCTTGACTTGATGCATCGTCGGAAGTGCTTTGTAATATCTGAGCGCCTCGATGGGATCTCCTATGACTGATGGCAAAGAAGAGGAAACGGCTTCCCGGTTATGTGCTGCAGAATCGAGGTCGGGAAACTGCTGTGTACCCTCGGAAGGACGTCGCCCACAGCTTGGCGTTGTCAAATCTGCAACCTCTTGCAACCGAAACGGTTCGCTGAAGCAGCATCATCTGCAAGGTGTTTACAAGACCGTCAACTCGGTCTGCTAGTCAAACAGTGCCGCCGTCAACCTGGCTTTGGTCCGCGACAGGCACAATGGCGCCATGGCTTCGCAGCAGTGCAGAATCCTTGCATCTGCCACCAGGTAACAGAAAGTGATATACAGACAGACGAACCTAGCAAGGCGATTGCTCAAAAGCACTTCGGCCTTCACATTTCAAGGCGATGCTGCAGTGTACAAAGAATCAACCGACATCCGCCCAGAAGTGTGCAACGTCCGTTTACGCAGAGAGTCGTGCGAGGTGAGTCTTTAGTCTGCGTCCCTCGTAACACGACGACTCGGTGGTTTGCTGGGATGCAAGGTGGGTAGTTGCAGCAACCCTTGCGCCGTCTATCAAGGTGCCATTTTGCTAGATTCGCTCGGCGCAGATCTGCCGTCCGTCAGCTCCTTCCTTTCGCAGTTGCCGCCGAAACACAATCCACTGAGGAAGTGTCTTGTCCTATTTATCCTTGCATGCTTCCTGTCTTCTTCCGAGTACAAACTCGGTGTGTAACTCCAACAAGACGTTTGTCCCATACTACGTTTTCTTTGGTCGACTGCTCGCGCGAACATCTCCTTTCCGACATGTCCTCCACCGCCATTGAGATGGATAGTATCAAGAATTCTTCGTCCGTCCAGACCGCCAGTTCATTCGAGCACCAGATCGAGGAAGCCGAGGATGCAGCGACCGTCGAGGCAACAAAGGGCGGCACAAAGGACGATGATTACGACATGCGTCGTATGGGCAAGCTCCAAGAGCTGAGAGTCAGTGTCGAACTGTTCGCATAACGACTGGCATACTCACAAACCATAGCGTAACTTCCGTTTCGTTTCCATCTGGGGATTCAGTCTTTTGCTAGGCAATGCTTGGGTGGTCGCTTTGATGTCTGTTGCCTCCTGCCACTCGAACCTACCGCAGAAACTGACTGTTACCGTCAGTTCCAGTAATGTCACTCTTGCCAACGGCGGTATGGCCGGAGGAGTGTGGATGTTCCTCATCGTCGCCATAGGGATGTTCTTCTGTATGCTTTCCATGGCGGAAATGGCATCGATGGCACCCACGGCCGGCGGCCAATACCATTGTAAGTACATCTGTCTCACCTTGTGCCGAAAAGAAGTTTGACGACTGACATAACAACTAGGGGTCAGTGAATTTGCTCCTCCCAAGTACCAACGTTTCCTTTCATACATAGTTGGTAAGTAGAGCTTCGCACCAAGACTCGGTGATCCTCGCTGACACACTGTATCTAGGATGGATGTGTGTTTTGGGATGGCAGGCCGCCATGTGTGCGAGCGCCTACACTCCGGCACTCAACATCCAAGGCCTCATCGCACTCAACGTCGAAGGCTACACCCTTCCGGGGTGGCATGCAGCGCTCATGACTATTGGTATCGTCATTATCTGCATTTTCATCAACACCGTTGCGGTTAAGAAACTACCTCTGCTCGAGGGGTTCATGTTGCTCTTCTTCTTCTTCAGTTTCTTCACCATCCTCATCGTGCTCTGGGTCATGGCTGAGAGAACTCCTGCGAAGAAAGTCTTTACAGAGTTCAGCGACAATATGGGCTGGGGAAACGTGGGGCTCTCAACATTGATCGGTATCCTGTCTCCATTCACCACTCTCCTCGGATCCGACTCGGCTTGCCATCTTTCGGAAGAGCTTAAGGATGCATCATGGGTCCTCCCGAGATCCATGGCTGCTACTGCGGTCGTCAACTATGCTCTGGGATTTGTTACTGTCATCACACTCATGTTTACCTTGGGAGGTTCTGTGCAGTCTGTTCTTGACACCAAATTCGGTCAGGGTTATATCCAGGTAAGTCATCACACATGACTGATGCTCACGGGCCGGACTGATAAGATCTGCAGGTCTTCTACAATGCTGTTGGATCAAAGGCCGGTGCATCGGGTCTTACCGCAATTGTCTGTGTTTTGCTGTTCTTCACTGCCATCAACCAAGTCACGACGACTTCAAGACAGCTCTTCGCGTTCGCTAGAGACGGTGGTTTGCCATTTTCTGCATTCCTCGGCAGAGTACGTCACGTGCGCCCATATCATGCTGAGAATAGCAAACTGACTATTGTAGGTTCGACCTGGCATGGACATTCCTCTCAACGCTTGCACTGTAACTGTGGTCCTCACTGTCCTCCTTTCGCTCATTGTCATTGGCTCCAGCACAGCTTTCAACGTCATTCTCAGTCTGTCCAGCGTCGGACTCCTGACCTCGTACATCATTTGCATCGGATGCATGGCTAGAAAGCGAATCATGAAGGAGGCTCTTCTGCCCAGCCGCTTTAGCCTGGGTAAGTGGGGTCTCGCCATCAACCTGACCGCGGTGGTGTTTTTGTCTTTTTGCTGGGTCTTGCTCTTCTTCCCTTCCAGACCTCATCCCGACGCACAGAACATGAACTGGACCATTCTGATCTACGGCGTTACCTGGATTGCTGCAATCTTCTACTACAAGTTCAAGGGCAAATACGACTATGCCGGTCCTGTCGAGGGGATCAACAAGGACTATTGATGTTGCGTAGTTCCAACTCGAGTCACGCCGGAAGAGAAATGACGGACGGGTTCCTGTGAGGGCTGCGCGCGAGGCAGAGCTATGAGTGATGGCAGGCAGATATGAAAAAGATTCACCACGAGATATATGATGGATGGGCTCATGGATTCGTGTAATTAATGGTGGAAGATTGCTTCTAGCAATATTCGGTCAGGGGAGTTCTTGATTTGGTAAAACATTCGTTAGTTCAACAAAGAAGTTTCTCTCGTCGAGTACATACTCCCTACTTTCACTCGTGCACGTGAGTCACTTTGTTGGTCATTGTTCTTCTGCCGATCACGTTCTTGCCTGACTCAGATCAGACTCGAGAGAGAGAGAAACAGCAGGATTGCTCCTTGACATTTTGTTACTGTAAATACCAGAAAGAAAGCATGACAATGAAGCGATGAGATCCAGCCCATATGCACAAAATTACATTTTCATCAGCCCTTCAGTCTCTTTTCACAAAGCCTGGCCAGGCGGTGACAGCGGTCTCGCCTCAAACTCGGTCGGCGGTGGTAACGACGGCGTGGTCATGTGTCTGCCTCCTCTGCTCGTAAATGCACTCTGAGGATCACTGCTTGCAAATGAGCTCGATGGATCCCAGTCCATTGTGGTTTCGTGATGCGTGGGTCGTGTCGACATTCTCAGACTGGAGAAGTTCCTCGTCAATATCGGAGGTGTGTGTCTTCTGTGCTGCTGGTCCAGCGGTGTCATGGGCGAAATGTCTTCCTCTGACTGCTCTGATTCTTCTTCTGCTCGTTGTTGCTGGAAGCGTCGCTCTCTTTGCCGCGGTGGCGAGTATATCGGTGCAGGACTGTTCGGCGTCGTAGCCACGTCTTCCAGGATACTGCTAGGCAGAGTCGGACGCACGGTATGCGGATCCCAGCTCTTGCGGTCCGAGTAATCGATCTGCAGACGACCTCCCATTTTGCGCAACTCGTAGGTCGGTGGCTCAGGGCTGAACGGCGACTTTCGCGCATCCAAGGATACGAATTCTTGTTGGTTTCCTCCTCGCTGTGTCAGTGCTATCCATCGCTCCTTCCAGCCTGCGATTAATGACCAGCGGAATAGTAGCACAAAGAGCTCAATGCCTAGCAGTGAAATCATGAGCAGCATGGCGCCGATAGTGGGCTCGCTGATCAACCATTTGTGGCTGTATTGGAAGCAAGGATTTCGGTCGCCTTGATTTTCGATCAGACATAGCACCCAGGGCAGCACTCGAGTGTAGTCGTGGAGCATAGACTCCTCGAGCTTATCGAGGTAGACAAAGACGACTGCGAAGAAGATGACATCAACGAGGACGATGGTGACGATCAGCATGCCTCGCCATTGTAGGTATAGCACACTCTTCAGTCGGCGGTAGATCACCCGCGCTCGTTGTGATTTGGCGCTCACCACGGACATCGGCAGACTCTTTGCTGATCCTTGAGAGAGCGGCCTCGCACTGTCTTCCCAGAGACTGTTGAAGAAGACACGAAGACAGTATCCAAAACTAAAAAACTCGCGTGTCAGACTTGTGGGCTGATCACCACCTCAGAGGTAGACCGGACTTACGTGCTCATTTGGACAATCACAGCTGCTCCCGCGACAGCAAGAAGCCATCCCCAAAATGTCACCATCGAGTTATCATGGTTGATGTGGCAAGCATTGCCAAATCGAAATGAAACCCCTGATATGCTGATGGCAGCCGTGAAAAGTGCTGCCGGCACTCCCCATCCTACTGCTTGTGAGATGTAGAAGAATCGCGGACCGGGGACAATGTCCCACACAACGGTGAGATGCATGCTGAAAGCGCGAATGAAAACTTAGGCTGGTCAGTAGGTGAATGGTAATTGAGACAGGTGTACTCACTCCACATAGAACCTGCAAGCGCTCCAGCCAGCAAAAACGCTCCAGACCATGCACACGTCATGGAAGTGAACATGTCATTTGGTGTGATGCCATCGTAACATTGGTCAGGCTCTGCCCCTAGCGGTATCACGAAAGCGAGCTTTTTTACGTCAGCAGGTTGGTTTTGTCATCTCTTCGAGTCAACTCACGTTGATCCATATCACAGCGACGATCAAACATTGTGTAAGATAGTGGCTCCGAGTCCTCGCTGCAGGGAGGAAGGCGTTGGAGACGAGCATAAAAGACTGTAGTGCCAGGCCGGCGACATTGAGCCAACCCGCGACGGTCCCAAGAGTCTCAAAGCCTGGGGTCGTGGATTAGCAAGCCACACGATACAATTCTCTCTTATCAGCATGACTGACTGTCTGAATAGGCCCAATATGATGCCGGACAAGGTAGACAACATAACGCTGAGCTTGGGTCTTGACTCTGTTGAGAACAAAGACGACCACCGATGTCTGACACTCATCAGTGTATGCCCTGACAGTAGACCGTTCCACGAAACGTACAACCACCTTCGGGAGGAAACAAAGAAGCATCGTAGAATGGAGCTATACACGCTCCGTGCAGTGTTGAGTTGATGAACATGACAGCGGCGTGATTCTGGCGCGAGGGCCGCTCGTCAAGTAGTGACTCAATGTATAAAGAATGATCAGGCCGATCTTGACGTGTCCCGTTCTGTGGCGAGCGCAAACATATATGTATGGAAATTGAAACAGACCAAGACGATCGGCTAAGAACTGCGGGGTTTGAAGGATGTTGGGGGCGTCCAATGTAAGCGGGTTCTCAATGTGGTAGGAGTGAGATCACGGTTGAGGTCAGCCAATCTTGAAGGTGGTGCTTTGGAGGAACCAGAGCGGAAGGTCAAAGGGGAACTGGAATTGGCAGGAACGAGTCTTGTGGAGCTAGATCATATGCCGAGAGATTCTGACAGGTTGGCAGGCAGGGGGTTAAAGAGAATGGATGAAGAAAGATCTGTGGAGATGCGTGTGGGCGACCACCGTGGCGGTACCAGTTGGGTTGCCTTGACCGAGCCTGGAGTGGCAGATCCATCAAAAAAAGGCCGCCCAATAACTACTTACCACGGGCATGGCCTTTTCTTGGTGACCACGACGGTGCTCGCCTCGGCCTACTAGACTAGCTCGCTGTTCTGCCGGTGCCTTGTGCATGGCTACAACAAGACATTGATCTTCGTTGCGCAACGTGGAACGCGCTTTTTTGGTTGTGATAGCGTAGGACACGGCCAATTCTCCTTTCCTCTCACCCTCTCAGCGTTCACGATGTACGGTGTTGTCCAGGATCGCACGGCCTGCCGCGTTAGTGGCCGGTTCTGAAGGCGGCCACTCGGATACGTCAAAGCACATGTTCTGCGTCAAACATTCTGCCATGGCGCTCGCCTGTGCTGCCCAGTGGTTCGGAGGTTTGGTTAGTTGGCGCGGCTGGAACACGCGAAAAGGCCAACTCTGTCTAGCCGCCCCACCACAGAGCGAGAGAAAGAGTGATGAGAGAGGTCGAAATTAAAAACTTCCCTTGGAGGATTCGCCAGCTTTGGCCTTCGGCTCGGCAAAACAAGCGACGACGGGTGTCGCTTTTTCTAATCATAACATCAAATCTGCGTTTAAAGATACTCGAGTCTCGCACCATAGAAACTGTGCGACTCTTGTGAAATAGACGCAGTTGGTTTTGTCGGTCAAGCTTAGAAGAGAATGCTCTCACTGCATGCATGAGCCTTTGCTCTTTCGACTCGCTCGAGCATGCACCCGAAACGCCCGACTCGTGGGCCATGCATGTCTATTAGCAATATATGTGCTGTGCCTCACTCGCACGCTCGCGGCCGCGAAGGATTTCTCGACCTCATAAAGATGCAGAGGCAGGATTGGTCCCGCCAAACACGGGTCTTGGTCGTGGAAAGTCGGAGAGTAGCGAAGGAGGGAGTTCCCTCGATTATTCATATGCTGCGAGAGGCGACACGCGACCAATGGCATCTCTTTCTCCACGTCTCTCCTTGCCATTGGTAGCCGTACTCCGTATATAAGCGCGGAAATCCCACGATCACGGCCCAGAAAGGTCCACAATCTCATAAATGACAATGACACTCTATAGTGCCTGTCAGCCTTTTCACAAGCATTGCGAGGCTGAATCGCGTCAATCGGACCAGAATCTGCCACATGTTACTGGCTTATCTAGATTACAGAAAAGGTATGGTTCTGAGTGGAGAAGAAGGACAGACGCGACAGCAGAATGCAGTGCTGAAGACACAGAGTGGATTGTGCCAACCAAGTTTTAATTCTGGTTGAGACTGAACATCTGTCCTCTCTAGTCACGTTGGACAGGTTTTAGACATCTGTCGCATCTCCACGAAAAGGAAAGCGATGTAGGTTTCGTTACGCCGTCGCATCACAGGCGATCAAGAGTCCGAATACAAACACAAGTAACTGCCACACAAAAACTGATGTCAGTCCGGCGAAACCATGCAATTTCGAATGGGTGCCTCGGAGAAGGATCGGGAAGAGGAAATGGAACTGACAAGCAACATGAATGCCATGATGGACCAGATCTCCCAGCCACCGGCCCATACCTTGCCTCTAGCCATGTTCATTTGCTGTCGCCAGAAACGATGGCCCCCAATAAGAATCACAACAATTGCAGCGCTTTGGAAAAGACCAGCCAGAGGCTTCCCGAGAGTGTGATATCCAAATATAGGGTCGTGCTCCGGATCTACCGAACGCTGAAGACTAAAGAGCTGAGCGGTGACGATTCCCAGCATGGATAGGGCGAGCGATGTGCGTTGGTACGCCAGAAACGTTCGTTCATTGGCTGCATGTCTCCAAAGTCAGTCATTTCGTTCAGCTCTCGCACACAGCTTGTAAGTGCGAACCATGGGAGGATCATATCGAAATTTGCATACACACCAAGGTGATCTCTACATGTCGCGTGAGGAACATGTAGCTGGATATAATATTTCCACCATCTTCTCAAGCCACCGGGTATTGGTGATTCTACATCGGTATTAAACACACTCGTCCTGCTGATCGTCGCGACTGTGTCTGGATGTCCATGTTGCACAGGTCCGAGTTCAGTTGCTTCTCGCTCGTCATCATCTCTGCTGGTCGACTGACGGGTGGTCTGCAAATCAGACGTGTCCACTCCGCTTTCGCGCCGGACGAATGTCGACATTCTATATGGTCTTAAGTACCATCTCGAGAAGAGTCTGTAAGTGGAAGAGAGTTTGGCGCACGGAAGTGTACACTGCAGCGAAATTTACAACTGCGATCGATTGATGACAAGGCGTGAGTAAGATACTAAGGCAGGCACAATGCTTGGCAGGGTCTTTGGGGTAACTGATAAGTTTATTTTGGGTGGGTGATAGCGATCATAATACAAAAAAAAAGGCGATCAAAACAGGCCATTTCCCTATCCACAGTGAAACGGCGCCCATCTACAACTGATCCGCTTGGAAAGACATGCGAGTTTCATTAAAGGGCAATGTATCATCGTTTACATGACATAGAGCAGGTTCGTATCTGCACAGCAGAGTTAGCAAAGTAGTTACAAGCCTCGGCAGCATGAGATGCAAACTTACCGATAGGGTGACTGGCACTCAATTGAGGCTTCTGTGAGTATTTGCCCTCAAGCTCTTCACGGATGCTATTCAGCAGTTGGACATAGCTCTGCTGAGGGTTCTTTCTCAAAGCACCGATGAAGGCCCAAGACATGGCACCAGTCGCTTGACCGGCGATGGAAGCATCGGCTGAGGTCTGGTCGTCCTTGCTGCCACTCCACATGATGACATCTCCGGGTGAGGTCTTTGTGCGCTTGTTCGCTTCGTAGCTGTCATTGCCCTTGGTGACCTTCTTAAACAAGCCCATAGCAGTGCTGGCCATACCACCAAGGTCGCCGCGAGCATAACTGCTAACAATGCCCAGCAGGCCTTGGCCGGCTTCTTTTGCAAGATTTGGCTCCTTGAGCACACCTTGAGTCGAGTAGATATAGGGAAGGTCCAGAGCAGAACCCGAGTGGCACGAATCGAAGATAGCGGTCAGGCGCACACCGGGAACGAGATTCTTGACCATGATGAAGTGCATCTCATCGTCGACGATGTGACCTGCTTGACGGAAATCCACGGGGTAGATGACTTCGTCATAGCCATCTTCCTCATCACCATCGAGATCTTCTGTCTGACCACCGTGACCTGAACATGGTTAGCAACTAGAGCGAAAAGTGTGTTGGAGCAGGTGACGTACCAGAGTAGTGGAAAAAGAGCGAGTCGTTGGGCTGGGCGTCCTTAACAAGCCAGTGCATGGCGCGCAAGATGTTCTGCTTGGTGGGCTGACTCATTGGGTTTTGCTGGTCGTCGGTCAATGTGACCATGTCCTCGCGCTTGTAACCAAAGGCTTCCATCAGGTAGTTTGACATGTTCTTGACATCGTTGATGCAACCTCGGAGCTGGCCTTTTTGGCCAAAGTAGTTGATACCGATCAAGAGAGCCTTGCGCTTGCCGGTACAATTCGAGTATTGGAACGAGTAGCCATTTGGGGCGCCATGGCCGAAGTTTTGCATGCCCTGTGGTGGAGGTGGAGGGGCGCCTTGACGGAGGTTGTGCTGCTGGTAGATGTTCTGGCCGCTGGGAAGGTCTGGATAGAGGAGTGGTCAGTCACGTATTGTCTCTTGGGAGCATAAGAGATAGTACTTTGTTGAGGAGCATAATGCTGCGGAGGGGGTTGTGAGTAGCCGCCGTATTGCGGTTGCTGTGGAGGAGGAGGTTGCTGGTATCCGCCGTATTGCGACTGTTGCGGAGGGCCGCCATAGTTTCCGTACTGAGGTTGAGGTGAATTCGAGTAGCCACCGTATCCTTGTTGAGGCGGGCTGTTCTGTGTCAGTCGCCGGGAGATGGCAATAGGCTGTGCGCAAACTACTGACGGATATTGCTGAGGCGGGTATCCTCCGTACTGCTGCTGTTGCTGCTGTGGTGGGGGAGGCCCTTGATTGTAGCCTCCCTGGTTGTGGTAGCCTTGGCCGGGGTAGTACGACATGTTTACGCAACAATGTCGACGTCGAGGGTGCGTTGGAATGCTATCTTAGGATGCGATGGCAGGTCGGACTTGTTGGAGGAAAGAGAGCAGGAGCTGAATCGCGCGGGGTTTCAAGGAACGCTGACGCGTTTTCAAGTGCGATTGCGATTGCGGTCCAACTTGGCGCTTCCGTCAACTGCCTATGGATGCTTGCTGCGAAACACAGTGGATATCGATGATTCAAGAGTTCCAATGGGAGCAACCAGCCGCCTTATCCGTCAGCGCTCTCTACCCTGACAGTCCGCTTCGAGAAAAAGATGACTGACTGCACGACTGGGGAGGAGATGATGTGGCGCTCGCATCGAGACAAGTTGGAAGCCACAAACGGCTTTCGTCTTCGCTGTCGTCTTCCGCTGACACAGAAGCATGTGAACCATCCTCGTTTCCCCACGGGACATGGCCATCATCTGCTGTACGACTGTCTGCTTCCCCTCGTCGATCCAGCCTTGTCGAGATTTACCTCCGATAGAGCTGCTCGATTCAGTCAAACCCCTCCCCCATCCAAGGTCTTTCTGCAAGCCACTCATCATTCTTCAACCCTATTCTGGTACCCACGCTTAATTCAGTTTGCTCGTTGGCCCGTTCCGCTGTTTTTCGGTGACCCCGATATCGAGCCACATGGTCGGCTCCAGCCCTGTGACCCCTTGCCCTTGCCAGTCCCTTGAAATACCATCCGCCTAACCTCACTTGGGAATTGGTATTTGCTGTCTTGTGGCGCATTTCTGGACAAGCTTTAGCATCCTCGCGTCTATCGTATATGATTTGCATACGTCTAAACCTGCGATACTTCATGCTGTTTTTCGTGGCTTGAATTCTCCTTAACATGCCTCGTCCTTCGCTTAGACATGCTTCTACTGCGTGTCCGGCGTGCACCCCTCACTACACTTGCTTTCGTCATGTCTCTGCCGGCTCCTGCTCGCTCGTGATCTGACCCACGGCAAACACTCTCTCGCACCATTCGGCAAACACCTCGCTGGACCACACTTCGTCTTCTCGACCTTTTCCTTTTTTGCTGACCTTACCAACCTTGGCTGCGCCTTTGCCCTCGCTCAACTTGTCCATCCAGTCCTCGTAGGCCAGGATGACTTGGTCTCGCACTGCCGCAACGAGTGTCTCTCTAGTCCGCACGTCCTGAATGTACTCGTCCAGCTTGGCTCGCAGAGATACCACTTCCTTTTGCGTAATAGTGCGAACTTCAGCGGTGACCTGACTCGCGTCTGACCCTGGCTCCTTCCTTGGCGAAGTCAGTGGTGTTGTGATGGGGCCCACGAAGCTGTTGACGAAGTCGTTGATCACTGCTCGTAAGCGTCCGTCGAGTTCTGCTTTGGCATCGAGCATGTTTTCCACTACCCGCGGCATCAAACCTCCAGCAGCGAGCTTTACCCACCCAGCTGGGTTCCATAAGCCTCCTCTCTCGCGAAGCTCATAGAATGTATTGGTCACGGAAGAGAAGTCAAACGTGACTTCGGGCGTAATGAATTCGATGTCAAACGCGACAATTTGTTGCTTGAGTCGCAGCAGGTGAGCGATGAGGAAAAGATTGGCGTCAGCAGGTGATGACTTTGTCGAGATTTGAGACGCCGCCCATGCTAGAGAGACCGTCGTGCTGTGAACGATATTATGCGCTAAGTCGTCAAATACAGTGGACTGTAGAATTCGGAGTCAGCAAAAACTGTCAGCTTCAAAGCAGCTCAACTCACATTGACTAATCGGTAGATACGGCTCAGAAGCCAGATTGCTTTGCGCAGAGTTGGGTACCAGACCATAGCCTGTTTCTCGTTGGTGGGCCACGACGACTCGAACATATCGGCCCCGTCGTCTTCTTCTCCAGGTGATTTGACTTGAGTAGTGTTGGTCGAGTTCTTGCGGCCGGAGAGGGCGACCCGTTTTCCGTCGGCTGTCGTCGTTGATGGGCCGCGTGCTTGTGATGGATAGTCGAGATCCTCGGGTTTGGGTCGATAATTCTCGATCTCATCCCTGAGAACAGCCAACGCAAGAAAGACGAGTCGACTCTGAGCGTCTTCCAGTGCAGGTCTGACTAGCGCGGCGAAATCTAGGCTTCGCTTTGTAGTACTTGGGTCTTGATACTCCAGGTCATCGTCTTCTTCGTCGACCATGAAGCGAGTCTGGATGAAGGTGCAAAGTTCGCATAGCTTTGGAATACGAGTCTCGCGAATGATTCTGGGACGGAGATGGTCGTACAAAGGCTCACACATTGCCTCTAGGAACTCATATACGCCACCATCTCCGGCAAACCAATCACCCCAGAGATCGTATTCATCAAGACATATACCCCTTACGAAGCCTATGGCGGTCTTAGCAAAGGCAATGGAGTCGCCCATAGCATTGTCGACCGAAGCCATTTCGGTGAGCTTGCGAGAGATGATAGGAAACATGAGACGGCCGCGGGTGGCCGAATAGCTCTGGTACAACTCGTTCATGAGACTTTGATATTCGGCTTCGCCTCCTTGGTCGACACCGGCAGGTAGGACAGCACGCTTTTGTATTTGCAGGCCGAGCTGTTTCAACTCAGGAGCGCTGACACGGAACTTTGCGTAAAGGAGAGCAGTCTGGGTGGTATCATTGAGCTGGCGGTCAGCGATCCGTTGTGATGCATCGGCAGCCAGGGCTCGTAATGAGTTTGTGAAATGTACTCGGATCAGCGTAAGGGCGCGTGTCAGCAGCAGACGGTAGCGGGAACGGTAGGTAGGAGCTTCTCGGTGGGTACGCTAGAATCATCAGCGAATGGCACATGGACAGAGTGTAAATACGAACATGAGCCTGCATGTAGTCCAGACATTGGTCGAGGTTGGTAAGCATGTCGGGAAACTCTTTGGCCCGGACGAGATTGGCAGCGCCAGGAGCATTTAGCCTGCGTGTCATGGGTTCAAGATAGGCGTAGTATTGGAGGTTGTGATTCATGTTGTCGGCCAGACTGGTGATGCGACGCTGCTCAGTGATGAGAGACTCGCATTGAGCGTGGAAGGCGGTCGTCTGGTCGTCGACGGCTTTGAATGAGTCGGATAGAGACGACAGTACGCTCAGAGCGCCGTCAGTGCTCTCTATCAAGGAGTCGAGGTGGCGTTGCGACAGGTTTAGCTGATTGTAGTAGAGCTCGTAGTCATGGTGGCTGGCATCCAGGAGGTCGTCCTCCAGGGCATCGTACCAAGTCGCGAAGTCGAGGGAGGTTTGCAGGAGGGTTTTGGGCTTTTGAGCCGACGACAGGCTGCTCTTACGCGGGTGTGCAGCAGGACGGGTGGTATGGACACGCTGTTCGGCGGCGGCGGCGGCGGCAGCGAGACAAGCGTAGGACCGAGCTCTCCTGACTTGGGTGGCTTGTGGGGGGCCTCTTTTCAGCGAATTGTCGTCTTCTTCAGCGAGGGCGGGCAATTGGCCTGAAGCATCATCAGCCTGAGTCGCTTCCTGTACAGCATCAGCCGAGGGCTCGGCCAACGTACCATGGCATTGCGCAAGAGCAGCTTACATGTGGCTGTTGCAGGAGAGACGCTCGTCGCCGATGGCCCGCTGCCTTTTCGGACGACGCCGGAGCGCTGGCCGGTACAAGCGACGCGTACCAGTCGCTGTCCATCATCTTGGGCGCGAAAGGATGTTGACAATTGGCACAAAGTCGCTGGCTGTCATTGAACAATCAATACCCGTGGCTCATCTGGAGCTGGCGGGCTTGGCTGGTGTCGATAGCGGGCGCTTATCACATGGCTCGGGCCGATCTCACCGAGAGTCGCCAGGGCCCGATCTTGGCCCCGCAATCGCGTGGCTCGTGCGTGGGATCAAATGATGACGAGAGAGACTCGTCTGGCCAATCGAAGCCAAGCAGCTGACAGCTCGATTGTCAAGACTCTTTCTCTTGCAGCGACCCGAGGTCTTGCTCGAGTCCAGCAATTAAACACCATTCCAACATGCTTCCCAAGACCAGTGTCCCCAAGCTGGGCGCCCTCCCGACAGCCCGAGCGGCTTCCACTCGAGCTTCGATACAATCGCGAAGCCGCGCCAGAGTCCTTTCCGCCCCCGCCTACGCCGCCAGACGACAGCAACACTTCCTCACATCATTGGCCTTTGTTACTGCTGCTGCAGGCATTGCCACCGTCTCGCAATACTACCTTCACGACGGTCGCCTCTTGAGTACAGCGCACGCCGAAGCCCCGCCTGCCGAGCAACCAGACATCCAATTCGAAAAGACCCGCAAGCGTGGTGCAAACAAAGAGGAGGACAGAGACTTGGCAAGCTCTCAGCATCTACAGGTCAGGAAGTCCTGGGAGAACCCTGGTGTCTATGCATGCGGCTCCAATGCCGGCAAGGTCGTCGCCCCCGATTCGGATGCTTCCTACATCAAGACGCCACGCCGCATCACCTTCTTTGACGGCAAGCTGCTTCGCGATATCAAGCTGGACAAGAACTTTGGCGTTGCCATTGACGAACAGGGCAACTTGTTGCAATGGGGCGTCGACTACTCCAAGCACACGACTCAGCCCACTGCTACTCTCAAGGGCAAGAACCTGGTCTCGTTGGCAATCTCCAAAGACCGCATTCTCGCCCTGTCGTCTTCTGGAAGCGTCTACTCTCTGCCTGTCTCTGCTGCTGACCAGGCTGCAGGCACAAAGCCCAGCGAGAGCTCTTGGATTCCTTTCTGGTCCTCTACTTCTCCCATTAGCTACCGCACCATTGTCCCGTCAGATATGAGCTACAGTGAAAGGGTATCGTCCATTGACAGCGGCCTGGAACACGCCTTGCTGCTCACTTCCAAGGGTCGTCTCTTTTCAATGGCATCTGCAACCGACGCCTTCCCTACTAGAGGTCAGCTCGGTGTTCCAGGCATATCTTGGGATAACAAGCCCACCGGTCCATACTACCAGCCTCATGAGTTGACCACTCTCAGAGGTTTCAACATTTCAAAGATCGCATGCGGAGACTATCACAGCATTGTAGCTGATACGGACGGCCGTGTCTTTGCTTTTGGTAACAACACTTCCGGACAGTTGGGCTTCGACTACAACACCGAGTCTGCTGTTGTTGATACGCCAGCTCTGCTACCACTGCAGAAGCTGTATGCTGGATCATCACAGGTCCCCGTAGTCACATCTGTAGCTGCTGGTGGCGCCAACTCTTTCCTGACTGTAGATGCTACACAGATGGCATCTCGAAACTCAGACAACAGACGGGTTGGTAGGGTCACTGCCGATACTTTTGCATGCGGTGCTGGCATCTACGGCTCGCTTGGAAACAGCCGCTGGACCCACGTCCAGGGAACTCCTACCAAGATCCCTGCCTTGTCTTCGCTGTTCGAGTACGATGAAACCGCCAATGCCGTTATTCCTATCAGACTTGCTAGCATTAGTGCTGGTAATAAGCACGTGGCCGCTGTTATGGACAACGTCGCTCACACAGGAGCTTTGAACACCGATGGAGAGACCTGGTGGGGTAGAGACATTGTCTTCTGGGGTGGTAACGAGCACTACCAACTCGGAACCGGCAAGAGGAATAACGTCAACACTCCTACATACATTCAGCCTCTAGACCAAGCTGCAGAGCGCAAGCTCAGAGGCAAAGAGGAGCACAGATTCCAAATCACACCGAGGAGCACCGTCCGTCTCGCTGACGGCAGAAAGGTTAGCATGGAGCAGCGCGTAGAGTGCGGCAGAGACTGCACCGCCATCTACTCTGGAGTGTAAGATGGATGGTGATCTTCTCATGCATATTTTGTAATTTTATCGTGTAGATACTCTTGGGGCGTTGTCCAGGCTTGAAGTTGGTAGCGATGGATTGTTTGTAATTTTAGTCTAGAGCACGTAAGGATCGTCTCCGTCTCAACTCCATGTTGTGCGAGGTGTCGCGAAAACAGATTCACTCCACAAATTTCTCCGAGTCCTCCTGACATTGTCTTCCTTCGAATTTCGAAGCACGCAACCAAGTCGTATTTGTTGGCTTATCTTCAAGCCTGCCAAAGCGAACGGAGGATTCGATTGATTAGCCACTCGTGATGCAGGTCTCCATTCGCGCCTTGGGGGTTTCTGGTCACACGCCAAAGGCACACGAGTGACGAGCATGCCCATCTTCGCGCCTCCGGTCGCTACCATCAGGCCGACCAAATACAAGACTATTTGTGGCGTTGCTTATTCAAACTTGGCTTCTCAAGATACTTGGTAAAATTTGGCAAGTGCTATTGGTTTGTACTTTCGTGATGCGTGCCTCGTGTTTTGGTCCATGCAAGGAGGAGGGAAGCTCTCACGCGGCATCCAGCAAAGTTGCTGTCGCTGAGGGCTGCATAATCAAATTGTTGCAGATGAAGGGCAACAAACCAGTCGCGCAGTTCCCTCCCCATGTATGCACAGTGCGGATGGCACCTGCCTCAAAGAGCTAGGTTGGAAATTCGACGGAAGCAGCGAACATCATGCCAATGCTGCCACCGGGTCATCGTCCGTCTTGGACTCAAACGTGCCGCCTATCACTGCATCAAGGGTGGTCAAGTCAACATCCCCCTCAGTCCTATTATTGGCCAAACCGGCAAGCCTGCATTCATTTGCGCTAATCTCTTGTACCCGTAGCTGCCGCTATCTCGCAACATCCCTTGCCCAATCAAGGATACAGGTTGATATTCCTACTACTCTCCATTCATGTGAGTCTGTGACGCGCATCTTGGTGCATCGCATAAATTGGTCGCGATTCCCACCTACCTGATCATATCATACCGACTCGAAGACACAGTCAAGTCTCTAAACTCTCCGTCAATAACGATGGCACAGCCTGCAGCTCTGGCTCTGGAAGGCGATCCGAGGATGAGTGCTACTGAACCTGGCATAGCACAACTCCCAACACCGGCACTGAGGAACGTGCATGACCCCTCGGTGACCATCGAAGAGTACTTCTACTGGGCCAAAATCACTCGTGAACAGCAGAGGGGCATTCCAATAGTCAAAACTCCAGCCAGAAAATTCTTGAGTTTTGGCAAACGGGATGCTGTTCCTTCAATCATCACTGGTTCCGATCCAACCAATCCAAGGCAATCTAGTAAGGGACTGGGTACAGCTACGGACGAGAAGACTGGTGACTCGGAAGTTCCTGCAATCAGTAGACCGGCTGTTGTGACAGAGGAAGAGTGGCTACAGGCTTCTAGAGCCGCAAGGACAGCAACTTGGGGATCTATCTTCTATCTCATCACCACAGATGTGTTGGGTCCTTACTCTGTGCCGTATGTCAAATCTCTACGATTGATCATCGAGCTACGTCGGTTGACAGTGTTTTAGGTGGGCTTTGGCACAGATGGGATACGGTCCAGGTATCGTTCTGTACACCATCTTCGGAGCTCTAGCGGGCTACACAGGCTATCAAATCTGGATTATGTTCCTTCAGCTTGATTCTGATCAGTATCCTATGAAAACCTTTGGCGACATCGCATTCAGAGCTTATGGAAGTGTCACGCGTCATTTGGTGAACATCTTGCAAGCAATCCAGCTCATCTTCAACGTGGGAGTCATCATCATCCAGAACGGCCAAGGGCTTTATCAGATCAACTCAAACATGTAAGCTCCAAGTCTCTAGTATTCACTACCTATCTTAAGATCATCACGACTAACATAAGTCAGTTGTTATATTGTGGTGAGTGCAACTTAAAGGATTACTTTCCATGCCATGTGCCATGAAGATCGCCAGAAAACGAGCTGACCATGTTCTGCCCAGTGTTGTGTCATTTGGACAGGTAATTTGAAGCTCCTTGGTTGATGAGATACGTTCTGATAAGTTGGTTAGCATGTGGTTTTGTGCTCGGTCAAGTGCGCACCCTGCAGAAATATGGCTGGATCGCCAACTGCGCCGTATGGCTCAACGTAACGGTCATGATCCTCACGATGGCCGTCGTGACCCACTCGCATCCAAACTATGAAGCCGCTGCCAAATCCAATGGCGTCGATATCGGGCCCCCTGCGCCTCCAGTAATGACTACCGCAGGCCCACCAGCGACTGTTGAGTTTAGCGGACAAGTTGTGGGCTTGATGCAGGCGGTTTACTCCTACGGCGGTGCCATGCTTTACTGCGAATTCATGAGCGAAATGAGGAAGGTACGTGCCCTCGTCTCGTCAGACGCTGCTGGGGCTGCCCTAGGAGGCTCAGCCGCGTCTTGACGTGACTTCTGGTCAAACCTCCCTGTACAACCACAACTACACATTGACGAAACCACGTGCTACTGAATGCTGACGAATCAAAAAGCCATTCGACTTCTGGAAAGCTTTGGTTATTGCAGAGACCTTCATCTATGTTGTGTATCTATTCTTCGGCATCTTTGTGTATTCCTACCAGGGCCAGTACACTATCAATCCAGCTCAACAGGTATATCGGCATCGACTCGGGATACGATGCATTCATGTTGACGATTGAACCAGGGAATGTTTCCTCACGCAGCCTTGACTGCAGGAAACATAATCGCCTTTGTGACGGCCCTCATAGCTGCCGGACTGTATGGAAACATTGGGATCAAGGTAAGATTAGATCTTTGTTGTCTCGCAGAGCGTAGAGCTAACTTATTCAATCGGTTATGTATCAGAACATTTTCCAGGAACTGTTGGGCCTGCCAGAGCTCACCACAAGAGCTGGAAAGCTTGTCTGGGCTGGCATTGTGCCTATCTACTGGGGCATTGCGTTCCTCCTTGCCGCCGCTATCCCTCAGTTCAGGTAAGTTGTAACCCTAACGTATCTCATGATTGCGTCTGACGGGATGTCAGCGCGCTCTCCGGGCTCGTGGCCGCCCTTTGCATCCTCCAGTTCACATACACCTTTCCACCTCTCCTCATGCTGGGAGTGCAGATCCAGTACGATGCAATCCGCCCTGAGCAAGGCGAAGGATTCAATCCGACTACTGGTGAGACAGTACGACATGACCGTGGTATAAAGAGGTGGATCCGCGGCTTCTTCGCTCGCAGGTGGTACATTAAACTTTGGAATGCCGTCTTCTTCCTCGGGGCTGTGGTGACTTGTGTTTTGGGAACTTATTCTTCCGTCAAGTCCATGATCGACGCGTATGCCTCTGGCTCCTCGACGGCTTTCAGTTGTGTTGGACCGGTCTGAGCACGAAGTTTACTTGGGTGGTATGCTGGCATCGATCTCAAATGGTGTTTCCTAAGCTTTTTGAGTATTCCTGAGATATACGGACGAATGATGGATCAAACCAGTATGCCTCTCTATATGCGGTCGGCTTGGATTACTTCTGTGAAAGCTACAACTTGGAGAGTCATTGTTTCGCTTTCGCGTCTCGACATGGTTGTCGACAGCACAAGAATCGCGAGAGACAGGGTGATAAGCTCAACAATCACACGCGGAGATAACGGAGGTTTGCAGCCTGTCAGGAATGCAGCTTCGACGTCACCAACCCGCGTCGCGAGTCGCGCCTGCCTTCTTGGTTCCCGTATTCCACGACCTGCGAGATATTTCTTCGTGATGGTAGTAAGGACCGAGGAGGTAAGAGCAGTTCTCGATATGTTTTCTACTGTCGCAAGAATCGCAAGAGCGAGGCCAAGGTAGAGTCTCTTGTGTCGAAACACGTCTTCAGAAGCTGTACAAAAATCAAGGCAGGGCACAAGAAAGCGTGAAGTTACGTAGACACTTCCTCCCTCATTCCCTTTCCAACCCACATACACCCATACAGAAACCCCTCCAGCGACAATGACGGCTAGAATAGATTCGGGCGAGCCCTTTCTCAAATATCTCAATGTCAGCAAGACACCGTACATTTTCCTCACGGCCGAGACGGACGACTTTGACGAAGAGACGATCGCTGCTTGGGAGGGCGAAGGCTTCGTCACGACGTATGTGCCTTTTGGCAATGGAGGGAGAGACTATGTAGATAGAATGCATGCGGCTCCTGACCAAGCATTGGGTCTGAACGATCAGTATGCCATAGTAGGTCCGTTTTGTCACTGTCTCATAAAAGTGAATCAGCGAGTGTCGCTAATACATACCATGACAGCATTTGGAGATGCAGCAAGCGCCTGTCTCGAAGCCTACGTCAAATCCACACCTCGTCTCGCCGCCTTAATCGCATACTACCCATCCAGACTCCCGGACCCGCAACAAACACGATACCCCATGCACACCACCGTCCTAGTGCATCTCGTAGGCGACATGATCAAGATAATCCGCACGCCAGAGGTGCTCGGTATACAAGGCAAAAAGAAGATCATCGACAAAAGGATAGGAGATGGATCAGGCTTGGGTGGGGAATTGAAGTTGAGCTTTCAGGCATACAAGTACCCTGGTGTCGAGGAAGGATTCGCCGAGAGTGATCTGGATGAATACGATGCTGCTGCTGCTGGAGTGGCTTGGAGCAGGACTTTGGGAGTCGTGAGGAAGGCGTTACGGATAGCCTCCGACATTGAGAGGATACGGGACGAACAACTAGACCGTATGTTCCATCACACCCATCACTACAACAAAGCTGACATATATATCCAGATGCACGAAAAGGCAGCGTTCAAAAAGCCCTCGCCCTCACCAGTCAAAATCCAGCAGTCCTCCACGTACCTTCTTTAACAGGAGCCTTCCACGAAGAAGACCTCGGCGACTTTTACTCTGAATTCTTCCAACCATCACCTACGTCGCTAAATTGCAAGCTACTATCCCGCACCGTAGGCACCGACCGCGTGATCGACGAAATGTCTCTATCCTTCAACCACAACAAAGTCATCCCCTGGCTACTTCCCGGTGTACCAGCCACGAATCGCAGGATCGAAGTTGTAATCGTATCTATCGTATGCATCAAAGCTGGGAAATTGTTCAGTGAAAAGGTTTACTGGGATCAGGCTAGTGTGTTGATGCAAGTGGGCTTGTTGGATCCGAACCTGGTGCCGGACAAGTTCAAGGAAAAGGGAGTGGAGAAGTTGCCAGTTGTTGGTGCCGAGAGTGCGAGGGCGGCAGTCAGAGGAGGTAGTCGCAGGATTAATGAGTTGATTTCTGATTGGTAGTAGCTCCTGGGTATATCGCATGGATAATCTGGAACTAAAGGTGTATACTACAAACCTCGACCTGGTAAATTCAGTTGGTGATCCCCTGTATCCCCCCATCTATCTGGAGGCTTCGCACGCTTCACTCTCCCCACCAAAGAATCGTCACAACCCAAAACAAAAGTCTACCTTTTCCAACGCATCCATATAACATGCATTGACGTTCCTGCTGACAAAACAAAAGGATGATGATCAGAGTGGGATTCGAACCCACGCGATTTCTCACTAGTAAACTCATTTCAGGTGAGCCTGAAACTAGCGCCATAACCACTCGGCCATCTGACCAATCGTTGTTGCGTTTCCGGGTGGCGTCGTACTCGTCCCAACGCGTGCAAGGACAATCCAGTACCACACACGTACTGCTACCTGTCTCTACACAAGACTGTTGACTACCTAGGTAATACTGACCCTTGCATTAGAGCAATTAGAACAATTCGCACAAACCCACATCAAGCAGAAACGGGGCTAGAATCGAAGAACATAAATGTACATTGCAAAAAAAGTTCATCTATACAGATCTAGCATCCGGCTCTACAGGAATTGCCATCTCGTGTTGATCTGCTTACGTTTTACCTAAACACATCGAGTCAGTACATTGCGAGCCCTGATGATAATCAAGAGTAAAGCTTACCAGAGGTGCAGCGGCGACAGTGGCCACAGCAAGCGCAGCTACTGTTGCCAGCATTTGCAACTTGTTGAAATCCTTGCCGAGAATGTCGAATGAGAAACTCGGGCTGATCCTGGTGCTGAACACGTCGAGACCATAAGCAAAGACCAAACTAGTACTTTCCAGTACCGCTGGGCTGGTTGTGATGGTCTCAACGCCGTAGATCTCGCGTTGGTGGTTGAGGTACCACTTGGGGTCAAACTCAAGGACCGGGGTGTATTTCATCAGACCCTCCATCATCTCGTCCTTGGTGGACTCCCTTCCAACGGGTCTACGAGGGTCGATGACTTGGCGAGGGATACCAACTACTGCGTTGGATTCGGGCAGCACAGCCAACAATGCTCTTGATGTGATACCTTGTCTGGTCTGTGTGACTGCCAGCTTGGAAATTGGCTCGCGAATGCGGTAAGACTGAGAAACTACGTGAGGCTGGTAGCTGTAGTCAACCTCTGTCAAGTTCTTGACAGCAGATTGTGGTCCCCTGTCGTTCGAGAACGGTGACTCGAACATCTCGCCAATGACCAGCTGGTAGCCCTTGACGCCATCCGCTGTTGGCTGCGAGGCGAATGAATAAGCAAACCAGTTTTCAGACATAGTTGAGGCGATGGGCAGAGTTGCGTCAACGCCCTGGTGCGAAGCAACATAGAGAACAGATCCTGACAACGCATCAAGCACACTGACAGTAGCCGACAGTGTCACTTCGGAGGCAGTAATGACGAGAAGAGTGTTGGGGTTGAGGTACTTGTAAAGAACCTTACGGTCACCGAGAACTTTTCCGATAGAGGCCACAGGGTCGTCAAGTGGGCGAGAGGTCAGGCTGTAGACTTTCTCTCCGTTACCGGGCGAGAATCTCCATGATGCAGCCTTAGCGATCGGACCACCTACGACCTTGCCTTCCTCTACCCCATAGGCATATTTGGCAACAGGATTCAATCCTGACGACAGTGCCGAACCGGTGTAGGTCATCTCGACACCGTTTGATGCGTTGAAGAGTCTGTGCTGAGTGCCATCGGTACTACTTGCGACGATTGTGCCATCTGGGCGTGCATCAAGCTTAGGAGAACTCCAAGGAGAAGTAGCTGCACTGTCGGCAATCTTCACACTCCAAATCGTGTTACCATTGCCGCTCGCGTCAAGTGCAACCAAGCGACCACTCTCGGTAGCGCAGACAATTCTCTTGTGGAAGCCAAAGGTGTTCGTCGCATCTACATCAGCATCGGATTTTCCGAGGCCAACACTGTTTGCCATGCGACCAGGCAGTGCTGTGAGATATGCTGGGAGAGAGTTCAAAGCTGCGATATGTCTCTTGACTCTGTGGACATAGGCTTGCACAGGGTTGGAGTGACCCTCAATCTCGAGCTCATGGACAAGACCTTCAGGAGCGGATAGGTATGCCCAGACTGCAGACTTGATGCTGCTGAGAGCTTCGGGTCTCTCCCAAACAGGGGTTCCGTCGCGGATAAGAACCCACTCGCCAGATGCCAGGTAGACGGCGGAGCGCACAGCAGAGACGATGTCAGCCTTGACAGAAACTTCAGAGACGGCGTGAATAGGAGCGTGATCGCCTTGCAGGGTAATGCCAGCGGCACCCTTCAATGGCCATCGGGCAAGAACACCGTGCGAAGCAGACGACACAACTGTTACCTCGGATTCGGAGATGCGGGTAAAGTAGACATTGGCTTCAGAGGTGCTGACAGAGAAGGCGGCATTGCCTGACAGTTTGGGAAGCGAGTAAGCCTTGGACACAGTAGACTTGACCAGATCGACATGGTAGACGTCAGCCCAGTTCTGGGAGCTCGTTTCGTAGTGGACCAAGAAATGAGGGCGAGAGTTGACGTGGTAAGGAGCATGTAGAGAGAGATCCAAAACAGTTTGATCGGCATCAATGTCGAAAGTAGACACAGCTTTGGAGCCAATGACGTTGACCTTGAGAGTCGAGTGGGCCTTGTCAGTCCATGCAATGATGGGCGAGGCCGAGTTGGCACCAACGGACAAGATGTCTGCAGTCGAGCCAAGGTCGCTTTCGGTAGCCAGAGTGTATTGTTCGACCTTGTGTCCAGTCAGGGGATCCAGGGTAACGACCTTGATCTTGAGGCCTCCCAGCATCGAAGTGTGCAGGGAAATGTAGAAGATGTGTGTAGACGAGACGGAGAGCTGGAAAGGTACATCGCCCGTCTCGTCTCTAAAGAGCCACTTTTGAGCACCGTCCTGACGAGCGAGCCTCTGTACGGTGGGCAGAGGACCGCCGGTCAAGACAATGGCATCCTTGGAGCCTCCCTGCTCATTGGGCTCAGGAATCTCGACAATCTCCAGGTCTTTTACAGTAGCATCTTGTAGGTCAACAGACCATGCTTGACGTCCGTCGGCAGCGCTCCACGCAGCGACTTGGCCGTCAATGGCGCTGATGACGAGGTGGTGGTCCTGAGCGGCGCGGAGGAAAGTTGACGTGGAATTGCTCAAGGGAGACAGTTGCTGGCGCCATCTTAGGGACCCGTCCTTGGGATTTACGGCACCAAGGATTGCCTTGTCCGACAGGGTGTACAATAGGGATGCTTTAGAAGCAGCGACGGGTTGGTGGAAGAAGGTCGTGTGGTCCTGAGGTGCGCCGACGAGGGCGAGGTGCCAATCTACCTTCCACGCATCGTCAAGAAAGACGGCGTGACATGATGGCAAGAGCAAGCTGGATGCAGCGACAAGCACGGATGGGACTCGCATTTCACGGCTCCTGATTGTCGACTGCGTTAAGCTCGCTATGGACACACAGCAGCCAACAAGTCCAGAGCTCCTTCCCCAGAAGCTCGCGCCTGCCCTCCGAAGATCTTCCACCAGCTCCGAGCCTCAACACCAACCAACGCCTGCTTGATTCCTTGATTATTGCCAGAAGTCGCCCTAGTCTGTCATTTCAATCTCTCCCGGACTCGCCTTCGCTTTCGCTTTCTTCGTCTATCTCCATATAGACTACAACTTCAGCAAGCGAATTATTCATGCCGCTCGCGAGCTCGCCTGTACAACAGCCCCCGCTGCCACTTCGCAGTCCCTGATGACGTTGCTGCCGGAATCATCTTGCCGTGCGAACCTGGCGAGCTGAAGCTCCTGGTGGCTTGCATTGACTCCTGTAGTCTGATTATTGTGCCCTGTCGGTATAGATAACAACTTGTCCACACACGCTCCTGTTGCCATGCTGTAAACTAAAGGCTTCGACTCAACCATGCTTCCAATCTCTCATAGATTTTCTCGTCGAAGCCTGGATTTCGTCACTGTCAAATCCCCGAGTTAGCAGAACAATTGCCGAGCCTCACGTCGCGGATAGACATGGCGTCCTCCAAGAATGGCTGAATACATGAGAGTTTGGCCAAGTTGAGACAAATCGTGTTAAAGGTCGTCTCAGAGTGCTTTGAAGCCGAGGCGCGGCGGCACAATCCATGACTCGGATGTGCCGAAATTATCATCCCAGCAAGCTGCACACCTCTGATATCAGAGGCAGCTTTCGCATCGCGCTTGCAAGCCAACGCGTCTCGCTCCTCTCCCTAATCTTGCCCATATTCGACTGTCCCTTGTGCCCTTTCGCTTCCTTCCGCGTGTACATGCATATCAATCTCTTCGCATCTCTCCGACTGCCGATCCGCCCGTTTGTACTGTGCTCGTGAGTGGCCGGGCGCTTCCCTGACCGCATCTCCAACGAAACCTTCAATCGACAAACGTGCCAAGCTGTGAGTTTCCAACCATATACCATTCCAACGATGTCATGTATCCTCCTGCCTGTATCTCTTGTAAAAGTCTTGCTCCCCAATTGACATGACCTGAACTAGCTCGTTACGATCTAACGACTGATCTGCACCTCTCTTGCTGGTCAGGAGCCTTGCAGTAGTGGAGAGCGGGACTGCCTCGCCGATATCTTCCTTCAGCCCGTCGTCTCCCATCCATCCAGTTTTGTGATTGCGAATCTCGTTGTCCCTTTGGAAACTCTGTCTTTGTTGGAGCATCGCCTTCGGCGCCCGATATCTCACCCTTTTCTTGGAGCTTCTTGGACACCATGTCGCGGATGCCAAATCACCGGTAATTTCATGTCTTCCCCTGGGTGTAGATCCCTCTCACGTCCGCAGGCTGAACGTGAATCATAGAGAGTACCACATTGTCGTACTTGGCTCAGGTCAGCATTCATTCTTCATACATCTTGTGGTACCGTGTGCTGACTTTCCTCAGGCGGAGTCGGAAAAAGTTGTTTGACAGGTACCCCACCACTGAACAGTCCCATGTCGTATTGTGACTAACAATTCAAAAAGCACAATTCGTGCAGGGTATCTGGATTGAACGATATGACCCAACTATCGAGGACTCATATCGCAAACAATGTGATGTCGATGTACGCCCACTTATCAGCTGTATCTGAAGCCTGTCTTTCTAACCGTAGACCGCAGGGTCGACAAGTAATTCTCGAGATTCTCGACACAGCAGGAACAGAACAATTCAGTGAGTAAAAAGTCATCACATCAACCAGCCCCTCATACATGTCTCGCTAACACACAAACCTCTTAGCTGCCATGCGGTAAGATTTTAGAGTCGGCCATAGAGACAGACGCTGTTACCAGAACTAACATATTTTCTAGTGAACTTTACATGAAGTCCGGCCAAGGCTTTCTTCTCGTCTTCAGTATAACCTCCTCATCCTCTCTAAAAGAACTTTCCGAACTCCGCGACCAACTCGTAAACCTCAAAGACGATCCACACGTACCTATCGTGCTGGTCGGCAACAAATCCGATCTGGAAGAAGACCGCGCGGTTTCCAGAGCGGCTGCTTTCGCCGTGTCGTCTGGTTGGGGGAATGTGCCGTACTACGAGGCTTCGGCGAGGACGCGGCAGAATGTTACGGAAGTGTTTGTGGATGTCTGTAGGCAGATCATGCACAAGGATTTACAGAATGGCAAGGGCGGAGGTGGTCACGGGGGTGAGGAGAGGAGTAGGAGGAGGAGAGATGATGATGGTGGGGAGGGTGAGAAGAAGAAGGGGCGCCGGCGTAATAAGTGTATCATACTGTGAGGTCTGCCCCTGTTCTCCTCTGTTCTTTCTTTCTTTCACATTGTATGTGTTTCTAAATTTGCCTTTTCCTGTTCCTCCACCATCACGGCTTTCTATGGATCACAGTCCTACGGCGAAGCAGATTCCAACAATCTCGAGTAATCTTCCTCGCGATGATTCCATCACTCTTTTCAGGTCAGCAGCTTGTAAAACACCACGGCCTCCAGGGCGACATGAAGATTGTGACATTTCTAGAGAAGGGGTCTGTCGCGGAGGTGTGGCACGTGTGGAGCATCTGCAGTGATTACAAAGCTAGGATGATCAATCCGATGATGGTTTTGATGATGCGGATTGTAGATATTCAATGTTGTCTCTGCCGGCTGGTGTTCTCAGTACAACCGTCATGACGACGTTTCGTTTGGAGTTAGCAACCACCAAATCCGATAACTCCGTACTCATAAAGTCGTCGTCACCACCTCAATCAGAAACACAATCGTAGCAGAATCAATACGAGTGAACATGTCAGACCAAAACAAGTACGGAAACAAGCTCCAGGGCCAGAGAGTCCTTATCATTGGCGGCAGCGCAGGTAAGCAGCTGGACTACATTGGCAGGGCTTTGCCGGACTAAAGAATTTGTAGGCATTGGCTATGGAGTCGCCGAAGCATCGCTCGAGAATGGAGCTCATGTGACAATCTCCTCTTCAAACGAGTCCAGAGTTCAAGAAGCTGTCTCGAGGTTGCAAAAGGCATACCCATCAGCCGCCCAACGAGTCGAGGGGTATGCAGCAAACATGGGCGAGCAAGCCAGCCTCGAGTCGAATGTTGAGCAACTCTTCAAGAAGGCTGGCTCGCTCAATCACGTCGTCTTCACAGCAGGAGATTCTCTAGCTATGATGCCGCTCGAAGAGGCAACTATGGACAAGACTATCCAAGCAGGCATGGTCAGGTTCTTCGCACCTCTGATGGTCGCCAAGCATGCAGCAAAGGTGCTCGACAAGAGCCCAACCTCATCCATTACCCTGACCACGGGCAACGTCTCGGAGAAGCCCATCCCTAACTGGAGTGTCATCAACGGATTCGCTACTGCCCTCCAAGGCTCGACAAGAGGTCTAGCGCTGGACCTGAAGCCCATCCGCGTCAACTTAGTAAGCCCTGGCGCTGTAATCACCCCACTGTGGGACGGCATCCCAAAGGAACAGAGGGAGCAAATGTTCAAATCGTTTGCGAGCAAGATGGCAACGGGCAAGATGGGTCAGGTAGAGGATGTGGCCGAGGCCTTCCTGTACGCCATGAAGGACAAGAACTTGACAGGAAGCATGATCAGTACAAACGGAGGTGCAATGCTCATGTAGATGGTTGAGGGATATAGTTGCTCGGAGAGCGAAAAGGAGACAGTGGGGCAGCAGCAGTGGAGAATGCAAGGATTTCTATGTCTTCGTGGCAGCCCAAGGCTTGAGATGAAAATGCATGATGTGCAGAAAGTGACAGGCTAGTAAGCAAAGCAACAACGTCTCATGCAAGTATCCTCGTTGATTATGCTGTTGGGATTGTGGATGAGTCTGGCAGATGCAGGAGACAAAGAAATGTCGGAGGAGTTTGCGGAGCAAGCAAGGAGAGTTTTCTGTCGGGGGAGAGAGTTTCTGTCAAGCAAAATGGGCGTTTCGGGAGTTTGGTCAAACCTGGTCAGCGGGACGAGCGTTTCGAGAGAACAAGAAGCCCCGCCTCGTCGTCCCTCTGATGCCCAACCTGCTGGAACTCTGGGCTCTCGCGACGACATAAACTCGCAGAGGTCCTTCGAGTAGCCCATTGCCAGGAAGACAAGGCCACGGTCAGGTGGCATCAGAGTTAACGCTCCGGAGCAACGACTCAGGGCGATTGAGGAACGGCCCGTTGGAGGTTGTACTTTGGCTTCTGTACCGAACAACCAACTACGCCATCGTGCTTTCCCTGGTGTGCGTGACGCCGCAGGTCAGCAACCAACAATCGACAGACGAACCGGCTGCTTGGATCCTGCCCGCGTACACAGTGACTCGACTTTTGCTTCTTCCATAGCCGCCCACCACGCATCGCATCGCATCGCACCGCCCCGGCATTCTTAGGCTCTTCAGCTGGGCATTCTACACACTCGATTGCTGCAACGGCGTCGGCGCCAACAGACACGCCCATGTCTTACCACCGCGCCTCGTCGCCAGGGAGCCGCCGTCTGGCTCACCCAGCACGCTTGTCCGACGGCTACTATCCTGCTGCCACCTCGGCCGCCTATGCTTCGCCCAGGTCCAGTGGTGAGCGCATTGTGCCCCTCTCGACGACCAGCTTCGTCACACGAGACGCCTACTCGGGCAGACCCCGTCGCTCCACCCTGACCGAGCCCTCGCGTTCGACTACGCAACCCTCGACCGCCAACACCGCCCTCCCCGTCCACACACGTACCCGCCCTGCCGTCATTCAATCCTCGCACGATCGCACCCATAGTCCCTCGAGCCCACATGCCTACTCCACCTCCACCCGCACTCCTGACTACTATGCCGTCCCTGCCACCTCGCACAGAGACCACTCGCACAAGAAGCTCTACAGCATCGACGGCGGCGGCAAGTCTCGTCTCGTTGCCGACATAGACATCAACACGAGCCATGGCAGCTCCCACAGGCGTCACAGCGTTGATCGCAACTCCGACCGTCACTCCTCGTCCCACCACCGCCACAAAGCCTACCATCTCAGTGGGCCCTCGACCAGAAAGACCGAGAATGACCACGGCTTCTCCTACACAGACCCTGCCGCCATGTACAGAGACACCGAGCCGCGCTGGCGACACCGAGCAGGCAGTGTCGAGGCCACTCGTCCTAGACCAACCAGTACAGTAGTCGAGCCATACCCTCCTCGCTCTTCAGCTAGAGATTCTGGCCCGCCCACATCGCGTGCCCTCGACAAGTTCAACGACGGTGCCGGTCGCATCAACAGCACACGAGAAACCCCACGATCCTCCAACAGACTGTCTTACCAGGAGCCGCACTACAACGACGGCTACACTTCTTCGTCCGGTCGTCACTCCACTGCTGTCCATCAAGACCGTACACGCGATGTCTATTCCAGAGACGCCGAGCACGCTCGCCCATCCCATCGTTACGAAGATCGTGGCGTCGAGCGCAGAGGTTTCGGCATTCGCAGTGGCAGCCAAGACAGATATAATCACAACATGAACAAGGGCAGCAACGAAAGCTTCGATGCCTACTACTCTGACCGCGACCGTGACCGCGTCCCTCCACGCAGCGACCCCTGCACCTACGATTATCCAAAAGAGTCCGATCGCGATCGAGACTATCGCCCAAGAGACAAGGAGCGACCGCGAGATGATGGCTATGCTTCAGAAAGAGACCGACATCACGAACGAGATCGACGGGATCACAATCGCAGAGACCGCGATCGAGAAGTCAATCCGAGAGGCAGTGGCGACAGTCTCACTAACACTATCTTGCCTGCTGCGGCGACCGCTGCTATCGGCGGTCTTGGTGCTATGGCTGCTGCTGCTTATGGCTCAGACACTACCGCCAAAGGACGTGATCGTGAGTATGAAGAGCGAGATCGAGAGCGAGAAAGAGACAGGGAGAGAGAACGAGAACGCGAACACCGCGACCGTCAACAAGAACATGAGCGAAAGCAGCGTGAGCACGAGAGAGAACTCAGAGACCGGGAGCGCGACAAGCGTGAACACGAAAGAGAACGCGAGAAAGACGTAGAGAGAGATAGTGAGAAGGAACGAGAAAGGACTCACGAGCGCGAGATACGTACTCGCGAAAGACCCAGGGAAAGGGAAAGAGATAGACACAGGCACTCTTCATCGTCCGAAAGCGGCCAAGACAGGCACCGCAGCTCGAGACGCCACCGCACGCTCGGAGCTGATGGCTCTCCTCCACGAGAGAAAGATACAAGACCTGCCGCTGATGAGCGGCAACGCGTACCTGAGCCTGGTCACATTCACCCGTCCGACGAGCGACAACGTGTTCCTGAGCGCGAACGTCCTGCTGTCACCGAACCTGCCGCAGAAATTGACCCTGACGAAGATTACCGTCGTCGGATGGAACAGGCACAGAGAGATCTAGGTTTGCATGATCATGCAGACTCGGACAGAGACAGACGCACGAACGGAGCCGAGTCTGTTCCTAGCAGGGCTTCTCCTCCTGCTGTGTCCGATGATGTTGACCACCCCGAGAACAAAAGCAGAGAGAACCGAGTACGTATCGTTGAGCCTCCATCTGACAGAGAAGACTCTCAGCCAGTCAAGGGTATCTTGAAGAGGCCCACGCAGAAGTTCCCTGAGGATCCAAATCCCATGCGTGAAGGTGTTAAACCACTCAAAGAGGTACGTTAATTTCACGAGGCAAAACACATCATACTCACTATCTATCGCCTACAGACAACCAAAGAAGGAATTCCTTCAGGCGCCCGTTGGACAAAAATTGACCGCCGCCTTGTCAATCCACAAGCTCTCGAAGAAGCGCAGGAACGCTTCGAAGAGCGTTTGGACTGTGTAATTGTACTCCGAGTTCTGACTAAAGACGAGATACAAAAACTTGCCGACAAAACATTGGAGATCAGAGGTACTTGCACGCCCTACACTTTGTCTTGCCGACTTTGCGTTGCTAACGTTTCTAAGAAGCCCGCTCTTATGGTGATGAAGATCGTGAACGTCGCGAACGACGTGAGCACCGCCGTCGCGAACGTGAACGCGAGCGACACGACCGAGACGAATACGAAGATGATGACAGCGAAGATGAATATGCTCCCCGCGAACCACGGATGCTCGAAGCTCCCACCGATGGGCAGGAACCTACTGCAGATTTTGTTCGCGACCGGGAAAGACGCAGAGAGCGTGAGCAGGAACCTGCTTACGCTTCTCGTGCGCTTTAGATATCCTCTTCATGACCTATCGATGCAACGAAACTTACGACTCTGGAAAAGCGAGGTCATTCTGTGTGGTGGACGCGATAGGATCTGTACTTTTGGAAAGCATAGCGTCTTGCATGTTTCTGGGCTACGAGCTGTTTTGTTTAACCGCGTTAGAAAATCCATCAACAACTCCTGTGTCTGGGAGAAGAAGAGAGAAAAAAACAAACTTTTGCATCGTTCTCGCCCCCTTTGATTCCTTCGACGAAAACTGTTTTCGAAATTCCGGATGTCGTTACCACTTTTGTTTGTGCTACACCTGGGCGCAACTGACCACAAGATACAGGACATGAACGACTATTCTCCCATACTTTCGAGAAGCTGCTGCATTATCAACAGCTTGCTAAACCAGCGGATGGCAGATTGAGTGACCCAGACGTCAATATGAGTGGCCCGGATCCTTAAGCCCCGGCCTATGACTCTAGGGTAAAAACTCCTCCCCAACTGCCTCTGACTTTTTAAAACAGTGGAGGCGTCGTTCACCCAACTTCAACACGCAAGGTACCATGTGGCAAGATATAATCAGAACAGTACGGGCTTCGACATTGTTATCGAAGACAACGGCGCTGCTCACTGACCGTATCACCTAGGTCACCCAAGTGAGTCTCCAGGAGTGTCTGCTTTGGTTCGCAAATGGGGCTTGCAGATTCTGGACGCAGCTGGCTTCATTACACACGAACACGATGCTGGAGATAGCTATGCCGATCCAATCGGTCGTATGGCTTCGAACAAGAAACCCGTTTGATTTGCCGGAGGAACAGATTCATCCAGTTCTGTGGCAAGACATGTTTGTCTCTATGACAGACGATGATTACGAGCTTTTGCAACCTGCCTTGATTCTTGCGAGCGCCATCCCGGACGACCGTACCACTCTGCATTTCTTCCATGCTTTGTCGGATCCTCATCACCATTCGTGGATCAATGATCAGAATCTGGGTATGTGCAGGATTGTAACGATCTCGGCGACCCTGTCACAGGCTGAGCAGACTTCAGCCAACAAGAATATTGTGGACATGCGCTTATGAGCTCACTATGCTGTAGATGATCACGACGATCTTGATGGAAATTCTGGAGTTGGCCTCACGGAGATGTATCGATGACTCTCAGCGAATACCACGCCCAGGTAGTAGCTTCTCCGTTCGGGTCTCACTTCCTAGATCCATGGGATGCTTCTCGTGTGGATGCTATGCACGGAGAACGTGTGCTTTCGCAGCCGACAATGGCGGCGCCTGGTTATCATGTTCCGCAACGATATGTTTATAAGATGCACACGACTGAAATGTGGGTGCAGCAGGTGCCTCGATATGGGTTAGATGCACTCAAACTGCCCAAGTTGCCCTTGTGGTCAACACTGTAGTGCCGAGACTGAATCTTTCGAGGAATGGCAGCGGCACTGTTGGAGGAAAGGCAATGGCGATATGTGCAATTGAATGCATTCGTATACAGACAGCTCATGCAAACACTATGTGGAAAGATAAGGCATGAGCAACGTCCCTCGAGCACCGTGATCTTGATGCTTCTCTGTAAACGAATTTCCGCCCTGGAAAGAATCAAGACCCTATCCCCCCGTGTGCTAAACTTTGTAACTCCAGTCCCTTACGCTCCTCTCTTATATGAAGGTGTGGAACCTATTGCTCGCTACAACAAGGCACAGTGATTCTCTGAATCGAAAGATGGATCTAGAGAGAGCATCAAAGAACACTGTATCTCGATGGATTCGATACAGTCCTCAAGAACATTGTGCATTTTGATAGGTAGCCGCGTTACTGACCTTTGCACGACGGGGAGGTACCACATGATAGCTCTGCTATCGCATTACGCTGGGTCAATAGCGGAGTGAATAGGGCGGCCCCAGCACAGAGACAAGGGGGTCCACCACGAGATCTTGTTTCTATCGATCTTTGCAAGCATCGGTAATGGAATGTTGTGGAGAAAAAGAGGACCCATTTTGTAGCATTGGTTGAATGATTCTCCACAATACGTCCCTGATTTCGTTCACCATGGTGCATCTCGATAAGATCGGACGTGTTGAGCGATTGACTCAAGGTGACCCCGCGTGAGTCGTCAATGCTGCTTGCCTGCAACAGAGTCATGTAAGCCTCGCTCAGGAAACAAATGCTTCGCCCTAGCGTCTTAACGGTCACGAGATGGATGGACGTTTTCGACTATACTTGCGGTATGTGCTGTGGTGCTCCCCTATCTCGTTGGACTGGAGTCGTAGTGTCTCCACCGGAGCCCCGTCTCCGCTCGTTCTGCGATCTTGATGCCGGGTCAACATCGACGGGGCTCTGCGTTAGTACGGGTATACAGATCGCGTTGCATCGATGTTGCAGACATGTATCGCTTCGCATTCTGGGCTGGTGGAGTCCCGAGTGGCTTCAACTAATTCGTCAGTTGCAGCGGTGATCCTTCTCACAGATAATTCAGGGCTTGGTGATCGGTGGTTGTTGTTCTCTTCGGACTTCGGTCCGGGAGACCGCGGCCGCAAAGAAGCAAAGCCGGGGGCCCTGTGGACTCTCATCGCATTAGCGTTCGCGCATTGGATCAGAAATAACCGCGGTGTCCTCAGCAATTGTACCATATAGGCAGGTGCACGTATAGGTCGTATACCGCCTGTGATAATCCGTCTATCGGTCCGGTGGAACTTTAAAGAGAACACGTTATGTTGAAGGACAGGGCTTGCTGACAACCTAGCCTCATAGCAGAGTTGACTCAGGAGAATCATCGTCTGATCAGAATGCTCCAGAGCGTCCACATGCAAAAGTATGCCCTGATTCGGTCCTGGGCTGGGGGCGCTGACGACCGACTCTTGTTTGTGGAGCGCCATGGGCTTGATGACAGACTTCGGATACCGGTTGAGTATTACGCGATCACTGCGATCTGTGTTTCGACCAGCCGATTGTGTTTACGCTACATCAGGTGACTGTTTGTTGTGAGGATGGTATCTCCACAAGTATATGCCTAGTGGGCTCGAGTCAGTAAGCCATCCTTGAGGCAGCAGACCGAGACTTGACCCGACCTTCCGACGGTGACCAACTGCCAACAGATCCACACTGTCTCTTAGACGTACTGTGAAGAGTAAGCCGTAGGTTCCCAATAGCCATGCCAGCCAAAAGCGAAGTGCAGGACCTTGGCTGTCGGACACGGCCGCATGGCCTCGATTCTCGATCGCACGGGAAGAAGATGCAAAGAGCAGACAACCACCTCGGACACTTACAGTATCTTACTCTCATGCTCGGAACCATCGATTTTATGATCTTGATGCCCGACAGTCCAAAAGATATGTGTTTCACGGGTTCCTGCGCAAGAGAGATGATGCGACGACCCAAACGACACCCGGGTCCAGCTCCTGTCCGAACATGTTCGAAGATCAAACAAGACAAGTCGGAGTGCACGACAGCGCGGCTCACGGGAGCATGCATGGCATCTGAAGTAAGGGGCCGTATGCTACCACTCTCCAGCGGGTTTCGAGACGGGCGTTGTCGCAGCCACGCCATTGCACCCCGAAGTCGCGGATTCGACATGAATTGAATGTCGCTGGACAATTGCCGGTTTGCATGCAACAGAGCTTCCCGTCCTTCAGACAGGAACGTGTCATTTGCTCGACAAGATGCTTCATGGTGGCTAAGGTAACATGCCAAGCTTGACACTCCGTAGGGGCATGGAGATTCAGAAGGAGCCCACCGCGAAAGGAAACAAAGTTTCGACTTCCACCTTCCGCGGAATCCTTGTCAACCAAAATCTGGAGAAGCGAGTACGATCCCAAGCGGTCTCGAAAGTGTTTTGTGGGCTGACGAGATGCTCCGACGACACTCCCACGGAATATGCTGCTTCGAGCGAGGCGCTCATGGAACAGTCATAAGATGATTCAACCAACCATACTTGATGCACAGATAAACTGACGGGACAGATTTTGAGTACTAGCAGAACAATGCGACATCCAAACCACGCCGTCACTGTACTACACACTTGTCCTGCAACAGCCTACAATGAACTCGGTCATTGACGGTAGTTTGTCCACCTCAACTGCCGGACTTGCGTGCGATGCTGGATCCACCAGAGTGATGCGCCGGCGATTGCTTGCAGCTTGCCTACCTGCTGCACTGCTAAGACTGCTGATTGGCAACAGCGTTGTGGTGAGAACCCAAGTGTCAGAAGGTGTGGGGCACACCCTAACCTCCCGCGCTCACTTTCATGCTTGTCTTCTCTTTTGCCTCAGCACTTCTCCGTCTTCACCGCTGCTCCCATGAGTCCTATCTGGTGCGCAATCTTGAAGCGGCGCCCATAGTACTTGAAGTGCCACCCGGAGACTTACAATCATAGCAAAGACGTTTGCACCGCGCCTATGTGGAGACACGTGTTACCAAGCTGGGATCTGGTTATATAAACTGTCATGTTGGCCACTTTGGACTTCCATATCCTCAACCCGATTCGATACTCGACCAGCACACCCGCCTATCTAGTGCAGTTCTTATACCTCTCACCAGCATCAATCCTACAAGATCGACCATGCTCGGCAAACTCATACGAGCAGCCACATCCATCACTTGTGCTGCCGTAGGCATCGCACTCTCCCAGAAGTTTCTAGGTCCTACTGCCGAAGCTGCTCCACCTCCTCCACCTCCTACTTCTTCGGAGTAAAGACCGCTCAGAGCTTTAGGTACTTCTTTGTACTTGCTTCTCTTTTGTATCACCTACTGCATCCTTCGCCCATTGCGGAGCCCAAAAGGGCTTGGGCTGCTCCGTTTACTTGACCTGTGCTATGCACTGTCACCGGGTGACGTGTCGACTCATCGTTGTTCGTTTCACTATTCTGGAAAGACAGTGCAGATGAGCGGACATCAGAATCTACACCTCTCTACCAGAGTAGTAATTTCGTAGTCGCAGAATACCACATTTGTCCAGAGCGTGGCCTTCAATCAGTTTGTGTATTGTAAGCGCTGTGTTAAAAGTTCGAGACGGGCAACGAAAAGTGATTGCATGGTGTGATTGATGGTCCCACATCTGAAAGAAGACCATCTCGATTTTTCCATTCGATCGCCATCAACTTGCGTCCAGACGATTGTCGCCGTTTCGAAGCTGCATTGACGGACCATACCAAAACTGATTGGAGCCTTCGACAGGTTGCTACAGTAGCACCGTCGCACGCTGGAATATATCAGTCGCTAGGATGCTTGCGAGACCCAGCTCTTTGCGCCTTGCCGGGCTCCCGATTTCGGACGCAGATGCTCCGCCATCCGATACTCTGCATAATGCGTGGTTGCAAGGTCCATTCCCGCACCGAAAATATGTCATGATGCCAAGGTCAAGACTCACTCGGCCTTTCTGTGACTGCGAGGTCTCGAACGTGTACGTGGACTTACAGTCTCGACTTTGTCCCGACATTCGCGCGTATGTATTATGCGCCTGTCCAGAATCCTGTGCTTCTGAGATGCGATCCCGCGAACTATCAGGAGATCAGACGATGGTGTCGGAAGCACCGAGCGTTGATTGCGGGACACAACTGCCGATGCGGGACAGCAACCCTCCCCAGCCACATGGCAACCCCGAGATCGCCTCATGGGAAAAGACAAGGATGTTAATTGCGTTTTGAAAATAGGTCGACGAACATATGTAAGGTGACAACGTCTCAGAACTCCGTACTCAGCACTCGGAGAGAGACACCAGACTCCAGCACAGCAACTTCATGGCCAGTCGGCGAATGTGTCCGTGACTGTCCCGTCGCAGTTCCGCTGCTTCATGCGCGAGCTGCCTCATGCGCAAGTGGAATGACAAGAAATTAATCTGTCAAATGGATCTCCGGTTGTCGGTGGGTCGGAAGTTTGTCACGCTCATCGCGAATCAACCTCATCATCGTGGCTCTTTGGTCTTGGTGATTCTGCCACGATTTCTCCGACTCGGCAGCTTCTCTCTTGACGGTCTCTCGTGGTCGAATCGCAGCTGGATTATTATGCTCGAAGCTAAGTTTTCCTAGTATCAGGCAACTGTGAGCAATCTAATCGTGACTGGTGGAAGTAATATCATGTTGACTCGCCTTAACGTTACGAGGCTGACTCGAGCTAGTTGACTGAACCGCGAGCCGTGAGCCGATGGCGCTGGGAACTTTAACCGAAAGAACGCCCAAGTCAGCCACCCCATATCATGACCAAAGCTGAACATGCGTCACTTGATAACAAAGTACCTCTACGAACAGAAACTATGCGAATGGTTGAAGCTCTATATAAACAAGACTGGATGTTTCATGTTGACAGGTGTGGTGCTAAGGTTCAAGACCAGTTCGCTGGGAGGATCAAGGTAAGCATCGTAGATATTCCGCGATCCGATTCCTCAAGCCAGGCAATGAAAGATGTAAGCGGACACGAATGTCTGTTTGCTCCTTCAAACCTGGACAACGGAAGTTGGAAACAAGTGGGCAGTTTAGTAACGGCCGAGCATTGCCTCATTTTGTGTTCACGCAGTGCTGAGCTGCACACAGCTGATATGCGATTTACCTGATACACGCACTGGTTGTGCGGTTTTCGTCTTCGAGCAACAGACCAGAAAGTTACATGCTAATCGTCACATAACCCGATCGATTTGATCCGACAAAATTCGATCTCATCGCGTTGGACTGGACATATGTCAATCGCGAGGCCCCCAGAAAGGCAGATGTCAGCTGGAGACTTGGCAACCGCTAATGTACTGGCTCGAGAGCCTAGTGTTGGCGTGCTTTCCCAAGAGCCGGGAGAGGTCGACAAAGAGGCTGACCGACAGGAAGAAACCGGTGCAGAACTCCGCTCCGGACAGAGCGCTCGAGCCAGAAACAGATCAATAAGCGAGAACGAATAACAGTGCCGCGACGTCTTTATCTCGGTAGTACGTTGCACAAGTGCCGACTATCAGGTTCGCAGTTGGTCTCGAAATCGATGAGCTGGAGAGATTTGGGGAGGAGGCACTACTTCAACTCGTTCCTTCTCGATCGACCGTGGTGGTACCAATCAAAGTGCAATCCGTCCGCAGCCAAAGAACACTTGCCCTGTCACATTTCGTTCGCGGCTTGATCAGCTTCCGTAAGAAAATGGATTGAGGTCCGAACTCGTGGGAGCCGGACGTTGGACGCCAGGACCAAGGCCGTTAGCCAGTCATGGTGAAACGTTGAGACTAGCACATAGTTTGGAAAAAAAAAGAAGGTTGGCGGTTGACGCGCTCCGCTGGCGCAATTGGCAGGCGTTTGGTGAGAGGGATTGAACGACAGCCTCTAGGAGAAACCCGGACACGCGTCCACTGATCCCTTGAGGAAACCAAGCGCGAAGAGACACAAAGATCAGTCGTGCAACAGCGCTTTTCTGCAAGAGGAAAGGCCACCCTATCTCTGGCCGATGCGGTCCCCGTCCCTCCGTTCACTCTGGGGCCAGAAATAATGACGAGCTGTCGGCTGGAGATCGAGTCAGAGACGTTGTCTGGCTGCAAAGGAGGTCAACCTTAACCAAGCCCTCGATCAAGTCGGAGCAAGAGCCGCTTACTAGGCCACCAGAGTTGAATGGTCTTGACGCTGATGATAACGCCAGAAATCAGAGGGTCATTGCGGCTGTTCATCGAGCTTGCAATATCGCTTGCGTCCAGTGGCGCGTTTCATCCTCGTGTGTGCCTTGCCATGCCTTGCCTTAGCCAGTCTACACGTGGGGTTGCCGAAGAAAAAGCTTCCACTCTTTTTCTCACAGACGACCTCGTCCGTTGATTCGTCGACTCGTCGTCTCTTGGACCCACCTGTTTCTGGCAGACAGCATCGCATCATTATATCAGAACGCGACTTGGTTCGGGTATCCCACTCTGCATTGATTACAACGTGCATTGCATTCCGCACGGACTTTTCCATGTCTCTTCCTTATGATGCTTTCTCATATGTACAATTCTGGTTCTCGGCGGGGAGGCGTATAAGGTCGAGCCGGCTCCTGTCGTGGCGGACGATCTCGTAAGTAGTGCCCGTTTCATTCTTCTCTTGCTGTTACTGGTTTCCAACCCTCGTCAGTTCAATAACCCCTTCGCTCGCTCCAAGCCCGTCTGCACCTCTTCACTGTTGCTGTCAAAGTCGTCCTTACAGCGCCCATATCAGCCGCGCGCCGTCTTTTTGTATCTCTTGCTGCACGCCCGTTGAGGTCCGGATCTCCTGCAGGTGTCAGGTCAGGATCGAACAAGCTGTCCGTCCCCAGCAAACCCAAGCACTTTCACACGCTACATGGTGAGGCCCCAGCCTTTTGTTACCCCTCAACATCATAGTCATATCACTCCATCCTTGTACCTATCCTTGTCACTATGGTCATCCAAAGGTCTCGGCTATACTTCCATTCACGCCCTCTGCACTTCTCTCCTTTTGTCGGCCAGAAGCTCTTCCGCGTGGCTTGGCCGATCGCTCCCCGCCCTCTTAGCTCTGACCGGAACCTGTGTCTGCTTGAGAGCATGCCTTCTCAACATAATCTCGTACTTGTACTCCATCTCAACATCAACCCACATCCCATTGTCACCCGAAGCTCAGATACCGTTGACGGCTCTTTTAATACGGAGCTTTTGATATTTCTTTGTCTCGTCGATCGGCCTCCGATACCTTTTTCCTTCCATACATCTTCTGAGCCTCTTTGTTCAATCGTGTTCTAACAATATCGACAACAGCCTTATACACAACAGTCTCCGTCAGGCATACTGCACACAGCAGCGTCGTACAATATCAGAGTGACCCCTCAACACAACAACCGCATAGACTCTCCAAGACAGCTTGCATCGTCACTTCCTCCACCACTATACCTTCCACTATCATCAGGGACTTCGAATCAGCCTGGCCAATCGATTGGGCCTGTTAATCCAAACCAACCGCCGTCTGTCCCCCAAGCCTACGCGAATCACCAGTCCTTCTATCCTCTTCCTTACAATTCCAGGAACCAAAGTTTCAACAGTGAGTCGCAGCATCGCATGCCTCTAGAGCGTATGATATTGATTTGTACAAAAGATACAGAAACAATGGCTGTTCACCCAGCCGTGAATCGACAGATGTACGCCGCCAACGCAGCCTATCAAACATCCCCAACAACCATGCATGCATCGCACCAAGATTTACATGCTCGTGGTATGTATGGCCATGGATTCGGATACCCTCAGCAGATGTTCGCCTACCCTCAATATGCTCTACCCACACACCCAGCATATGCCACTCACCCTCAACCGCAATCCTACTCGCCTGTATCACCGCCAGGCTCTGCAATCTTGATGTCTCAACCAACAACTTCAGCTGTTCATTCGTCGCCCGTGCAGGTCCTCAACACAAGTCCCCGCCTGAAGACCGAACCATCACATCTCAAAGTCGAACACCCGCTCATGAAGTCTGAACACAACTACATGCAAAGGCCTATGTCAAGCATTGGAATAGTTTCCTCTGGAGCAGCAGCTGCAACTCCATCACCTCCCTCCGGAAATGGGTCAAACGCAGCAGCACCAGGCCCGATCCCTGCCACAACTCCTCTGGTCGTCCGCCAAGATCAAAATGGTGTCCAGTGGATCGCTTTCGAGTACTCGCGCGATAGGGTCAAGATGGAATATCAGATCCGTTGCGATGTCGAGTCTGTGGCGATCGAGGAGTTGACATCTGAGTTCAAAACAGCAAACTGTGTGTATCCAGGTGCATACAGCGGCAAGGAAGGTTACAAGGGCAACAGACTGCACTACGAGAGTGAATGTAATGCCGTTGGCTGGGCATTGGCACATCTCAACCCAGCACTAAGAGAGAAGCGAGGCCTAATTCAACGCGCCGTGGATAGTTGGCGTAACAGCAATCAGGATCCTCGCTTGCGGAGTCGGCGAGTAAGAAGACAGGCCAAGATCAGCACTCGGAAGGCACAGCTACGCCAACCAGATGGATCAGTATCGCTTTCTCCCGCCGATGTCCTTGCATCTCGAGTACCACCCAACATGTCTTTGGACTCAGCAAGACCGTCTACATCACTTGGCCTGAATTCTGGTCAGCTACATCATCATCACTCGACATCAGATGGCAGTGGAGGCGAGAGCGGTATGTTCCACATGTGATTGATCGCGCACTGTTATGTTTTTACTTTCTATGATGGTCGGCTTGGATACGGTTTCAGGTTTACATGTATTGTTGTAGGATCTCTAGGCGTTGGACTTCTTGCTGTTGTTTTTTTTTTCACCTACCAATACCCACCACTGTCACGATTGTCTCTAGGCTAATTTCTTTCCTTCTCCAATATAGTTAGCAATGAAGTGCATTCGTTCCTGAATCATCACAGCCCGCCGAGTAGCCTAGCTCTTGGTTCTCCTTTTGAGTCTAGCCGTAGAGACAGCCACTGTCCCACACTATCGACGTCTTGTTCCACAGAGTCTGATTCATCCACCAACAATAGCCAGAGCTTCATCAAAGCCGAGGAAGAAGACAAGAAAACGTCCCTTCCCCTACACGTACCTGAAGGCAAGAGACGCAAATTCATTCTTGTCGACGATCTAGCACGCGGAACTCGGGTGCGTGTTCATGTGGAGCTTGACAACATCAAGATGGAGGAAATGCCCGACTTCCATCTTCAGAAAAATAGTGTGTTCCCGCGTCAGTTTTACCCTCGTCAAATGCATTCGCCCGTATCCCCTTGTAAGGAACAAGGAGGCTGGAACTCATCAGGCGGCATGGAAGGAACAGGAGACCATGGTAACTTCGCGTATGTGCCTCTACTAGATGGTTCAGAGACACAGCTACCTGTCCCTGAAACGTCGAGGGATCTTGAGGGCAAGGAATGTGCGCTGAACGAGTTGGGGTATCGGATGAGTTGGAGGCAAGCGAAAACGTTCAATGAGAGAACAGTCTTCATGCAGAAATCGCGTAAGTCGAGAGTGAATGCCCCCTACACTGCCGGATATTGATCAGAGCACAGTTGACGCCTACCGCGACAAGACTTGGAATGGGATAGTGGCCTCTGGTCAGAATGACCCGTGTGTTGCATCACACTTTGAAGTCAGAACAGGTAAACGCAGATGGTCTGAGCGAAGTGGATCTGGCAGCCTCTCACCCTGAGATTCTAGATTTAGTCTTTTCTCTCATCTCACGGCTGTTCACGGGGTTGTTAACGACGGGTGTTGGACTAAAGTGATGGAAAATATCTGTGTATAGCATTCCAATCTCAGTTCGCATATGGAGGCCTGTCCCGAAATTCAACAGTTGAGATCATGGTCAATCTGCATATCAAGGCTGTATGTTCGGCATTCGGGTGGTAGAGCCGCTAGAAGGAGCGATGTGCCAAGATGGCTTGTCGTGTTGCGAACGTCACCTTCCCTTTCGCATCGTCTCCAGAACCGTCGATAGCCGACGACCCCACCCTTTCCACAAGGTCGGCGTTTGCCTCTCGCTCAAAGGTCCTTGATTTATCGTCTTCTTGAAATCTTGCGAACCACTGTTACGATTATATCATGTCAGACTTGAACGCAGACACACAGTCACAGGGATCGCCGGAGCCGGGCAAGACACCGAAACGCACAAGTAAAGCCTGTATGTAAGAGCGAATTATGAGAAATTTGATCCGGCTCCAGAACAGAGGATGATCTTGAATTGCCGACGCGCGGCGCGCCAGCGGAACTCGAACTCCATGGCTTCATGGAGCTGCCTTCAGAGGACTCATCAAGCACGGTCATAATCATAGAGTATCTGACTGACCATCTCCAGGCTTGGTCTGTCGTGCAAGAAAGAGCAAATGTACACTGTTAGTCATCCATCCCACCTCCATCATCGCCTTTCTCCGACACTACTATCGGGATTCAGAGACAAGGGCTATGGTCAATATATCTGACCGCCTTTTGTAGGGACACAGCAGATGGAGAACCTCAACCACCGTGTCTGCGATGCCGTAAAGAGAACAAGCAGTGTGTCATCGGCAGCAGTAATCGCGGTGGCAGGAGGGTCCGAAGGTCTACGATAGCTTCACAACAGCTACAGGGCCAAAATCAGGGCCCGGCCCGGGCTAGTACTCAATCTCAGCCTCAGTCTCAGTCTGGTCTGCAGACCCAGAAAACGCCTAACAATGACGAAAGTACACAAGAAATCTCCTGGTCCGTACCATAGCTCTTTGTAGAGTCCCATACAACTTTACAATGGACCAGGCTAACCGTGGTCATCGTATAGGGAATCAGACGCAATGCCCAACAACCCATACTCTAACCCTTCACAGCAAGCCATCACCGGCTCAACGCCCCTGTCAACTAATACTGGTGTCAGCAACCTGGACTTTGCAACTCAGCGTCAACTGTTTGACCCGCAAAGTCTCTCGATGGATCTGGATCCTCCTATCGGATCAGCGACCACAAACAATCTGAGGCCACAGAATCAAAACAATGAAGAGTCTGGACGATCATCGAGCTCTGATAACATACCCTTTAACGAGTTGCAGAATCCTTCGGATGCTCTCGACATACTGGCTCAGATCGCAAGTAATGACAACAATAACTCAACGCGGCAGCCTACATGGCAAGAAAGACAACGAAACCACAGTCTCCGTGCAAACTCTCTGTTTCCGAACGCCTGGAATAACGATAGTCTAGATTATCATCTAGTGCGGTCAGGCGCTCTATCGTCAGCCAAGATCTCTCAGTTGATTGAACGTTATCGTCAACACTACCACCCTTATTTCTCGATTGCCCCTCCCAGTACCCTGGACACCACGAATCTAGCGAATACAGCCAAAGATGAGCCTCACCTGTTGACAGCAATGCTAGTGATTGCTTCGAAGGATCTTATGGAGGAGCCACATGTTTTCAAGGCGTGCTCAGAATACATGCAGTCATTGGTGTCTGCGTTGGTCGCTGGTGGTCCGGGAGGAGTGGAAGCAGTCGAAAGTCTGCTTGTGCTTGCCGAATGGACGCCTTATACATCAAGAAGCCGTGCAGGAAATGTTGGACGCGGAGAAGAAGACCGCGAAGCTTGGATGCATGTTGGTACTGCTCTGCGTATCGGTTACTACCTGGGTCTCGACAAGTATTCGTTCCCTGTGGCGGAAGACAGTAAAGACCCTCATTGGAAGCGAAAACGCCTAGTCTGGACTTGTTGCTACATATCGGACAGACAGATCTCGATTCGCATAGGCCGCGCCTTCTGGAGTCGAGGACCAGGACCGGGTCTAGCAATTCGAAAAGAGGACTTCCCTTATCAGCCTCAGAACCCTGGAGACGAAGACTTTCCAAATCTGTTCCAGGCTACGTTGGAGTTGACATTACTTTTCAGTAATGTGCACGACGTTCTATACAGTAGCCCTGGAAATAGTCTGCGGAACCATCTCACCGGAGGTTACTACATCAAGATGGTTGATGCAAGTCACTCTCCGATTCTACTTGCATGGCTTACGCTGACTCGATACAGGATTTCCGCAGTGCATATTATGGCTGGAACGCTGTGTACGGCACCATGACATGTAAGTCGAGACCACCACCTAGCCACATTGACATTATATGCTGACATAGCAACAGGTTCACCAAACCTCAAGGCTATGTTGCTGATGTCATACGACTACTTACGGCTCTATACCAACGCGTTTGCATTTCATGCCACGATCCGCCGTGCATTGCCCGAGGGAGAAAACGGGAAACCATCCTTCAGTCGAGTCTTCTACAATAATGTTGGTGCTGTAGGAGATGCGCGGTTCATATATGAGGGACTCGATGCCGCGAAGAGTCTTCTTACCACGATGAACAACTTTGTGGATGCTGAAAGGTAACTGAGCACTGCCCTGGTACTAGGTCCGTTGTACTGACTGACTCGTACAGGATGTTGCGATATATGCCATTGAGGTTCTATCTTTTCACCGTCTATGCAGGTGTATTTTTGTACCATGCACGCTGTGTTGGTGTCATGGCACCGGAAGAAGAGTCATCGGTGAGAAGAATGATTCAGCAGACAGTGACCGTTCTTCAAAGATCGGGGGTAGGCGACAGCCATCCGGGAAGCCGGTACTCGAAACTGCTGAAACTGCTATGGGATAAGGTCGATCGAAAGTCTCACAAAGACTCGCGAGCTGCGCGTTCGCTTGCCACGCTCGAGAACCCGTATCGACCTGTCAGCGCAAGTGCAGCGACGCCTGCATCAAATTCTGTCGCATCTGCTTCAGTAGAGTCGCCGGCGATCGTAGATCAGATGGGTGACTTTAGCTGGACCGATCTAGAAGGCATATCGAACTTTGCAGTCAACGGAAACGAGGGTATATCAACAGATGCCGAGTGGTGGACTGGATTCCTTCCAACAGACAGCGGTCCTCTCGGACCACTGAGTGGGTTGGGTTCGATGGACAATTGGAGTTTCAGCATGTAATCTTAGATAGATGGGAATAGGATAGAGCTATGAAGACGTTTGAAATTTCTCTACTACCCACCAATCTCGGTGCAAAAGATTGTGACTATAAAACGAACGCGGCCGGCAAATCATCAACATTCAGCGAGAGCTGGAGTTTGTTTGGTCCTCTTCCGATGCAGATTCCATTCGCGCACAAGCGTGCGTTGTGACGGACAAATGTTGGCAACATGGCCACAAAGTCGGCGACTGCAATGAGGGGTGCGTCGGCTAATGACATGTGCCGTACTTTCTCTCCATCCGTCATTTACCTTCCTTCTTTATTTACCATCTCCCAATTCCCTGACTGTCCGATTCTCCACCATTCACACAGTCAAGATGGCACGCTCCGCTCTCTTAATCGGAAACATCACACATGCTCGCAACGAGTGGGACGAGCTCAGCTCTCTGCTTGAGTTGAAGGTCGGTAAACATTGCGTCACCGGCTGCCAACGACCAAAGCGCTGACTAGTAGATACAGGAGTACAAGACTGGCTCAAGAGATGAATTCCTCTCCAAGCTAAAGTCTGGCGACTTCAACGACACCTTCGTTGTGTACCGCAGCAACGAATCGACGGGCGTGACAGGTCCCTTTGACAAAGAGTTGGTTGATCTGCTCCCCTCGAGCGTCAAATACATCACACACAACGGCGCTGGATATGACAATATCGACGTCAAGGCCTGCACTGCACGCGGCATCCAGATCTCGAGCACTCCCATCGCTGTCAACGATGCCACGGCTGACATTGCCATCTTCCTCATGTTGGGAGCCTTGAGACGCATCACTGTGCCTTTCAATGCTGTTCGCAAAGGCGAATGGCGTGGCAAGGCATTTGGCCTCGGTCATGACCCCAAGAACAAGGTCTTGGGTATTCTCGGTATGGGAGGCATTGGAAAGGCTGTAGCCGAGAGAGCTGCTGCCTTTGGCATGAAGATCCAATACCACAACCGCAACCCACTTCCCGCCGACAAGGCCGGAAACGCCAAATACGTCTCGTTTGACGATTTGATCAAGACATCAGATGTTTTGAGTCTCAACCTCGCTCTCAACCCTTCCACGAAACACATCATATCTACTGCACAATTCGACATGATGAAGGACGGCGTTGTCATTGTCAACACAGCCAGAGGACCCATCATCGACGAAGCCGCACTCGTCAAGGCCATCCAGAGCGAAAAGGTCTTCTCGGCAGGTCTCGACGTCTTTGAGGAGGAACCCAAAATCCACCCCGAGCTCATCAGCGACGATCGCGTCGTCCTGTTGCCTCACATCGGTACTGCAACATGGGAGACGCAAAAGGATATGGAGTTGTTGGTGCTGGAGAACTTGAGATCGGCCGTTGAGAAGGGAGAGCTGGTGACTTTGATACCCGAGCAGTCCAAGTGAGTGCTCACCCCAGAGAGTTTACTCCTACTACAATGCAACAAGGCCCGATGAATAGAATGATCATCTCATGACTTTCCAACCCTTTCGCTGTATACAACTGTGCGACCACCGAAGTTCACTGTTAACACGCTTGATAAAGTAAACACACGCCAAGGACAGTTCGTTTGTAGTTCGTTCCTCCCCAAGAGCTGATATCGAATGATGCCCCGAAATTCTTCAAGACCACACTTGGCAATCCAGGGTACCTCTTGGAAGGATGGCAGTTGCAGGGCGGGAGGCTCCTTGCTCGTACATGGACTTAGACTTGACCATCTATTCATCAAAGTTTCCTCGAAGCCTTCTCGACTTCATCTGCATCGTCTCTCCATACCACGTTTATTCGAGTAGTTCCCAGCCGAATGAAATCGTCATGTCATCCGATACCAAATCACTAGGCGTTTTGGGCCGACATAGTACAACACCGAAGAGCATATACCCTCACCCGTTGCCAGTTTCGGCGGTATGCTCTTTGGATGGGACACAGTGGGTGCTAAGATTCATGAGCTCGTTAGAGCCAGACGGGAAAGCTGACATTTTCTCAAGGGCCTGATCGGCGGTCATCTGACAATGGACTCGTTCAAAAACTCGTTTGCCCTCGATTGGGATCGTCTGCTGATCTCTTCGCCACAGGAATCTACGGTGTGGTCAAAGTCGTAGTGACCGGGTTAGCTTTGGCATTCATGACTGGGCAGTAAGTCAGTTCGTCCCCATATCTCGACTCTGCTAACAAAGTCGACTGCAGACTCGGCAGGAAATGGAGCTTGATCATCGGTGCTCTCGGACAAGCCTTTGCCATGATCTACATTGGGATCAACCGAGCCGTCAACCCAGTGGTCAAAGGTGCCCCTCTGAACGGCAACAGCATCTTTGCCATCATCTCTGTCTATCTGTTCGTTGTATTCTTACAGCATAGGATGGGAGACCTATCCCCTTCATCCTAGCTTCCGAGACAAGTGTAAGCCGTACGCATATGCGAAAGCCCATTGCTGAGTGCAAAAACCACAGCCCAACCATGTCCGTTCCCTGACTGTTCGACGGCAACATCATCAAGGGAGCGACTTGTGGTACAACACCAGCGTACTCGCGAGCCAAAGGACTTTCACACGTGACAAATCTGTCAGAGATTGAAAACGAAGAAGAGGGTGATAAAACAGAACTTCCTGCTATACACGTCGAAACGGCCAAAGTGCTGGACTGAATTGAATTGGACTGTTGACTGGCTTGCTTGCCTTTTCCTTTGGGAATACAGAACATGAGCCTTTGCTGCGTTAGATGGTTGGACATGGACTTTGAGAAGGAACGTGAAGACGGAGTAATGCACATTTGCAATCTTTGAAGAAAGAGCAGTATCTCGAATAAACAAAAACGTGTAACAAAATCAAACACAAGAAGTCCGCATGCAGCACAACAGAAAGAAAGCCTTCCCTAATTCTTTCTGTGCTTATGCTCTTCCTCTCTCTCTCTCTCTACCGTAAACCTTTGTTAACAAGAACCACTGATACCTGTCCTCTGCATGATGAAATAAATAGAAATCCTCTTTCGACAATGAGACACTTTGCCTTGTCTCGCTCGTGTCCGTCTATCCTCTTACTCCTGTCCAAATCCAACGGTCTCCTCGACAGCCCATAGAAGCTTGGCGTTGAGTGCTTCGTAGGTCTTGTACGGCGGCAGATCGAGACGGTTGAAACAAGTGTGCGACTTGGGCAATTGACCCTCCTCGCCTGACTTTTCGATCGTGAAGCGACGGGGACCATCACTTCCTTGCAAATCCTTGAAGCCGTTGACGGGGATACGAGAGGTACCGGTTGCGAATTGCAATAGACGAGATTTTTGCTCAGAGTCCCAGGTACGGATACACTGTAATGAGGGAATCAGCATGTGTAAAAAGGCCGGAGATGATGATGGCGGTATGTCTTACCTTCCAGAAGTTCTGGATGACAGGGTCCTTCTCGTCGTAGCCACGGTAATCGGTGTTCTTTGCCCAGTCGTCGACATCAATCTCTGAGATACCACCAATGAGCAGCTCGAGCTCACGCTCATCGAAGACGTTGACAAGGTCTGATGGGATGAGCTCGTGGAAGCCCTGGATGAAGGCGTTGAATTGCTCCTCGACACGCTTCTGAATTCTCCATTCTGTGACGAGCCTAGAATGGGAGGTCAGTAAAATTGGCTATGTGTGCTGCGATCGAAGATGACTTACTCAACGTATTCTCTCTTGTTGTCATCAGTCACTTCGATATCTCTGCCGCCTGGCTTCAGGTCGATAGTGACCTTCTCGCCAAAGACTTCATCCTCAACACAGAAGTGCTCGAAAATAACGTTCTCAACTGAGTTGTCAAGGGTCCAGCTCAAAGTGCGGTAGAAATCGGCGTCGACACCCTCCATATCGGCAAGACTGACCTTCTTGCGAAGAATCATCTTGTAGAAGGCACCGATGAAGAAGGCATCCAGGAAGCGTCTGTGGAAAATGGCGAGACCTACGACACGGCCGATGAATTTGAAGTAGCCAAGATGCTCCGGGTTAATGCCGGAGTGAGGGTTGATCTGTAGCGTGTAGTTGTCAATGGCCGAGTACTCGAACAAACAGTAGAAGGGGTTGAACATCTCGTGAGACAGGAGGAAGAAGAACTCTCTGGAGAGACCACCGTAGTCGAGACCGTCTTCGCCGTCGAACTTGATCATTAGTCGTTTCTTCAGATCACTAGGACTTTGGCGCATGATCTCGGCATACGAGTCTTCGAAAATATGAGAACGTCTGATCTTGACGTGGCACTGTCCAGACAGGATACGGAGCGCGGGCTGAGAACGGAAGTAGATAAGCTTCCTTCTGAAATCACGCTTGTACTGCGGTACGTTCTGGTCAAGCGACGAAGGCAAACGGGGATCGTCCCAGGTGGTGGTTTTGGTGTTGTGATCGACGAAATAGACACGGGCAGTGTTGGTGAGACGCATTTCCCATCCACTGGGCAGAGGACCAAGCTGAGATACAGGCTGCTGCTGGATGGTACCTGCTGCGGCATTTTGACCGTACATACGGATGTATTGCTGCCTCCTGGGGTCGACCCATGTAGTGGTGCGTGTGTTGTGGTCGACAAAGTAGGCACGACCTTCCGGAGTATGGCGTTGTTCCCAGCCGGCAGGCAGTTCACCTGTACCTGCAGTAGTAGTGCCAGTAGCCATCATTGACATTGCCTGAGGGTTGGAAGTTGCGGCTGGACCATTGGGAGGCGAGCTTTGATCACCAGACAGGGTTGGTGAGCTGGCGCCTGTTCGATCATCAGGCAGCATGCGGTTCTGGTGTCGTGTACGCTGAGCTTGAGTCTCTGCTTCGTTGGCCTGGCGCTGTTCGCCAGCATTGAAGTTGGCCGTCGGGCGAACCCATGTGGTTTGCCTGGAGTTGTGGTCGACGTAGTATGTGCGTCCGAGGTTGTCTTCTCTTCGTTCCCATCCTCCAGGCAGACGGCCTTGAGAGTCCTCGAAAGCACTGAAGCCGGCGGTGCGGGGAGCTGATGTATCGCCTGACGTGCTGGGCTGGCGTGAGGCGCTGTGCGGAGGGGGATCCACCGTGGTTGATGAAGAAGCGGCACCGTTGGGTCGGGCGGGAGCTGCGGCGGCGGCGGGGGTTGCGGCGGGACGTAGATTGGTCGACAGGTTGAGGATCAGCTTGCCGTTGACGACCAGGTTGTCGTTGCTCTTGCGAAGGTCGCGGGTGAGCATTTCTACAACGACAGCTTGTCAGCACGAGGATAGAGTGGACTAGAAGGACGTGGTTCGCGCACCATCACCACCAGCATCAAGGTCGATGACGCTGCCAACACGAACATTGACGACACCGAGGAAACCCTGGTCCTTCTTCTTGAACTTCTTCTGGTCAAAGATTTGAACGGCGAGAATGCTTTCTTCGTTGGCTCTCCTGCAGGCATCCGTCAGTTCCGGAATCACGTAGATGGGGAGTAGTCGTACATGTCAAAGCTCTCGTTCCAGTAGGGGTTGAGGGTCTTCTTGATGACGCCGGTCGTCTTTGTTTGTTCGCCATTGATGGTGGCTACGGCGAAGGGGTCGGGAAAACCTGCGGGGTGGTTAGTCGAGGGCTCTCGGCGGCACGGGCGGGTCGCGGCGAGGGACTCACGGAAGACATCTCTCTTGTAGAGGCCGTCGGCGGCGATGACTGCAGAGGGTCAGGATGCGAAACAGCAGGCTGTGGCAGGGACAGCAGGCAGGGACTCACTCGTCACGCGCAGGTTGGGCTGGGCGGGGAGGTCGGCCATGGTTGTCTCGGGCGCTCTAGACGGATGGAACCAGGTCGTGGGGTCGTCTTGTCGTCAAGACGTCAAAGCACAGGCACCAACAGAGGTGGGAAACAGTGCAGAGTGTGTGCGCCTCTGAAGAATGAGGTGGATGTGCCTGTACGGCTGTCTGCTGCGGCGACAGCTGCCTGGGCCGGGGGCACTGGCTATGGGCGACGATGGATGATGCAGATGGAGGCTTCGACCAAGTGGCTGTGCTCCACTTCGAGTACTCTCGTGCGAAGCTGCCAGCAAGTCACGACCTGCAGGAATCCTCGAGGGCTCGTCGAGGGAGATGGTGTGGTAAAAGATATGCAATGCGCGCGTTCAAAGAAAGACGGCGCGCCGTATTGCTCCGGGTATTCGTCGTGACGCTCGTTGGTTGGGAAGTGCTGACCGAGACCGACTGTCCAAACTTCGTCTTCGTCATGGCAGTCGCTCCCGTCCACGCCAATTTTCCCTTTCTTTTCGCTCCTATTTTTTCTTCGCTCGAGCCACACATCTGCCCGCCTTTCGAGGCTATGTCTTTGTCACCCTCGCAGTAATTATAGGTACACAAATTGATTGCAAATCACCGCTACCTATGTCGAATTCCTCTTCATCTGTCATCTATATCCGTGATTCTCACCCACCGGCCTCAGCCCCGGTCTCTCTCCATTCTGTCCATCTCGATAGTACCTTGCTGTTCTCGGTCAATTGCTTCCTCATCTCCTTCGTCTACCCCTCTCATCAATCCTTCCTCCTCATCTCTATTCTGTCCTGCTCCTGTTCCCGCTCTAGTCTCGTCCGTGCGAGCGCTTCCTTTATCCTTCTGCATCGCCATGTAGATTGCCGACCCAAGAATCAGCGTTGACCCAATTATCGACCAAACTCCTGGTGTCTGGCCAAAGATGAATCTATCAAACCCTAGTGCAAAGAGCATCGATGTGTATGCCATGTTGGTCGCTCGTGATGATTTTTCATAACTCAGTCCTGCTGCTAGAAGAAATTGCTATCCTCACATTAGTCTTTGCGAATGCGTCGCTTGATTGGTTTTCTTACCATTATGAATCCACACGTTCTGTCCGTCGTTAGTTGTATGTCTGTATGTGCAACTCGCGCTCCACTCACCCAAGAAACAACAGATAGCCCCATTCCTTTGCATCAGCAGGGAGGAGGAAGCCGATACCGGGAAGCGTCAATTGAGCAACGATGCTGACGATGGTACACCATGTAGCGAAGTAGTTGACACTGATCAGTGGATGCGCTCTCTTTCCAATCCAACGAATCGTCGTGTAGGCTATCACCGAACCGCCAACCCCTACCAGCGCGATGCCAACAGCTGCCAGTCGCTCCGCCGGTGTGACACTGTCGTAGTTCGATGCGTCCGGAATGACTACTGTGCTGTTAGATCCAACCACCTCGGTGTTTCCGCTGGCAGGTGGCGCTTCCGTAGAAGAGAAGAATAGCGACGTTGGCCTGGCGATGAAAACGACACCCACCAAGGACACAAGACTACCTATCTTGTCGATCTTGGTGAATTTCTCTTTGAGCAAGATGGAACAGACCCAACATGTAAGACTAGGTGCAAGAAAAGTGATGACTGTTGCATCTGCAAGAGGCAGGTATATGAGCGAGTAGTACATTCCAAACACTCCCCAAAACCCGCCCAGTCCTCTTGCTACGAGAAGCCATCTGACTTCTCGATGGCCTAGAGGAAAGTGTGGTGTCTTTGTATACCACATGTACAGAGAAGACAGTACTACGGTGATAGACATGCGGGCGAATAGGATCTTGTTGGTCAGAACATTGTGTGTTGCTCGCATTGATCACTGAGGATACGCACTTGGAATGGGTGAAGTCCTTTGCCCTTGTTGCCTTCGATTTCCAGTAGTCGGGTCGTGACATTCATCATGACTCCAAACACTTGTGCCAGCAACATGTAGAAGAGACCGGCATTTCGTAGCCAACTAGCATGGAGTCTAGCTTGCCATTTGGCCGTCCAGGACGACTTCAGTGCTTGGTGACCTCCATCTAACCAGACAGACGGTTCATCATTTCGTGGACCGAGTTGGTCAAACTCTTCAACGGAAAGATTCGACAGTGTGTCTGGTGACAACGGTCTATGAGGTGCTCGGTACTGTGGAGGTTCAAGAAAATTGGATTCAGTCTGCTTGAGAACATCAAAGGCTTGATCCGGAAATGCCTTGTCGACAACGACTTGAACGCCTTCGTCGGTCTTTGCTGCTTTTGCTAATGATCCGGGGATCGGTGTGACAGGCCTACTCATGCTGTGTGGAAGAAAGAATGCCTTGGAGCAGGGACCTGAACAATGCTGGTTGACGAATGTGTCTAGCAGATAGGTGGACGAGCTCGAGTCAATGGACTAGAAACGGAAGATAACAGAGGATCGCTCAATGGATGGATGACAGTCAACGGAGTCAGAGAGTCTGCCCAGCAACCTCTTACCATGGTGCATATCGCTGGACCGGCTAAGGTAGGCAGGCACACGACCGCGGGACGAACTCTGGCCAATCGTTCAATTTTGCTTTTCTCATCTTTCGTCATTGTCATCGAAACGGCCCTGCTTAGCTTGATACTTCTGTTCCGCCTATCTCGCTCGGCTCAGTTGATTCTTTAAAAGTATGAAGCAATTGTTGCGCAAAGATGCACATGGAGACATCTCGAGATTTCGAGAGTACGAGGCGCAATACCCTTCGTAAGACAACACGCTCAATAGACGTGTTGTTCTGCATCCCCAACATTGTGAGAGGTTGGAGAGAAGGTTCAGCGTTCCTGCTTCCCCCTCAATCCCTAGCCGAGCCGGACCGATCGTGCAAGCTCGTGGCACTTCACATGCATGCAGCAACTCTGATGTGTTTGTTCGTCTATATCTGCTTCCGATACCGGCAGATTTCTTTGATGATTAGTAGGCAGTAGACACGCCGATGAGGCTATAGATAGACACGAGTCTCGATTGAAGAGTTGTACGACAGCAACGCTATGCTCATATTACCACCTGTGATGAAATAATGTACAAACAGATCTAACCATGCTTCGACTCGATTACTCGATAGCCGATGTTTTCTCGCCGTACATGTGGAACTGCATGAAGATGACGGCATCTTCGAAGATGGTTCCAAGTGACCCAATAAGCCAGGGCAGATTCTTGAGGAAGTATTGCTTCTCAACGGAATGGAGTAAAATCTAAGAGCGTCAGTACCAGCAAAGCAGCAGATGTCTGTCAGCGGACATACCCCTGCACCGTAAGTAAGGTTTCCCATAAGTGAGAGCAAGAAGAACAACAACGATAGGCCTTCGCAGGATCGTTCACGATGATTCTTGATGATCTGAGGAATGCGAGCACTTGTACCATGTTAGCACAAATGCGCGACGTGTGTCGAGAAGATGAGGCATACCCCAAGTAGCAGACGGCACTGGCGTAACCAAGCACCTCGGCACCAACAGGCATGTGTCTACCGCCATCAGATACATCGACAGGAGTCGGCTTCCAGGCACCAGCTCTCCAAGCAATGGCCCATCCTGCGGCTCCAGCAATGAGGATAATTGCGACACTAAGAGTGTTCTTCAACCAGGCAGTAGAGCCTTGTCCCTCCTCAAGGATGTTGCCAAGGCTGTTGCTACGCTCAGCACTGCTTCTGGTACGTCTGCGACTGGCAGCACTACTGCGTCTTCTGCTACCAGGCAGACCAAGGTTTTCCTGCGGATCGGCGATCAGAGGAGCGCTCTCGTCGATGACAGCGTTCTCGGCAGCAGCGATAGAGCGCTTACGTTCGCGACGGGCATTCAGGGTGTTGTAGTAGAAGCATTGCGACAGAAGGACAGCGTCGGCGAAGCAGAAGTAAATGGCGAGAGCGATGACGGTGGGCACAAGATCAGCCCAAAGAGCACCGGCGAGGTTGGTGATGTCTCCGGCCATCCATACCAGCAGGAAGGTGATGGAAATGCCGTCCGCAGACGATTGACGGTAATTCTCGATCAATTGAGGCACCTGGAGAAATTGAGTCAGGCACAGGTACGGGCATATGGTATGCAACAAGGGCAGCGAAGGGATTTTTTACCAGCAGGAAGATCCAGCAAGCCAGGGAGATGCTCCCGGCGATGCCAGAGAAGGCCTCATGCACCGTCAGAGTCACATGTTCCAGCATGGTTGCCCGCGGTGGATCAGACGAGCAAAGGTGGTGCTCGTCGGTGTCGCAGTCGAGTTATGTTATCGAAGGCATTGGGTCTTGCGGGATGCTGACCTTTGCGTCGTTGGCCCGTGTGAAGCCGCCGCTCTTATCTTTCTTATCGCCCATCTCAACATCCTCTGCGACTCTGCCATTTAGCACACTCGCTGTCAACCAACTGACAGCTAGAGCTTGCTGGAGCCATGGCACCGTCCCGACTTCTGGTATTGTTTTCGTGTGCTGTTGCACGCGTTGAGATCCTTTTGTTTCTATGAAAGGCCCATTCACGACCCACCTGCCTTAGACCTACGCGCGTAGTTTTGATTCACAACCGTCAGCATCGAATTCCCATCCCATTTCCTGAACCATACGCTGTGCCACACGCTGTGCCATACGAGTCAAACAAATGCGCTAGCTTGTCAAATCTCTCTGCTCTTTCTGGATGTCTGAAGCTGTTCCTTTCGGCCTTCGTGCAATCTGATTGTTCTCATAGAATCCATTCCACTCCGGATCCCTGTTTATACCGCTGTGTACATTGGATCGTCGCTGAAGTTTGCAAGGGCATCCGCCCTAGAGCGTCATTCGCGGTCCTTGCAGACTTCTCGCACGCACAAGTGACTGGTTGTCATGTCGGCAGTTCATATTGGGCGGCGATAGACTCCCTTTCTGTCGATCCCAATAGGCATTACTGTCAACCAAGCACTGCCGTGCGGCGAGGCCACTGGTGATGGTGTGCTCTTTTCTACCTCTAAACAATGATCGCGAAACAAGGAACCTGCTCGTGTCATGGATATGGAAATGTCGGCCACGAACAAGATCACTCCCTGGTCCTGTCATCGATCCCAAGCCCGTGGAAGTGGGTGGGCCCAGGGTCCGTTAAGTACGTTAGTGTCGACCGGGTGCTCGTCTGTCAAGCTTCACCTCCTGAATGTTAGGCCGAGATAGTCTCATTGGTGAGTTGTATGCTCTGTGTACAGTAGTGTGAGGCGGTTTCGGGTCGTCGCAGACCGAGTACATTCTTGTCGAGCTTCCTAGGACTGCTCAGTTTTTAAGTTGCTAGCGTCGCGGGCCACCGTTGGACTAAGATTTTAGGTTACCATAGAGAATGGACTAGTCGTGCATGATCGACTATTTGTGTTGCATACGCAATGGAGTGTAGATGCCGAACGCTTCACACCTCTTTGTTTTCACAGGCAACTCCATCTCGAGTTCTTGTAGCAAAGACGAGTTTCTCGTTGTCGAATATCAGCGGCCCCACGAGTTGCGGGGATATTGCTGTCTCCTTGCGTCTCGCATTGCCCCTCGGCTTCCTCGCAGGCAATCAATCGTCATTCGTTGCGCTTTGGCAGCGACCAACATCTCGACAAAGTCCAACGCCATTTCCTTGATTCGCATTCCACAAAGTCGGCGCACAAACACCTTCGACTCTTACTCTCTCTCTTTGATTGCAACATCATCAATCACAGCGAATCGCCATGTATCGATGTCAGACGTAGCATCTCTTGATACCTCGGATATCTGCATGACGGGGCAATCCTAGACTTAATCATGGCCGGCCTCGATGATATAACCTACTCAGCCGACGTGACAGACGTCGGGCTGGAGCCGCACACTGAGGCATCTCCTCTCGACCACAAATACCTTCGTGCTAGTCACGATTATCAACCCCAACAAACCACCATCTCAGGCTCGTCGGGTGGCATCTCCATTACCGCACCTCTGCGAGAGGGCGATATCCTTCTCATACACCTCGCGCATCCGAATGGCTGGGCAGATGCTACCATACTCTCGACCGGTACCCGAGGCTGGATACCTACCAACTATTGTCAGATTTACGATCCTCGACCAATGCGTTTGCTCCTCCATGCATTGATCCGAATGTGGGATTGTTTGAGTCTGGGCACAAACGACGATGCTTTGTTCGAGGATAGGCAAGACTACGTTCAGGGTCTCGTCGCTGGTGTTCGACGCTTGCTGGAACACTGCGACTGTCTGCACAGAGATGACGCCCCAATCAAGAGACATGTTGCCTTGAGACGAACGCGAAAGAGTCTTCTGACAGACCTCTCCAGCCTCCTGAAGAACCGCGAGGACATACACAACACCTTTTCCGACTCTTCGGATGCCGTTGTGTGGTCCGCCGTCGACGAGTGCTTGTCCAATGCTTTCAAAATTGTATACAGAGGTGCTCGTTTCCTCGATATCTGGACCCAAAGCACTTCTCCGAAGCCAAGACGATCAAGTGCTCGTTACAGTGACGCCTTTCAGAGCCCCCGGACAGCAAGAGCATCATATCATGCAGGCCTCTCGTCTTCTCCGTTGCCCGATGTCGATGAGCACTCGATCCAATCATCTCACCCTGATTCCTTGAAGAAGGCTCCAAGGTTCCAGCTCAGAGTCTTAGAGTACGACGAGACTTCACGAGATGCGAAGGTTGTCGACGAGCAATTTGGCCCGGAGATGACCTCAAATCCGCTACAAGAGATGATGTCGTTTGACACTCCGTCGTCTATCGCTTACAACACGAAGCCCACAGTCATGAGCACATTCGCTCTGACCGAAGGAAATGCATCTGATTTGGCATCCGAACGCCTCACAGCCGCACATGAACAGTTTCTAGGCGATATCGGTGCCTTCATTGGCCTCCACCTACAGTCTGGGACTTCTCTGGATCTGTCCACGACAACAAGACTTTCCATAAGAGCTGCTGAAGATCTACTAGAGGTTGTAAATGAGATATCGAAGCGCAATGTCAGTCGATCTCAAGGCACCGCGTCGGCCGCCGAGAATATGCGTGCGAAATTGGAGACACTCGCAGACACTGCGAGCCGCTTGTGCAGGATGTCACCGGACCTGGATGAGCCGGAAACTGTAGGCGTTGTGGGCCCTGAAGATGGTCGAGGACTTGTGGCTGCAGCGACCGCTTGCGTCAGGGCGGCAGGTGACTGCACCGCAAAAACACGAAAGTTTCTTGATCATGTAACCGGTGACTTCTTCCTCTCCTCTAACACCACACAAAGACAACATGAAAAATCGGCCACTTATCGCTTGATCGCACCACCTGGGGAGATTGTCTCTGGTGATTGTTCGGAAGCCGCTGCCGGTGCCGCTAACCCGCAAGATCGCAATTTGGCCGAGGCCAGCCTTTCAATCTCAATACGAGACCTACCACAGAGACCTGCCTGTCTCTTACGCTCAACCACCGATGATAGCAACAATTTCACCCTCTCTACGGTCTTTCCGGATGGAAATATGAGAAGACCTGATACTTCTCCACCACTGATAATATGTGAATCTCCCACCTCGCCGACTTCACCAACAGCATCAGAACCGCCATTGCAACCACCACCACCTGCAAATGAGGCCGAGCAACACTCACAGGACCACAAGGAGAACTGGACTCCGCCTGACCGAAAGGGAAGTCTCGGAATGTCTACAACCGAAAGCTCGAGCGCGTACCAAGATAGCTTGAGGAATTCACTTGGCAGTGTAACTTCACCAACATCAACCAGAGCCACAACCCCTGATCGGTGTCAGCGACACGTCCGAGCCAATCCGAGTCTTTGCACTCATGGCAGTGTGTTGAGTGTCGCGACAACCGCCGACGGCAGTGATCACGATGCCGAAGTTCTGATGAGGTCGTACGCTCACGAGTTGCTGTACAACAAGGATGGACAGATCGTGGGTGGGACCCTGGCAGCTCTCGTTGAGAAGCTCACGAGCCAGCATGCTCCGCCAGAACCTGAATACAACACAGCTTTCTTACTCACGTTTCGTCTTTTCACGAACGCCGTGGAGCTGACGGAGGCGCTGATCACCCGCTTTGAGTACGCCGGGGATTGCAACACAGACAGTTCTCCTGCACGTCTTAGGGTGTATAATTTCTTCAAGACGTGGCTCGAGTCGCACTATCTTCCTGAAAGCGACGCGTCTGCTCTCAAAATTATCCATAAGTTTGCGATCGAACAACTGAGCGTCCAATTCTCGGGACCAGGCCAACGCCTGGCTGAGTTGATCAAGAAAGCATCTCAGGTTGAAGTAAACAGTACGACAAATCAGCTGGTCTCTGCTGTCGGCAAGACCTGTGTTTCTTTGAGCACCGACTACGAGAAAACCATTATACCTCATGCCAACGTCAACAGAGAACAGTTGTACCTTCTGACAGGCGGTGCTTCTACCAAGAAACTCAGTCTCTTGGATCTGGACTCTGTTGAGATTGCCAGACAGCTCACTATCGTAGAGTCAAAGAGATTTTGTGCTATACGACCTCATGAGTTACTTGGTCTTGAGTGGACGAAGAAAAATGGACGCGCTGAGAATGTTTTGGCGATGTCAAGATTTTCGACAAATCTCACAAACCTGGTTGTGGATACTATACTCGCTGCTGATCAAACCAAGAAACGCGTCGCTGTTCTGAAGCATTGGATCAAGATCGCGAAGGTATGCCTCGATATCGATAATTACTCGGCGCTCATGGCGATCGCGTGCTCTCTTACTGCTTCGGCAATCTCTAGACTCCGCCAGACATGGGACCAACTGTCACCCAAGACAAATGCCATCTTCGAGGAGATCAAAGAAGTGGTCGATGTGTCACGCAACTACGCTGCGCTCAGACAACGTCTCCAAACACCGAAGGCTCCGTGCCTACCATTTGTAGGCATGTATCTTACCGATCTCACCTTTGTGGATGTTGGCAACTCAAACACCCGGCCTCTGCCCTTTGAGGATGAGGACGGTACCGAATCGCGGACGGTAATCAATTTCGACAAACACATGCGTTCCGCACGGATTGTGAGCCACCTGCAACGTTATCAGGTGCCTTATCGCCTTCAGCACGTACGAGAGATCCAGGATTGGTTGGAGATGCAGCTCGAACGGGTTAACACGAGCGATCAATGCACTGTGATGAGCTTCTGGCGGCGCAGCCAGGCATTAGAGGCACGCAGCAAGGGAGAAGAACGCCCCGAGTCAACCGAGGAGAAGGAGAAGACGTTCAGCAGTGGCTTTGTGAGCAACATGCTTCGACCCAAGAATAAAGCCAGTTCATCTGGACTCAATGCCTTCCTTCACCGAGTCAAGACAGGAGGATCGAACAACGAATGAGACCACTGTTACCTAAAGGAAGCATCATCATATATCTACATTACTGGCGTTATAGCAAGAGATGGAAAGCTGGAAAATGGCAGCTGGGCATGGGCTTATAAAGGATACCACTTTGTTTTGGATTGGCTGGATGGCAGGCAAAATGGGGAGAAGTGATATGATCTTATCTTCTTTGCTTGGAGTATCGGTTCACTGACAAGAGAAAGCAGAGTTATGCGGAAACATGTTGTACATAGTTAAGTTAAAGCTAGCATCTCGTTAGTATGCTGAAATGACCTGCGTATGTTTCTCAAGCATGCTTGTCTTTGGTCAAGCTCGTCGGACACATTTGGTACGGTTGTGGAAGTGATGTCAGCACAACAAAGCATAGATACCAAGTCGCAGCTACGGTGCACCCGCTGAATAGTAATGATGGAAGGATTGAATTATAATGGACGTCGACTCAGTATAGGATATTCAGTCAGGGTGCTCCCAGCTACAAAGATGACGTCGACACCATCATCAAGGTCAATGATGACCACATAGACAGCCTAGCAATCAATCCAATCACACCACTTGTCTCCCTCTCTTTACTATCCACCTCCTCCTCCTCTCTCCTTCCCACACACCAAATGTTCTCTACCCGCCTCACACCACGCCTCTTTACCACAACACCACGAACCATCATCCTTCCCACTCTTGCCAGACGCAGCTTCCTCACCACAACTCCCCTCCACGCCAAAGACTCGAAAATGTCCACTCAACCCCCAAAGCACGAAATGGTCTACTTTGACGGCCTGACCTCCAAAGTACGCAGTTTTGGCCAATTCAGAAAGGTCATCCACACGGGACTTTACTCGCAGCTCGTCACCATGGAGATCCCCGTCGGAGGAGACATCGGCAACGAAGTGCATTTGGTGGATCAAGTGTTGATTTTCACTTCGGGAGAGGGTAAAGCTGTTGTGGCTGGCAAGGAGCAGGTAAAAACGAACTTCCTCAAACACTTTTGCATCACTTGATTATGGACTATTGAGGGAAACAACAAGTGGACTGACAAAAGATTTGCGAAAACCAGAACGTCAAAGCCAGCGACGTCGTTGTCGTTCCGGCAGGCACCGAACACCAATTCTACAACACGAGCAAGGACCAACCGTTGGAGCTGGTCACCGTGTACAGTCCCGCCGAGCACGACCCCAGAACAGTGCACAAGACAAAGGAAGAGGGCGATGAAGAGGAGGATGCAGGCAAAGATGAGGCACCCGAGTGGAGCCAGCAGAGCAAGGATACCAACGAGAAGAAGGGTCTTGCCAAGGAGGAGGGTGGCCCCTATGAGAACGGTGATGATGGAAGACATGGCCGCAAGGTCGAGTAAGGAGTTGCTCGTCGTTCATCTATCATGTTAGTAACGTTGCTACGATCCACCACAATGAAGACTTCATCGTCAATTAACACATTATACAATGCATGTCCCTGACTTGACTTGCTCAAGGTAACCTGCGATCTTCACAATCGTTTGGACTCCGTATTCAAGACATTAACCAAAAGTGTCATTACAGAATGTATCGGAATACAAAGATATCAAAAAGTGAAACGACGAGCCCCTCAAAACCTCGATTCCAACTAACAGCTCTGTTGGTCATAGATGGCCTTGCCGTTGCGATCAATGACACCAAAGCTAGGCGAAGCTTGGTAATCCTGGTGAACATACCAGAAAATGTGGATTTGCTTAAAGGCGGCACAAGCGATTTGCTTCCAGAAAGTTTGAGCATTCTTGATGCTGGCGACTCCATTTCCATAGTTGGGTCCACTGACTGGCCAGCCGGTCTCAGTGACCCAAACCCATTTGCCGGGAGAGACCTTGTCGACGACTCCACGGACTTTGTTGATGGCGCTCCAGAATGCGTTGCTAGCGTTTTCGATGCTGCTGCCTTCAAAGTATGGGTATGCATCTGCAAGCAATTAGTGATACGACCGCCAGAAGTATTCGTTCGAAAATCAACTTACCAAGGCCGATGAAGTCGGACGCCTTGATAACTTCAGTGTTGGCACTGTCAACCCAAGCGGTCCAAGTATCAACATGTCCAACATCTTTCTTTACACCCATTGCGCGAACCATTCCGCGGACATCGTAGATCTTTGTTGCGAGCGTCCCGGCACTGACTTCTTTGCGGTACAGATCCTCGCTTCCAACACTAATGGCAATTATCCAATCTTGACCGTATCTCTTGATAGCACTCTCAAGGGCATCCTTTTCTCGCTTGAAATGTGCATCGTCCTGAGTCCAGACACCGACGAGCAGCTGCGTTCCCGTTGAGATGGCGGCAGGCACGGCAAGTGCCAATGTGTTGCAATCGCTGGAGGCGTATAGGCGGACAGAGGTGAAGTGACCAGGAAGCGAGGCTAGCTTTTGGAAAGCAGAGACCCACTGGGCTTGTGTTTTGCAGGAGCCGTCCGGGTTCTCGGCAGCGACGTTGAACCCCTTCCAGTATGCTTGGGTAAAAGGTACTGCGGCAAGCAATGCAGCGGCTGCACTGAACAGCTTCATCGTGTATATGAAGTTTCGGGATGTTTGAGGGCGATTATATGCTATGCAGAGCAATGGGCGCGTATAGGTGAAGAAAATGCGGTATTCGATGCAGACGAGTAAGTGTAGTCGAAGGAAGAAGACACAATGTCTGAATAGTCTGATCGAACGAGCAAGAAAGACGAAACAGAAGAGAAACAGAAGGAACGACTACTAATAAGACCTGCCTTGTGTTATGAATTTGGTGGATCCAAGGAAAGTAGGGGGGAAGCGCGACTATGGCTGTAACGGCGAGAAAACTTCTTGTACACACGATCGCGCAAGAAGTGTGCCATTGGCTCTTTCTCATGGCAAGCAATGAAGACACTATCGCCTGTCTCTGTGAGGATCCGTACCATGCTGGGTGGAGACTCAGTCCGTTAATATCAAGATGAAACTTGTCGGACACATCTTGTCGTCCTCCGCACTGGCACAAGCCCAGGCCGTTGAAGTTGTGGTCAGTGGAGGCGCCTGCGTGATCTTGTACATGAGACGTGAACTCGCTGTGAATCGAACAAATACATCCTCTGACTTATAAGTGGTATGTTCTCCAGTCGATGCATTCCTCAGGGTGCGTTGGGAGTGTGTATGAGAGCAAGAGAGTTGAGATGAAAGGATCCATGACGATGGATGGATGAAACGTCACTGCACACGCTACTATTCCTGTCATCTCACATGTTCAATCATGCATTACCACCTTCACCATGAGCAGCTACACTCCAGCTCAAATCAATCAATACTACGATCGCATCAACCTCCCTCAGGCATACCGCCATGAACCCGGCAATGTCAGCACAAAGATCGCTTCCAATACGTCGACCGGCCTCGACTTCCTGAGCGCTCTCCAACGCTACAACCTCGCCCACATTCCATTCGAGAATCTGGACCTGCACTACAGCTCCCACCACAGCATCAGTATCGATGCTCAGGGCATATTCAACAAGATTGTAGTCAATGCAAAAGGAGGACGTGGTGGATACTGCATGGTCAACAATGCCCTCTTCGCCAACGTCCTGCGTGGGCTCGGTTTCCGCGTCACCAGCCACGGTGCTAGGATCAGTAGCTCTGTGAGCGCGGCAAAGGATATCCCTCTCGACCAAGTCACTTTCTCAGGCTTCAGCCACATGGTCAATCTCGTCTCTTTCCCAGACGACCCGGACCTGAAGTACCACGTCGATGTCGGATTCGGAGGCGGTGGTCCTACCTTTCCTGTCCCTCTCAAACACGATGAGCATGGCAGATTGAATGTAGAGCCGAACCAGTGGGCCAGAGTCATCCACTCGCCCATTCCAGGCACTGCCTCGGACCAAAAGTTCTGGGTCTATGAGAAGCGCAATACCGATCAGAATTGGTCTCCTTGCTACTGCTTCTCAGAAACCGAGTTTCTTGAAGCTGACTTCAAAGTCATGAATTACTGGACTAGCACTTGCAAGGACTCTTGGTTTACGCATATACCTGTTTGTCTCAAGATGCTCTTGAACGAAAGCGGTGACAAGATTGTGGGGCAGATGCATGTTCTCAAGACTGACTTCAAAAGACGAGTTGGTGAAGATGCGTTAATCAACAGAGACCTGAAATCGGAAAATGAGAGGATCAAGGTCCTCGAAGAAGAGTTTGGCATCCCACTTAGTGAAGAAGAAAGAAGTGGCATCCACGGCAGGGACTCCGAAATAGTATAGAAGTGATGCACACAAGCTGTCGCTGTAGATATAAACGAACGAAAGGAGAGCAATGATTATGATATCGACGAAACCTTATCAACCCTCTTTACTTCCTCTTCGCACTCAACGACTTTAGCGGATCCGACTTTTTCCTTCCCTTGCCTTTGCCCTTCATTCTGTTCTGCATTCTCGCTTTCCTGATCCTGTTCTCTCCGCTCTTGCCAAAGCCAACGAAACCTCCATCACCAGCACCTTGAGCTACAGCCGAGTTGCCGGGCAAAAGATACTCTGGCACGTGTTTCAAATGCGGCTGCACGCGGACAGCATGACTCTCCTGATCGTGCCTCAAATGCTGCAGATCCGTCGGGTTCTCCTCGAAATGGCGTTTCAGCTTCTCCGACTTGAGTAGCTCGGAGCGAATCTCGCGAATACGGGCTTCACGGATGGCGATGCGGGTGACTGAGCGCAGGGCATCCGTCATACGGTATCTAAAGCCATCCAAGCGCTTCATGTCAAAGTGGTATGGCAGCACTTGCTGGTTCTTCTTTTCCTGCTGGCGGGTGATTTTGGCGATGACTTCTTCGTCGTGTTCGGCTGAGGGGATGGTGGTGGGTTTGTGCTTGCGGTAGAGGGGTTTGGGGACGACAAAGGAGAGGGCCATGCCCGACTTTCCGGCGCGGGCGGTGCGGCCGATGCGGTGGGTGTAGCTTCGGGATGAGGTGGGCAGGTCGAAGTTGAGCACGCAGGCGACGTTCTTGAAGTCGATACCGCGGGAGACACCGAATTCCTTGTCGAGCTTTGAGCGCTTTTGCTTCTTCTTTGGCTTTTCCCCTGTTGCCTTGACTTCCTTCTCTTCGTCGTCGTTCTCGGCAGCCGTCTCTTCGGGAGCGACTGCTTCTCCGTCTACAGCAGTGGTTTCAGCGTCGTCTTCTACAGCTTCGACCTTCCTCCTCTTGTTGCTTGACTTTTCCTCGTTTCCGACAATTTCACTGTCGTCACTAGCAATGATGATGTCGTAAACGCCACGGTTGAACTCGTCTACCACGTGCAGTCTCGAGTTGACGGGCAGCTCCGAGTTCAGGATACAACTCTTTATGCCAAACTGTTCGAGGAACAACTTGAGTCTGTAGCAGCGGTCGATGTCGCTGACAAAGACGATGCACTTGCCCTTGATCAGCTTGAGCATGAAGATGGCGTAGATGAGCAGGAACTTTTCGTCTTCTCCGCACTGAACAACGTATTGTGTGAGAGCCGATGATTCCTTCTCTTCCTGGTCCAGTTCGAGTAGAACAGGATCTTTGCAGAACATGCCCTTGAGTGTGTCGACTTCGGTTCGTAGCGTGGCGCTCATAAGGACGGTCTGAACGGCTTGAGGGATGACTTTGGATAGGTTTTGCAGGTCCTCATCGTGGCCATATGACAGAACAAGGTCGGCTTCGTCGATTACGAGGTGTGTGAGGGTTTGTAGTTGCAGGAGAGAAGCGTTGACCAGTGTAGTCGCCCTCGAGGGTGTAGCGATAACGACATCGGGAGCTTCGATCAGGCGGGCGTGGGCGACCTTGTCATCTTCCTTGCGAGTCAAGTTCTCGATGCGAATTTCTTGGCCGCAGAAGGCAGCGAACGACAGGGCGACCTTTGCGACCTGACCAGCAAGTTCGCGGGTGGGGACCAGAATCAGGGCCGAAGTAGATTTCGTTGACGAAGGCTGTGCGGACTTGCGGTGTAGGATGGACTGGAGGATGGGGAGGAGGTATGCTGCTGTCTTGCCTGAGCCGGTTCGTGCTCGCGCTGTTTGCTGTTAGTCGTACAACTTGGGTGTTTCGAAGCAGAGAAGATTACCAAGGATGTCCTTGCCCGACAGAGCCAGAGGAATGGCGCGGGCCTGCACAGGCGTGGGAGCAGCAAACTTCTCCTTGTTGATGGCCTGCAAAAGGCGGGCATCCAGTCCCAGCTCGGCAAATGTCTTTGCTGTTGGCGTCTTCCTTTCCACCTTCTCCTCGACCTCGGTTTCGACGTCTGTCACGGCCTCTGCCACCTCGGGGACGTCTTGGTCGTTCAACTTGCGCTTCATTGTGATTGTGTTCTGGTTGTGATATGTATATTTGTTGCGCTTGTAAGAAATAAATCGAGAACTTTTGGAAAACCCGCCCGCTCGGACTTTTGCCCCGGACTTTTGCGATGCGCCAAGTCTCTGGCTTCTTCGATCTCCCTCGCTCCAATCCTTCCTGCTCGTACCTTAGCTATATGCTAGATAACTCCTGTCACTACTGCACTCCCAAAACAATACTCAGGCGCATCTGGAACCGTCCAAATACACACTTCTCTCTGTAAACATGCAGCATCCATCGAGAGTCGTGATGCTATCGGCTCTCTATGGACTATGCTAGCGCCTTGAAGGAATTGTGCATTCTCATAGCCGTCAACGAGACGTATCTTTGTACGTGGGAGTAATTCATTGGTGTCTATTAATGCTTTTCTGCTACTTCATGCTAGCTAGTTTGACTTCTTAGAAGTCTTTCCCTTGGCTCCAGCTTGTCCTTTGGCTGCACGAGTTGCCTGGCCGTGCTCGACCTTCTCCAGCTGTCTGTACTCGGCATCCCACATTTGAGCTCTGATCCATGCTTCCAGTTCGTCATCATCCTCAGGAATACCTTCCTGCTGTGTCAGCTTCTCTTCCTTTGCCTTCTTGATCACTGCTGCCGCAATCTTGACACTGATCTCGCGCACGTTTGTCACGTCAGGAAGAAGTCCCGCCTTCTCGTCCTTGAGCGCCGGCGCTTGAGCTGCGAGTGCCTTCGTTGCTGCAACCAACAAGGGCGGTGACATGAGCTTTGTTCGACACAAGACGGCCCCCAGTCCGATGCCGGGGAATGTGGTACTGTTGTTACATTCTGCAACCTCATACTTGGTTCCGTTAAACTCGACAGGATCGAATGGAGATCCCGTTGCCATCAGAGCTTTGCCGTCTGTCCACTTGAATAGGTCACTAGGGTTGGCTTCGTGTAGCTTGGTCGGGTTCGACAAAGGGAAGATGATAGGACGGTCAGTGTGCTTGGCCATCTCCTTGATCACTTCCTCTGTAAAGGCCTTGGGCTTGGTAGATGTGCCAATCAGAATGTGAGGCTTGACTTCGCGGACGATTTCAAGCAAATCATCGTGCTTCTTGCCGTCCCATTCCGAGTCTTTGCGTGCGTACGGGTGTTGAGCTGGCGTGAGATCATCCTTCATCGATTCCAGGAGAAGACCAGGCTTATCGACACACCTACAGTCGTAACGTCAGTCTAGGAATAACATGATTATACTCTGGTTAACTTACCAGATCTGCTTCAAAGCATCCTCCTTGGACTTGTTAGACTCGACCGCGATCGCGTCAGACACCTGATCTGCGATACCAGTACCAGCAGTTCCGGAGCCGTACATCAAGACACGAATGTCCTTCATCTCGAGCTTTGCGACCTTGAGGGCAGCGTAGATTGCAGCCAAGGTGACACATCCAGTACCTTGAACGTCATCATTGAAGCAGGCAATCTCAGGAGTGTATTTGTCCAAGATACGGCGAGCGTTTGGAAGTCCGAAATCTTCAAAATGAACGTAAGCATTGGGGTACTGCTTCCTTGCAGTCTTGACAAAAGTATCAATGAATTTGTCGTACTTCTCTCCTCTGACTCTTTCCTGTCGAAGACCCAGATACAGATCATCGTCGAGCATCTCCTTGTTGTTCGTACCGCAGTCCAAAACCACGGGCAGCGTGCGGTGAGGGTGGATTCCAGCACAAAGTGTGTAGATGGCCAGTTTTGCGGTCGAGATCAGGATACCACCGACGCCTTGGTCACCGATGCCCAAGATCTGCTCACCGTCACTGACAACGATGAGATCAATGTCTTCGGGTCCACCCCACTGGGACATATTGCCCTCAACCTTCTCAGGTTCGTTGACGTTGAGGAAGCAACCTTCAGGACGGCGGAAAAGTCTTGAATAGTTGCTGATGGCCTCACCTTCCGTGGGTGTATAGATGATAGGGAACATTTCCTTCAAGTGATCCTGGATCAGCTTGTAGTATAGCACCTCGTTCTGCTCCTTCAAACTGGTCATGAAGGTGTTCTTTGCAAGATCGTCTGATCTGGACTGGAATTGAGCATATGCCCTCTTGACCTGCTCATCGAGAGTCTGAACATTGGATGGGAGGAGACCAGTAAGATCAAATTCATCACGCTCCTCTTCGGTAAAGGCACTGCCTTTGTTCAGATAGGCGCAAGATAGCAGCTCAGAACCCTATAGCATATGCGGTCAGTATAATTAGAAGCTGTCACAGGATGTTATCATGTACTGACAGACAACGCACACTCCATAGCCTTGTTAGTTGCCAGAGGAAGGTGACTAAACTGGGGTGACTTGTCGCCAGCCATTTTTGTTGTGCTTCTGAATGCTCGATTGAAGCTAAGCTGCTTGGAAACTGTGCGAGCAGCGAGTGTAGATTGACAGGATCTTAGCAGTCTAGACGACATTGACCGCTCTTTATGTCCTCCTGAATCGTCTTCGGGTGGAATCGCTTGGAAGTATTGATGGACAAAAAGTGTAATGCCTTGTCGTTATCCTGATTCTGTGAGCTCTACGTGACGTGGACTTTGGTTAGGGCCGACTCGGAAGTCGTGCAGGCCCGCGGACGAAAACGGCTGGCGTCTGACGTTGTATGTGCTTGCAGCTACTCATGCTACAACTGCAACTAATACGGTCTCTAGCACATTGACAAGACTTAATAAGCGTCAAGAAATGCTTGTTTTATGAAATTGATTCATTGCTGATAGTGTCTACCAAAGTTTGGGGTATCATATAGGTCGTAGCAGTACAGAGAGATGAGTCAGAACAGAAGAGGCCCATCTACAGAGCCTTGTCCATGGTGCCTTTCTTGACAAAGTCGCCAGTCTGGAACTCTTGTTCACCACCACGTGCGACCTGTTCGTTTTTTGCCATAGAAGCACTGTCGCCAGTGAAGCCGTCAATTGCCGAGTTGATGTTGCCGCGGATGGACTCGCCAATGCCCTGGATGTTCTGTCAGATAAGAACTTTGAGATGGAGAATATGCACAAGACTAACGTGGCCTTTTGCGAACACTCCCTTCAGACCTTGTCCAGCTTCAGTGCCCTTGGTGCCGCTGGTGGTAGTTGCTGTGGTGTGTGTACTTGTTGTGGGGTGGTTGACGCCCGAGGGGTTGGTACCGGTGAAGTTGTTTGCAGACATGATGGAGATGTGCGGATATGGATATGCTTGAAGGTATCGAGTGCTGTTATAAGAAGGGGATTTGGTCTACTTTTGCTCTCTTTATATTCATCTTTTGATTGACAATGGATGACCGAAGTTTATCATGACGTAAGGCGTCACATGCGAAATCAAGGTTGACTGTTTCGCAGCGCTGACAACACAATTCATCTCGACAAGTCGATCATCCACAATATGACGGACTACGAGACACGTCGGTTGGAGAACATCAAGCGCAACCAGGCCTTGATCAACGAGCTCGGGATTCAGAAGGTCAAGCAAGAAGCCTCGACCAAACGACCCCCACCCAAGAAGCGTAAGCTCTCACCTTCGGCCTCACGACCCACACGCGTTTCGGCGCGTATAGCTTCGACCGACCGCCCAATCTACAATGACGAGCCTTCAATCACCAGCAGCACATCAAAGTCAGCACGAAGAGGGGGAGTGAAGAAAGTACAGAGCGTCACGGCAGATGCAGTCGAGACCAAAGCCCAATCGCCTCCACCAGACCTTGAAGATATACGAAAAGGATGGACATCTTGGGAGTCAGTCGCGTCCCCACCTACACGAGATGAAGATGGGACCTTCCACTTCGAGGGCCACCCAACTTTCCTACCCAACAAATCACCGGCCGAGATGCTAGCCGAAGGTGCATTTGGAGGCTCCTACTATCGCCCGCTATACTCCAAGAGCCTGCGCACTACGATAGAGGACGACTGGAAGGAGCTGCCCGAAGAATGGCTCAAGGATTTGCATGTTGAGAGATATCTCACTAGCCCAGAGTATGACCCAGAGATCAACAAATTTAGGGTAAAGTGCGGACAATCGATTGAGGAATGGGAGGCAGCTGGATGGATCTTTCACGCCTACGATGTACGAGGCTGGTTTCAGTGGTACACACGGTTCTGGCAGGGACGTCGTTGCGACGATGACGATAGGCAGATTGGTAGATGGGAACGCTGTGTTGGCGAAAGAGGGCGTTGGCGCCGGATGCTCTTGAAGAAGTATCTCCAGGCTGGGGTTAAGACAGTTGCGGACGAAGGGGTTGATGAGGAAGAGGTGTCGCCGGTCATGCATCAAACCTGCCACCAGTGGGCATGGGAGGTTCGTCAACCTTCTTTAGACGAAGCATGGGCTGGTCGCTTGTAGATGGTGTTACTCTCAAGCAAATGGAGCAAGGATGTGCTCTGTACATAATTACCCCGAGAACCCTCGGCCGTGCTCTTGCCCTGCCACAGACATGTTTACCCGTGGAGAAGATTTTTGAGCCTAATGACAGAATCCCCATCAATATACACTCTGCGTCTGTGTTTTCAGATGACCTGATGGAACTGGGTGCTAGGAACAAGGCGAGAGTGGTAGTCTGTCTGCTGTTTGGTGTGTTGGGTCGTCACGTGGAATTGGCGCTCGGTGAAGCGAATCCACTCCGATGCAATTACGTCTGCAAGCCCAAGCAAGCAAGCAAGCAAGCAAGCATACTACATCTCTTTGCACATAACACCAAGTCATCAACGTTCAAGTGCCTCCTTCTTATCGTCTGCCGGTTGGACACAGGTCAGGAATGATCCCGGAAGCAGCGCTGTACTGGTTGAAGCGACCGGTCTAAGCAGCAGAGCGTGTTGCGCGTCCTGTTGTTTGTCCGATCTCCGCCCTCGATTGCCATAACCGTATAGTCCTATTGACAAAGCCTCGAGTGTAAAAAGCTGACAGAGTCGTGTCCGTAACACCGTTGCCGGCAACCGCCCTCTCGCACCTTGAAGCCCTCCCCTGGCGACCATCCCAGCGAAACCAGCGCTCGACGAGGACTGACCAATCTTCTGATACCCGCGACGATGTCTCTGCTGTTGGAATACTAGGCAGCGTGCAACAGCATCCCATGCGACTGCCAGGAATGCAAGACTCCGGAGATAAATCCCGTATCAGAATGCCACCGAGGCTTCGTAGTCTCGATAGCCGACTGCAAGACAAGAGAGTGAGCAAGAACCAAGATCTATACACAGCACTGGATCTATATGTATCTCTATACCGTAGGTGCCCGAACTGGCAAACACCAAGAGTTCGTTCCATCCACGAAAAAGTCATTTCTTCTCTAAACGAGCTATACACTGAGTCGCTTGCAACGAATACTTCTTCATTCCATTTTTGCATAAAAACTTGCGTTTCCATCATTACTACCACACTTCGAAAGAGCACGTACAGATGGGATGCAAAGGCCCGCAAGGCGACTCGTCCTGACTCTACGGTTGATCTGTTCTCAAGGCTACGAGCAGATGCTTCATCAGCCGCTTTCGGCAGGATAGCAATTGGCATTTTGGACATTCTATCATGCGACCGACTGCACTCAATGGGCACAACTAAGTCGAGTCGTAGGTCGTTGACGATCGCGACAAGGCTCGAGAAGACGAAAGTGTCACACGACTCTTGGACTGTTGGCCAAAGTCTCTCGAAGCCTTAACAATTCTTCTTCACAAGCTCGAAACGGGAACAAATCATGATGGGTTTTCGGCGTTGCTTGGCCAGCACTGAGCACGGATCTCTGACGTGTCGCGAGTCGCGGCTTCCCGTTGGCGTCGCAGCGCGCTGATGGAAGAACACACTCCCTGCCACACCATAATCTCTCCACCGAGGCCTCGAATCGCTAAAGGACTTGACGAGGAAGGTAAGAGAACATCCATCATCTTCATCGTAGGTATCCGCAAACCAAAAGTGGTGGTCTCTGGTGAACAAACGATTGTTGCCAGGTCACGTGGAAAGACAGAAGGGCCTTAACGAAGCCGAACTTCTTCTGAAAGCTCGAGCTTCGCGTCCATCTTCTCCTCAACACAACTCTTGCACCACAACTATTCCATCAATCTCCGCGCACTTTATTGACAACCATACAGTCGACACCCTCGCCCGTCCCATAGTCTCTCCCGCACCGTTCAATACTCTCCAGCGCGTCTGTCGCGCCATCAACGCGTCTATCTACTACGTCACCACGCCCTTATCGCACACCCCCTTCACATTACAATGGCCGAGGAAGAGCCCAAGCCTGCACCTGTCGAGTCACAGGAGGCACAGAACGTATGATCACTACATTGGACGCGACAAAGATCGTCAGTCACTGACCGCCTACAGGTCACAATGACCGAAGCCCCAACTGAAGCCCCTCCAGCTGCAACTGAGAGCACTGAAGGTGAGCAGCTTGTCCCCATACGCCGCGTGGCCTTCCACTGACACCATCTCAGCACCTGCCTCAACCGAGGCCATGGACACTTCAGCCGACAAGACCGAAGCCAAGGAAAACGATGTAGCACTCGCTGGACCTCAAGCAACCAACGAGGTCAACGCACCAGACGGCGAAGGGAAGACGGAAGCAGCCATACTTCCCTCTGATGTGGCCGCCGACGCTGCCACGCCTTCGGGGAACAAGAACGGAAAGAGAAAGTCCACATCGGGCGTTCCAGAGCACAAGACCAAGAAGGTGAACAAGAGAAAGTCGGTAGCTCAACTGAACCTCGACATCCAGCCGGGTGACTACTACTGGGCTAGACTCAAGGGATACTCACCATGGCCCTCGATCGTCTGCGATGAGGACATGCTTCCTGAGATTCTTCTTGGAAACAGACCTGTGAGTGCCAAGCGTGCCGACGGTTCTTACCGCGAGGATTACGAGGACGAGGGCAAGAACGCCAAAGACAGAACCTACCCTGTCATGTTCCTGGGAACCAACGAATTGTGAGCACAATATCATTACCAGCCTATGCGCATACATTCTAACCCAAAGTACAGCTCTTGGATGGTCAACACCTCTCTCACCAAGCTGGAGCCTGGCGAATGCACTCCCGACAAGCAAACTGGCAAGATATCCAAGGCCCTGAAGGAGGCCTACGACATTGCCGAGGAACGTCACGACTTGGACTACTTCAAGAACATGCTTGAGGAATTCATGCAAGCACAAAAGCAGGCTCAAGAAGACGAGGCTGCCAAACAAGCCGAGAAGGAGGCTAAGGCTGCCAAGAAGGCCGAGAAGGCCGCTGCAGACAAGACCAAGGAGAAGAAGGACCGTAGAAAGAGCAAGAGCAAGGAGACTGTCTCCGATGCTGATGATATGGATCTTGATGTTCCCGAGGATGCAGAGACTAAGCCTACCAAGAAGAGAAAGAAGGAGGCTGATAGTGAAGGCGAGGGCCCCAAGGTAAGAAGGCATTATCCGGATCGTCCACGCTTGGAGCTAACAGAGAGGCAGCCCAAGAAGACACCCAAGGCACCCAAGGTTGCAGCTGCTAAGACTAATGGCGAGTCGGCCAAGAAGGCAGCCAAACCCAGAAAGGTCGTACAAAAGCCTGCTGATGAGGAACCCGTCACCGAAGCCGAGAAGCTGGAGCGCCGCGAGAAGGCCGTTCTTTATCTACGCCATAGACTGCAGAAGGGCTTCCTTATGCGCGACCAGACACCCAAAGAGGAAGAAATGGCTACCATGGACGAATTCTTCAAACAACTCGAGGCCTACACAAACCTCGAGCCCGCCATCATCCGTGGCACAAAGATCTACAAGGTGCTTCGCGGTGTGGTCAAGCTCTCGTCGATTCCCAAGGAAGAGGAGTTCCAATTCAAGAAGAGATCAAATGATCTTCTCGCCTCTTGGCACGAAGCGCTCGGTTCCAAGGGCGACGACAAGGATGATGAGAAGACAGAGGACAAGGACAACTCTGAGAAGGTAGAGAAGGCCGAAGAGACCGTCGAGAAGACAGAGTCCAAGGAAGCTACCGAGGCTCCCAGCAACACAGAAGCTGCTGAGGACAAGGACGTTGCCATGACCGATGTGAAGGAGGACAAGATTGAGTCAGCACCTGCTGCAGTCAGCGAGACCGCCACCGCAGAGTAGGCGTCGACATTGCATGATGTCAATCAAAAACGCTTGGTACAGAGCAAGCAGCTGTAGTACCAGCGGCCGTAAAAGATCGGCCCGCATTTGCTTGCATTGGTTTTGCTTTTATGGAGGCTTCGTCGTATAAGCGAAAGCGTCTATTGCTATGAAGCACAAATAGCGGATGGAGTTCAATCAAAGAAAGTCTTGAATCAATATCGTGAACCCTACTGTGAGTTCAGCGTAGTTGTTGAATGCCTTGTATCTCATCATCGCCATCATATTTGTGACGCTGCCCACCCCGCGATCCCCGCACCTGTCAACAAAAAATGTTGATGAGCGACATTGTTGACAGCTCCCTCAAGGACACGATACAGGCAGAATGGCCACGACACACGAAGCAGAGGCCTTGATCACCTCTCACGATCCTCACCACCCCGCGAATCTTATCTGCGAGCTTTGCAAGAAGTTCTATACTCTTGGATGGGTACGCCAACCCGACGATCAGCAGTGACTCTTCTGGTCGATCAAACACTTACATCTTGTTCAGGTCACTGGTACGGGTGGTGGCACCTCAATTCGTGATGGCGAACGCATCTATATCGCACCCTCGGGTGTTCAGAAAGAGCTCATGAAGCCGCAAGACTTGTTCGTTATGGACTACGCGACACGAGAGTACTTACGCAGACCACCGGTAGGCAATGACTACACATCCGCGATACACGAACGATGAGAGCTGAGCGAGATGTGTAACACAGGTGCTGAAACCTTCGGCGTGTACACCCCTCTTCATGGCGGCCTTCACATTGCGCGGTGCAGGCTGCTGCATCCACACGCATAGCAAGGACGCCGTACTTGTAACGCTGCTCTGCGAAGCCGCCGGCACCGACGTCTTCGAGATCCAGAAACTCGAGCAGATCAAGGGTATTCCCAAAGGCTATGGCGAGGAAAAGAAGGGAAACCTCGGATACCACGACCGTCTGCGTATTCCCATCATCGACAACACTGCACACGAGGAGGACCTGAAGGATACACTTGAAGGTGCTATCAAGCAATGGCCTGATACCCATGCTGTTCTGGTCAAGAGACATGGAATGTATGTGGTCTTTTTCTTGGGATATCGGAGACGAGGATGAGAATGAGGATGCTGACAAGATTCTAGCTACGTTTGGGGCAAGGATGTTGCACAGGCAAAGACCCAATGCGAAAGGTATTTTCTCCATCCCGACGCTCATGATGGAGACGAGACTAATGCGACGACACAGTCTTGACTACATTTTCCAGCTTGCAGTTGAGATGCACAAGCTGGGCTTGCCATGGATCCCGAAATAAGTGCATAAAACATTCAAGCTGAGATCCGGCATTTCGATACGACGCCCTGCTGACAGTGTTGCCCTTTCTTGGTCTTGGTCTTGATGCGTATCTAGCAACAGGCTATGATAATGTGGATACATGGCAGTCTTCATAAGACATATAGTAGCATGAAGAATGTCACCATAGCGCATCCCTGCAAGTCAGCGCAGAATCGGCAATATAAGCATTGAGATTGCGCTGACACCTGAAATCTGACATGAGACATCGATATAAGAAAACCACAGACATTCAAACATTTCCGACCACGTGAACGAGGGGCCTTGAGATTGCCAGGTTGGGGCAATGCGTTTTCGTCGGTCGCCTGAAGTTGGAAGAGAAGCATGACCAGCTTTTGCCCAGTCGGTGCATGAATCTGTTCGTGACTACTCTGCCATGCACCCATGACTTGATGGTGGATACCTACTCAGCCAGCCAAGCAGCAAGAGCGAGCAGAAACGAAGGCGAAAAGGAAAGAGGTAAGAGCCGGATTTCCCGATCTTGCTCAAGCCTTGACACTCATGCAAGCCTTGCTTCTGCCATGCAGAGCAGATCTCACTGTGTTCCCCCATCTATTTTTAACCACATCTTCAACATCCACCACACCTTTCCTCTTTCCTTCAAGGTTCGAGCAAACAGAGAGGGTCTTGGCCGTCTAGAAAACCCTTTCGTGTTCAAATTAAGCAAAATTAGGCTTTGCGAACACGACGAGTGGACGGTCCGCCCAACGGGCCTTGACATCATCAGCGCCTCCGACGCACTCGCCGAGGGCAGCGATGGCAGCGTTACATGCGGTCAGAGTCTCAAAGAACTGTCCAGGCCAAGAATTGGCTCCGTAAGTACAGGAATAGCAAAGGTAAATTGAAAGGCTTTGCCAGAGTGCCTGATAATATAAGTATTTGAGAGACAGCCCTTGGTTTTTCTTGGTCATTCTTGTCTGCATCGGAGAAACACTCATACTCTATACCCTTCCTCTGTTTCTATCATATAACTTTACAAAGATGTTCAGACAACTATCGATAGCCGCTGTGGCACTGTCGTTAGGTACGTTCAGCACCGCTACAACATCTCTGCATGGACGTTCTTGCTAACGTATATCTAGCATCCACTCAGGTTTCGGCCAAGCCTATCCAACGTAGAGCAGCTGGCGATTCAGCATTCGACTACATTGTCGTTGGATCAGGTCCCGGAGGTGTCACAGTTGCCGACAAGCTCTCAGAAAGTGGTGCATCGGTGCTCCTTGTCGAGCGTGGCCAGGCCACAACTGGACAGTGGAACGGCAACAACAGACCTCAATGGTTGGACAACACTGGTATGACCTTCTACGATGTTCCTGCTCTCGACGATCAAATCTGGACCAAGGGCGGTGATTTCACCAACGATATCTTCTGCCCCGACATTGTCGGCGGTATCTCTGGCTGTGTCCTGGGTGGCTCTGGAGCCATCAACTCTGGTCTCTGGTGGAAGCCAACGACCTGGGATTGGGATACCATGTTCCCTGAGAAGTGGAACAGCACCAACATGGCAAACGTGACTGAACGTGTCTTCTCACGTCTGCCTGGTACAGAGGTTCCTTCTCAAGACGGAAAGCTCTACTACCAGCAGGGTGCCGATGTGATCGAGGGTGCCCTGCACGCCGCAAACTGGACCCTAGTCAGCGCCAACGAGGTCCCCAACCAGAAGGACAGAGTCTACTCGAACACGACATTCATGTTCCAAGACGGTGAACGCAGTGGACCCATGTCTGTCTACCTTGGATCTGCCTACCCTCGTCCCAACTTCTCGCTCTACACCAACGCCATTGTCGACAGAGTCATCAGAGAGGGCTCCAAGATCACCGGAGTCGAAATCTCAAACACTGCCGCTGATGGTTTCAGAGGCACCGTCAAGGCCAACAAGGCTGTTGTTCTCGCCGCCGGTGCATTCGGTACACCCAAGGTCTTGATGAGAAGTGGAATTGGCCCCAAAGATCAGCTTGAGACGGTTCGTAACGCCGAAGGCTCAAAGATGATCAATGAGGATCAGTGGATTGACTTGCCTGTCGGCTACAACCTCATGGATAACATCAACACTGACATCGTCATCTCGCAACCCGACGTTGTCTACTACGATTTCGCGGGTCTCTGGAACAGCCCCAACCAGGGAGATGTCGACGCTTACCTCAATGGACGTACTGGTATGCTCGCCCAGTCAGCTTCCAACCTCAACCCCATGATCTGGGAGATGTTGAACGGCACCAATGGTCTCCAGGGTTTGCAGTGGACTGCCCGTGTCGACACTTCTCTCGACATCCCCAACGACAACAAGCACAACATGGTTCTCGCACAGTACATCACCCTTGGCCAAGCCGCCAGAGGTCGCACCACCATCACCTCTGATCTCAAGATGAACGTTTCCACTGGTGTCTCGATCATGGAACACGAATCTGACCAAATCGCCATCGCTCAGGGTATCGAGACTATGGTCAACATCCTCAAGAGCGTACCCGGACTCGAGGTTCTCTCTCCTCCTTCAGGCATGTCTGCATTGGACTACGTCAAGTCGACTACTCACTTGTACGTTAACCACTGGCTTGGCAGCTGCAAGATGGGCAACGATGACGGTCGCAAGGAGAATGGCACTGCTGTTGTTGACGCCGACTCAAAGGTCTATGGTACCGATAACCTGTTCATCGCCGATGGATCCATCTTCCCTGGTCAGACTACCTCGAACCCTCAGGCTGCTATTACCATTGTTGGTGAGCGCGTTGCTGAGCTCATTCTTGCACTCAACCAGTAAGAAGTTGGTGCTGTAGAGTAGAAGGCGGATTATCACATGGCAAACTATATCAAGCCATCTATAATATTTTGTATATAGACACGAGTTTACGAAAACAAAAACAAAAGTAATTCTTCAGCATCATCTTTTGAACATTTGTGGTTGCCTTTTGTCTGTAGGTCGTTTTGTGCTTGTTGGCTCATTTCTTGGTATGTAAGGTATTAGCTGTGTTTTGGACTTTCGCCTATCGGGCCATGCTGCTGATCATTTCGCGTTGGGCTGCTCTATCGCGGTTGGCCTCTGAGAGCGGCGGTATGCTTCTGAGATCACCGACGACGTCTTTTGCCTTGCCAAAGTAGACCTCCTCTGTTTGGCGTATCTGAGTCAGCATGTGTGTTTTGTGTAGGAGCGTTGAACGTACGTAGCAGATTGCGCATCTTGAGCTCCATATCCTCGACAAGCTTGCCAATGTTTGCGACATGGGTCTCGTCAGCATCGACAGACATGTCTGCTTCGACCTGCCTGGTCATGTTGCCAGCGAGGTCAAGACTGCCCAGTGCATCGCCCTTTGTTCCGAGGTTCAGGATGACGGTGGATGTGAGCTTGTACTTTGCGGTGCGGCCACGCTCGGCGACTTCGAGGACGTGGATGCTGTCCCAAGCCCCTGAAGCGGCAGCCTGGGAAGAAGATTTCTTGAGAAGGACCACGCCTGCGAAGCCATCGTCGAGGTTCCAGAGGTAGACGGACGATGTGCCGCCTTCGTAGTATCTGTGTTTCGACTCTTCTCAGCAGCTGTTCCCTTTCCTTCCTCCAGTGCAATCAACACTCACAGCTCGCGGTAAACATCAAAGGCCTCGTTTGCGCGGACTTCGAGGCGGCGGACGCGCTCGGAACTCATCTCTGCATCGTCGACGGGAGGGTCGAATTCGTTGCTCCAGGGGCTGCGGTAGCTGTCGCCATCGCGGTTGTAGTCGCAGAGCAGATAATCGCGGCCGGATTTCTTGCAGCGGCGGACCTCGAGAGGTTGGTCTACGGAAGCGAGGAGTTCTTCTTCGTGTTCGGGGACTAGACTGCAGATGGCCGAGAGGTTGGCTGCGGTGTTTTTGGGGTTTAGGCGTCGAAGGAGGTCGCTGTGTGAGGAAGTGGGTTAGGATTGAGATGGTGGATTTCATGCAGAGGTAGAAGCTCACAGCGCACTGTCGAATTGGTCCGCCATGGTTGTGTATGTGTATGGTATAGCTAGTGTCTTGGTGGTTGTTTGCTAGGTCGGCCATCGAGACGGGGTCCAAGCACCGTGCCCCCACCACTCCCCACGTCAGAGCGACTGCTGTTTCACAAACTCCGCTGCATTTCTTTCTGCAACTGTCATCTCTACCATCGTAGCTAGATCTAACCTAGAGCAGCGTTTCATCTTCTCTTCGCCGACGGCCGCTTTGCCCTTTGTCCATAGTGACAGTTTATATCTTCTCCAACAAGTAATGCCATCTCCATGTCGGAGCACGCCGATGAGCGGATCCAGCCCGCCAATCAGCAATCGCCATCCACCACTTCAGCCTCCGCACTCCTCGACACTTTGGAGATAAGTCGTTGGAATGGTCAACCTTACTTGCTCAACTCAGCTCTTCTGCTCTTGCCTGTATATAGATAGTCGAAGCTTCCGGACGGTCAACTGCTTTCTTCTGTTCGATCTGATTTCGCTTTTTCTGTTGCCTCGATATACCCCTTGGATTTTGCAACATTCTACATAGAAGCATCATGATCATGTCAACAACCAACGGCACGACGACCGAAAAGACGATATACTTGGGTGCATTCGCCCATTGTACCTCCCTGCAGGAAGTCGAGATATGTGAGGCCGGAGCCATCGGAGTCGATTCGAATGGCAAGATTGCATTCATCGATAGAGACATTGGAGACATCCCAGCATACGAATTGCGAGAACGGAAGGAAGGTTGGGGGAAAGCAAAGGTGGTGCAAACACAAGACCAAGGCTTCTTCTTTCCAGGTTTCATAGGTAAGTTTCATGTCCATTGCAGAACGTGGTTTCCTTAACTAATGTGGTGCACGCAGACACGCACATCCATGCCTCGCAATATCCAAACTCTGGCATCTTTGGCAAATCGACATTACTGGATTGGCTCAACACCTACACTTTCCCTCTGGAATCATCATTTACTGATCTGGAAAAGGCTCGTCGTATCTATGCTCGTGTCGTGAACCGCACACTATCCCACGGCACCACAACAGCATGCTATTACGCAACCGTTCACGTCGAGGCCACAAACCTGCTCTCCGACATCTGCTTTTCCAAAGGTCAACGTGCGTTTGTCGGCCGCGTCTGCATGGATCAGCTAAGTCCAGACTACTATCGCGACCAGAGTGCCGAATCCGCCATCACAGCCACCGAAGCCTGTATCGCCCATGTTGCAAACATTGATCCTAAGCACAACTTGATCACCCCAATCATTACTCCTCGCTTCGCACCCAGTTGTAGCGAAACCTGCCTCAGTGCTCTCGGCAAGCTCGCTCATCGTACCGGTCTTCCAGTCCAAACTCACATCTCCGAAAACAAATCCGAGATTGAGTTAGTAGCAGAACTTTTCCCCAACAACACTTCCTACACCGACGTCTACGATAAAGCAGGTTTACTGGGCCCCAAAACCATTCTCGCACATGCAGTCCACCTGTCACCAGAGGAACGCAAAACGATACGCTCGCGCGATGCAAAAATCAGCCACTGCCCAGCTTCAAACACGGCGTTGACTTCTGGCGCAGCTCCCGTGAGGACTCTACTCGACGAAGGCCTCACCGTCGGTCTAGGCACAGACGTCAGTGGAGGTTACAGTCCCAGTATCCTCGAAGAAGCCCGTCAAGCCGTTCTGGTCAGCAGACACGTAGCCATGGTGGATGGCGATGCTGCAAAGCTGAGCACAGAAGAAGCACTGTATCTAGCCACTCGCGGCGGTGCAAAAGTCGTTGGTCTGGAGAATCGTGTCGGTGGTTTCGAGGTGGGTATGGATTGGGATGCACAAATGATTAGTCTGGATGTCGTGAGTGAAGATGGAGAGATGGATGAGGCAGACTCAAAAGGCCCTGTCGATGTCTTCATGTGGGAGAGCTGGCCGGACAGACTCAACAAATGGTTCTATGGCGGTGATGACAGAAACACCGCCGCTGTGTGGATCAAGGGTCGCTTGGTACACGCAACGCAGAAATACAGAGGCTAGACTTGGATGATTGTCACTTTTGGTAGAAGCTTAGAAGAGCAATCTGTTGAAAAAGGCCGAATGGAAATTCAGCGATAAAATTTAGAAACCACAATTACAGTATATACACCTTCCCACCTTGAAATGTTCAACAATGCGTTCTTGAATAAAGCAACAACCAAAACATTTTCCCAAGGAATATATCCATCTCTCTTTAAGCGTTCCCCCGAAGCACCAAAAGAAAAAATAAAAGCAACCCTTGATATGTCGTTCCTCTACAAGTTTACACAAACCCCCTTGTAGGGTTTCTCATCTATGCCGTGGGAGCGGGCTTGCTGCCGTCGTCGTTGACGTAACTCTCCCAGTTGGCCAGGATGTTGCCAATCTTGGGCGAGTTGGTCAGGCGGTACACATCCTCAAAGTACTCCTTGGTGATCTCGAATGGCCTGGCGGTGACGTTGGGAATGTATTTGCCAACGAGCTTGCTAGGATCGATGCTAGTCTTGTTGATCTTCTTGAGCAAGAAGGAACGGAAGGGCTTGACACCCGAACGAAGGAAGGTACTGTGGAATGGCACATCGATACCCTTGAGAGGGATCGTAGCGAAACCACGCTGGAGGTCAAGAGGCTTGGGCTTGGCCTCGGTTTGCTCTGCGCATCCCTTGATGATCTCGACAAGGTGACCCTTGACGTCCTCAAGCGACATGGTCTGCATCAATGATTGGATGTCGATCTTCTGCACCTTGAGGTAGTTGAGGACGTTGGCTAAGCAGTCGAGAGCACGGAGGTCACCAGCAGCAACGTATTGCATGTTGGCAATATTGTAGTTGACAATCTCCAGAAGCCATGTAGTGGTCTCTGCGATGTTCTCAACAACGTATTGCAGAGCTTGCTCGGTGAAGGTCTTGCCGATACGCGAAGGGTTGACAGCGCACATGGAGTAGTTTGAGCGGCCAGCCTCGTCACGCTCGACGGCGACTTGCATGGTCAAACCACGGTAGAATACAACCGATACCAGACTCTCAATGGGCATGACCTCAGCCATGGCAGCGAGAGCAGAGTACTCTCCAAGAGAGTGACCAGCGAAACTGCTGTCACGCTGGACAAGACCCTTGGAACGCATGTCCTCGAACGAGGCCTTCTCCATAAGAGTAAGCGCGGGCTGAGTGAATTGAGTAGCCGACAGCAGACCAGTTGGCGAACGGTATGTGTATGATGTGGTAGTCTCGTTGATCTCCTTGAAGATCTTCTCTGACTTGATGCTTCCGTCGGCGCTGACGGTCTCGAAGGTCATCGACATGTAGTTCTGGCGGATGGCCTTACCACGAGGACCACCGAAGTGCACAGTCATCTCGTTGGGGTTGTTCTTGACAATGTTGGTGATGGCGAAACCATAGTTGTCGAGGAAGTGCTTGTCAGCTCTATCCCAGACCTCCTTGGCGACGGGACTGCTTGCGTACAGCTCCATACCCATGCCTTGTTCTTGAGAACCTTGACCAGTGAAGACGTAGGCAGAGACAGGCTGCTCAACTTCTGCCTCACCAACAAGGACCTTGTCTTCGGTCTCCTTGTTGCGTGCCTCGACAGTGATGATCTTACGGCCTGAGACCATACCGATGTGTGACAAGCTGACCGTGATGGTGTCGTTGGGAAGGACCATGCCAACGAGGTTGACGTGGAAGCTACGGACACGACCAACGTTGTTCTCAGCAGCCCAGGTCTCGACTAAGCTTCTGACGGCAGCACTGGAGTACATGCCGTGTGTGATGGTGCCAGGGAGATTGGCGTACTTGGAGAAGACACGAGAAACGTGGATGGGGTTGTAATCTCCCGAAACCTTGGCGTAGGTCTCGTTCGATGCGGGTGCCTTGAGCTCGAGAGGAGTCTTGCCGTTCAAGGGAATGGCATTCTCGAAGTTGACAGGCTGGTCGATGACCGCGCCGTTGCGCTCCAAGTAGTCAATGACGGGGTTACCGTGAGAGACACCGGCCTCGTACTCGACGGAGGCAAGCTGGATGACCTCCTTGCTGGGCAGCTCAATCTCAACCTGACCAACAGTCTCAACGGTGCTAAAGACGTTCTCGTTCTTGTAGCGAACCAGACTCTGCAGACGGAAAGTAAGAGTCTGACCAAGAAGGTCAATCTCAGTGTCCTCAAGACGGAACCACTCCTTCGACTGGAGAACTGCAACATCCTTGCTGGTTGCGAGAGTGATCTGCATGGGCTTCTCGGTCTTTCTTTGGAAGGTGTTCTCGAAGTCAGTGTAGGCACCACGGTACAAGAACTGACTGGTGACCTCCATGACGGGCTCGCCATCACGGGTGATGGTACCGCAAACCTCGACCATCTTACCAGAGGCCTGGTTGATGACAGCGTTGACCTCGGCAGTGGTGTCGAGAACGTCACCCTTCTTCAGAGGAGCAGCGCCGGGAATCATGCGGAAACCGTTGGAAAGGTGGACAAGCTTGAGAAGATCACCGTCGATCTTGCGAGGGAAGATGGGCTTGGTGATAGCCTTCCATCCGACGACGATGGCAAAGTCCATAGGAGCAAAGACCTCCTTACCAGGACGGTCGACGAAAGCCTCGCCAGTGTTGCCAACTGCATGGACGAAGTCGTTGATGGCCTCGCTGGTGACCGTGGCTCTGCCACCGTCGAAACGCGAGGTGACAGAGGTGTCGAAGGGGACGTTGGCGTCACCGAACCAGATCTTGTAGTAGAACTCCTTGATGCGGTCATTGCGAGCCTCCATAACTTCTCTGATGGGAGCGTAACCGGTCTCGGGGTGGTAGGTGAACTTCAACGGCAGGGCGGTGGCCGAGCCAGTGGCAGAGCGATCCTCAATAAGCTGAACGGTGATCTCGTTGTTGACCATGGGTCCAACCTCGATGGTCTGCACGAACTTGCCACTTGAGGTGGGCTCCTTGACAGTGATGACAGTCTTGCTAGGATCGTTGGGGTAGTTGACCTCGACCATCATGCCAGGAGCAGGGGCAAAGATGCGGTGCATAGGGTTGGTGTGGAATCTCTGACCCTGAACGAAGACATCTGCGGTGAAGAAAGCATGTCTCCAGGAGTAGGTCTTACCAGCAAGGAGAGACAACCAAGAGTCTTCCTTGGGGAGGACAGCACTGGGAGATGCAGAGAGACGGTACATGACCTTGTTGTTAAGCTCTGACACGGTCAAGCCCTCAACGTCGATCTCATCACTGGCCTCGAGGAGCTTTCCACCGAAGTACTCGACGACGGGAATCTTTGACTCATCATCGCCGTAGACATCCTTGAGCAAGTACTTGATGTGTCCCTCGTGCACACCATCGAGAATCTCCTTGATGGGCTCGTCAACCTTGGTGGAGTACTTGACGGCCATGGGACCCTGAAGAATACAGGTTCTGCCAACATCCTCGCCAACAACGGCTGCGAGATCCTCAGACTGCCAGAGCGAATCCTTCTTGAAGAAGAACTCGAAGCTGGCGTCGAGAGCAGGGACGAAGGGCACAGGCTTCTGACCGCGGCGCTGGCAGAGCTGGATGAAATGCTGAACATCCTGAGCGTTGATAAGCTGCTTGTCGGCCTCAGGGTAGGCAGCAAGGAATTTGTCAACAACTGCGAAAGGCTCGTTCATCTCAGAGTAGTTCTGGACGAGCGAGCTCTTGTTGGCAGTGGTGGTCAGACGCTCCTCGACACGACGAATGAAGTCGACAGTAAGTCTGGCAAGAGAAGGATCAATCCAGCGCTTCTCCTTCTTGACGTACATCAACTCGACCATACGACGGACGACCTCACCATAGGTCATGTCCTCAAGGTCAACGGAAACGCCGGCAGAGTTGCGACCGAACCAAACCTTCTGGAAGTCGTCGTTGAGCTTCTTGATGATGTGGTCGCGGTTCTTCTTGAGCTCAGGAATGCGCTTGGCCTTGTCAAGGGAGAAGATCTTCTGGTCCATCTCGGCCCAGAACAAAACACCGCGGGTGGCAAGCTTGTGGATAGGCTCACCCATCTCAGAGCGGACGGTGATAACACCACCAGCAGCACCCTTGTAGGTCTTCTCCCAGTCGGCATCGTCGAGACCAGGAGCATCAACGATAGCCTGCTTGGCAGCAGGAGCGGTCATCGCCTCCTTGGCGACCATGACACGACTGCCGAACAGGACACCATCGAAGGGCATGGGAGGGTAGCCGAACTTGCTTGCCCACTGACCGGTCAAGTAAGGGTAGGTGTCCTCGGCAGCACCGAAACCACTTCCAGCAACGAGGACGAGGTTGGGGCACTTGCGGATTCTACCGTACATCTGGAACATAGGCTGATGGAAGTCCTCAAAAGAGTGGTGACCACCACCACGACCACCAGTCCACTGCATGATGACAGGGAAGCCAGGGTTGGCCTTGGCAATGTTGATACATGACTGGATAGCCTCAACTGAACCAGGCTTGAAAGAGATACGCTTGATGCCCAAGGTACGGATGTACTCGTTGGCGACCTCGACGGAAGGAACACCAGCGCCAATAGTAAGGGCATCAATTGGGACACCGTCAGCGCGAAGTCTGGCAATCATGGGAATCTGCCATGCCATAGCGTGAGGAGCAACGTAGATCAAGTTGATGGTGATGCCGCGGCCAGCTGGGATCTTCTTCTCGATCTCAGCAATGGCTGCAGTCATCTTGGCGTCGGTGAAGTAACCACCACCGGCAAGTTCGATCTCGTAACCAGCGTTCATGGTAGCGGCAACGAAATCGACAGGGACAGTGCAGGGGGTCATACCAGCAACCATGACTGGAGGAAGACCGAGCATGCGACTCATCTTGGTGTCAACAAAGGTCTTGCCAGCTGAGGTACGGGCAAGCTTGGGGCCGTGCTCCTTGACCCAGTCGACAGCGTACTTGACGGCGTGTTCGGCATCGCGGTCGAAAATCTCGGGCTTGTAGCCAACCTCGGCGTTGGTACCGTCCATGGTGCCTGCAAGAATGACACGGACACCAGTACCGTCCTTGTTGCGGTTGGTGAGGACACCAAGACCAGAA